GACGCCGAGCACCTTAAAACAACCTCCATCAACTTCCAAAGGAGATATCCTCAGAAAGATTCGTGAGATAATGAGGGTTCACCTTGCCCGCATCTCATTCTCGACCGTCTCATCTCAATTGAGTCGCCAGGATCACAATGGATGATTTCGGCCTTCACCGGCGAATTGAGCGCCTTCGAATCCCTCAGTATAGATATCACGACGTTTGCTAAGCATCCGATCGTCATTCGTCGCCCTGTGAATGATATGAGCCAAATGACGAATTTGTCGACACACATGTCGAGTGAGTGCGGGACGGTAAATAACCAATCTGATATTGAAATCAACCACCTCAACAACACCAAGGACCGAATACGACTAATAGAACCGCGGAGGTCGCCGAGGACGAGGAGGACGCGGAGAAAACCATCAAGATTGACCATCCCAGGGACCTCTCATAGCATTGATACTGCGTTGGTCATCTTATGCCTGTGTAAGTTCTTCTTGATGGGAAAGCTAAGTCCGTGTTCGACGCTACATGCATGGTTTTGGTTTCGTTGTCTGGCAACCTGTCGCTGGTCATGCCTGGTGTGCTTCTGGTCTCCTACGCTCGTACCGTCGTCGCTGCTACCCCTAAGGAGATGATGTAGACCTGTCGGGTCAGCTCAGACCTACGTGTGTCAATGGTGTGTGCTCAACCATGCCGTGGTCCGGCTGACCGGGAGATCTTGTCACATCAAATACGCTCTTTGGGTGGTGAGAACTTTCACGCAAGGTGGACTCGATCGGGCATACCGTCAGTCGGTCGTATGGTTCCGATGACTTGCTCAGGAAATCAGGACATCCTCAAAACTCTGTCGACGCAGTCGCAGAACTCCATACGGGATGAATCGGACCAGGCAAACGATGCAATGGGTCCATCGATGCTCCGATTCAGCCTGGACGAGGTTGAAGTGACATATTGTTCCACAGCACGAACCTTACTATCGACACGGTACTGTACTCGTACTGCTTGTCAAGCCACAAAAAGAAGGCCCTGACCTTGAATGAGTGTTTTCGGCAGGCGTCAGGAGTCAGGCACCAGTCAATTCCCCTGCAGAGGAGAGTATCAAGCGTGGGGTATGTTTCCAGCACGAACTGCTGGACGGTAAATCTGGTCGAGTTCAACACGAGAATCCATCGAGCTGGCGAAATCGGCCGCTGCTCTGGCTGATGCTGACTCCGTGATGCTCATTCCACCAGGCTTGTCCAAAGATGTTGGGGCATCAAAAGCGGACAACATGTTTTGCTGTGAAGCAGTGCATCATAGATGTGGCTGAAGCATCTCCTGTTCCACTGTCAGTAATTCAGAACACTCCCGTCAACCTCGGCCACGGATGGCACCACCTGGCTGTCAATCGTTGCCGTGAACGTCGATGGTTTGGGGACTCGGCAGACTTTTGGATGACAACATCACGGAGAGGTACCGAATCTTCCTGCTAAAGCAAGTACCCATACCCTAATGAAATCCTTGAGGATGATCTGGCGCTTGCTGTCCAGTAAATACTCGTCAAGTGCTTGTGCGAAGTATGTGTCTGACTTTTACTCATTCTTTCATTGGCTTCGGCGACCGTCATCGGGTTTGCCACTCGCCCAGGCATCTGCCAGGAGCATGTTCACCAACTTCGCAGTACACACTCCACCATTTTCATCTCTTCGCAGTCCGACACTTTTAGACTACTGCAGGAGCCTGGCCAAGGCGGTCTTGGAAAGACTCATTCTAGTCGGCATAATAAAGGACGGTCGCAGGATGGTTGGAGGCTACCAGTAACAATGACAAGGAATTGGACGACGATGACGATGACGATGACTAGGGACGTCGAGACCGCCGTGTAGTGTCATGTTCACAGCGCCCAGAGAAGTTTTGCGTGTCGTCGATGCCGATACACCGAGTCTGTTCGGTGGAAACGAAGCCGACCATGAAGAAGCCGGGGACCAAGAGGATGAGAAAGCGAGTCACGGCTGGCGATCCTGGTGTGAGTCGGTCGTCGGTCGAGTGCGCGAGCGACCCGGAACGAGTCAATGAAATATGGGGACAAACCATCAGCACCCATGCGCTGCGAAGCGAAGTTCGGAGCCGCATGGACGACTTATGTCAGGGTGCACAGTCTTGATTATACGAGCCGTGACCAATTTATAGACGTTGTTTCTTGAAAAGAGTCAAGATGAGTCGATTTTCAACAATTTTGCAAGTCCAATTTATTGTGGATTCCAGATCGACTGTTGAGACGGCCGCGGAGTGTTGTTCTCTGCCCCAACAACCTTCTTCTCCATATCTGTCAAAAAGAGATCAAGGAGCATCCTCAACCTCTCCAGCCACCAAGGGGTATATAGTTGGACATTCTCCCTGACCCTGTTCAGGTCCAACAGAGACTCTTCCACCCTTCGTCTTACATTCATTGCCATGCGAGAGGGTCTTGAATTCTCCTTGAAAAAACACCAAAGGACGCTCAACAACGTTGCGGCCTGAGCCATGTCTCAGATTGACGAGTTCTTCCTTATTCCTTGGCCTGTCGAATCCTCCTCGCTTTTGCTCCTTCACATGACATCGGACCTCGTCATATGGACAGTCGACAAGATAGTCCTTACTCTGAGGTGGTTAAAAGATCTTCCGCTCAAGCACAGCCTTCAATACAGTCGAGTCATGCGTTGATCCTTCGAATCCCACAAAGACGATTTGAAAGCCCGAGATCAAATGAGGGGACCTCAAGAACATTTTCACAAGGGCAAGCCACCCTCACTGATCCCGACAGAATGGTGATCTTCCCGGCCTGGAGCACGTTACTCCTCTCTTCGCGGTCCAAGCAGCGGGGTCTACGACAAGCAACTCGCCGCTGTCACTTGCAAAGATCTCCCAATATCGGGACTTTGAAGTCGCCAAGTGCCAGGGAGATTCATGAATGCCACAACACGTACATCGTGACATGATACTGCGGGTACGCTTTCTTCGACCACCGTAAGGCTTTAGCAGCTCATCTCCCTCGAGTCTCGGTTGCAGAAGTTCAAATGCTTCTTGAAGGTTCTCTTCGGCTGCGAAATCTTCACTTTGCGGGCTTGGATGCTGCTGAAACAAGCTCCACAATCGGCGCGTGACGAAGTCGACCTTGCTGCGGGAGCCACGAGACACGGTGGACGACCAGCTGGACAAACAGAATGAGCAGGCAAGGGTGGTCCGTGACTACAAGGACCATGATCTACTGCTCCACTACAAGAAGATGGTATGTCGCATTATGATGCCAACTATGAACGTTGCAAGAAACTCCTGGCTGTAGATTTACCTGCCGATGGCCACGTACGATCCGCCAGCTCCCAAGAGCATGCAGAGTTTGACATCCTCAACAAACTAGATCTTTCGGAGGCGCCGGCCCAGATCAACCTAAAAGAGTGGGTGCTTGGTGCCTCTGAGACGGCTACCGGAGATATTACAACAAATGACTTGCCTTCTTCGGTCCCGCATTGACGAAGACCATGGCGAGACTCTGATTGAACTTGACGGTGGGACTCGTTTCCACCAGATCAGAAATGTACATGAGCATCTCTGTCCACCACAGCTCGTACCCTGGAGACAGATCAGCGGGACGCCGATTCTCAATCCTGCTGGCTTGTTGCCGAGGCCGAAAACTGTCCATGTGTTCGACTCTACATCAGCCAGCATCGGAGGTTAATATGGAGAAGAAAGTGGTTGGGGGCAGAGAACAACATTCCACGGGCGCCTCAACAGTCGATCTGGAACTCAGAATAAATAGTACTTGCAAAATTGTGGATTTTGATATTTATTTCCACAACACGCGTTTAAGCCTTATGGTCGATTTCTCTTGTGCTGCGTCTCCTTTTCCCGTGACAATATCACATGCGCACTAACTGCGTCCAATCACACCTCGAAACACGACACGCAAAAGGCAGTTGCCTAGCCATCAACGCTTTTATGGCTCCTTCAGTCTACGATCAGTTCTTTCGGTCAGCTGTAAACCTTTCGTTTATCACAAACACAAGCACAACACCCTCCCTAACCGCAGCCATGCCTCAAAGCACAACCAGGACTCGAGAAGGTATTGTACCTAACTCACTCACCTAACCCCCTGCTCACTGGAGATAAAATGTCCTTCCCGGTTCATGTTATGACGGTACTCTTGCTAACATCTGCCTGCATTAGAAACGTCATCTAAGTACATGAGAAACGCCCCTCATTCCTCTACTCCCTTGCTCCATTCCGGACAACCTCTTTCTTACACCCCCGGACAACACGTCTCCCACCTTGAAATCGGACAAGTTGGACTTGACCACCCCAACTCGACGATTGTGAAGGGATGAGTGAACGTCAAGATACCGGTGGCATGTGGGATTTGATGCTGGATCCTCCAAGAGTCCTCGGAGCCAAGGATCCAAAGAATATAAGGCCCTGACCGGCCTTGCAAACTCCCGCGCGAGTATGCGATGATGGCTTTGGCACGATCCTCCGCAGGACATGGCATCTTAGGATATCCTGGACTCTGATATACTAGCCAGAAACGGCCACTTTCTCTTCGATGTCCATCAGGCTTTAATCGTCCCATCTTAGGGATGCGGCGTGCCTTCTACGCGTAGAAGAAGATGGGCGAAAAAGTTCGATGTCTTTTTGCAGCACCGGCCATTTTTGCTCTCGAAGATGGCCATTCTACCAACATCTACGTCTCCTGGAACGGTGATACACCAAGTGCATCCTGATGCTGGAACAGGATGTCATGTTGCTCGACATTCACCTTGACCGTCGACCACAACAATTCCGCCGTTTCTGGGTCTATGGACATGACAAATCTGTCTGAGCATGAGCGATCTCGGGGATACTCAGCAGACTCGTACCTATGGCTAGGCAGGACAGCCTCCTATTCCTATCCTTGAGAAATGGATGTGGGCTCGCTGCTCGAATGTAAGGCTACTTTGGCACCTGCGTTGAACAACACGGCGGGAGTAGAGTCGGCCAAAGGTTCCATGTCTTTGAAAAAATGTTCGTCACTTGCGTACTCGGGAGAATCTCGACCACGGGGACGGCGAGCTGTGCATCGTCCGCGGCGGCACCAAAGCCGATGCTTAAAGGGAAGAACGCCGGAAGAAGCCGTAGGAAGAATGGTTGCGCATTCTCCGGCCCCGTTTCCCGCATCAGGTCGAGTATCGTGATCTGGGCGATCTCGCCGAACAAGCAACATTCTGGTGGAACGACGCAGATCGAGTCAAAGGTGTCGGGCCTCAAGAGCCTCGAGGACCATTCCGTTCTCCGGAGCCGGGGCAACCAGGTCGAGCCCTACATCCTCAACCGTGACATGACTTATTGAACAGATCACGTTGGAACACCTCAGACTCGCTGCAAGGGATGACCGCAAGGTGTTTGCGAGAGTCCCTGCCGCTATCACTACGACAAGGTGTTCGGAGCCTCAAAACCTTTCCACTACAGGCGAGAGACATGACGGCACTGCTGAAGCATTGTCCACTTGGGGGAAAGCACCGGCCTCCTCCTATTGCGTCTTGTTACTTTGCACACCGCCGCAATTGTTCCACCCGCCAAAGGGTCCTCGCAACCAAGTCACAGCATAACATGCCGAGAAGAGGCGAAGATTGATTGAGGCTGTTTCTAGGCATTCAATACTCTGCATGGAATGTACAGCAGGTATCAGATGAGAGAGGTTCAGCGCCGACAGGTGTCTCACGCTTTCAAATCCGAGGCCAACATTTGAGCCTGTGACAAATGCCGACTTTGGACGAGAGTGTCAACCCGTGTGGAAGGCCACTTCCTGATCTTCAATCATCCCCAACACGAAACGGCGACACGGTCGCTGTACTCGAAGACTTGTCGAGCGACGGAACATTTGTGAACGAGGCACCGCTCGGACTCAACAAACTCAAACTTGGAACCCAACCACGGTCAAGTACTGTCTTCCATTTCTTATTGTCGGGTTACATCTTGAGAATGCTGGTCTCGAAACCTCGGAGACTGAAGGGATTGATTGGGTTTTGCTGCCATGCAATTTGCCCCCCATCCACGAGTATCTGGCGCAACATTCCCTCGAGCCCGGCAGAGCCGAGTAAAACGACCACTCAATCCATCGCCTTTTCTCGGCCAATCGCTAGGTTCCCGTCAAAAGCATTCGAAAAGACATCCTGGATGGCGTGACTGTGATGGTAGATCGGTGCTCCTTTTTAGGGGCCTTCTATTCGGCCGCTAAAGACAACGTGGTCGGCTACCCTCATCCTCTGTTTTGTGCAACCCCGATACTGGCAAGTGCCAAATCCTCGATATCTACTCGCGATATGAGCCAGAAAGGGTTTCCGTCGCCAACGGAGGCATTCATTTTTGTTCCTCATTTCATGAGAGGTAAAGGGATATTATCTTGTCAATGGTGCACCAGTTGAGCAGAAAACTCTTCACTTGGCTCGACGACACCAAGCACGCCGACGGCGTGAGGCTTGCCATCTCTTTCGGCGTTAGGAAACCCTCCCTCTCCCAAGGCAAACAAACGAAAGGTTCGAGGGTTCGGGGGTCCAGATCCAACAGCAGCTTCACGCAAAGTCGGACAATGTTTACTGTACAATTGCAGCATCAAATCCAGGAACGCCTCGAATTTTGCGGTTGACAGGTCGTCGGGACTCACACATCCGACACGGTCTGCGACAAGCTTCGCCGTTCTCAAAGGATCATCTTGACCGACTTGGTCGATTAACGAGACAGAGCGCCCAAAAGCGCAGTGACATCCGCAAGCAAATGGCCCAGCCACTCACCTAACAGGATCTTCACGGTTGGTCACAATGACGACACGGAACCGAGCATTGTCTGAACGCTTGACATGAACGTGTGTGACACTTGCCAAACGCTATTTCTGACATTGACATCTCTTGTGTCTTGTTACTCCCGACCTAGCTTATGATCCCTCTCATGACTTTCAAACCACCTCTCGTCGAGTGGAGGACTTTGATTCCCCGAAGAGGACTGTTGCGGCAGGATTTTGGGGTCTGACCTCGTGGTCTTGCGACCATGAAGCCTGGCGCGAAGGTCTGGCCTACAGGACCCTGGAGTCTGTCGCTCTTGTTTTCTTCCTTTTGCGCGGCATTGGTACCTACCGCCCATGGGAGCCGCGTTGGAGGTGGATGTTTTGGTGCAAAGTTTCCTCCATGTCCGAATTCGACACCCTCATCTCTTCAGCTCGTCAACGCCCTGTCGATTTGAATTCCGCATTCAATGGCGCGTCAACCGAGATCCTAGTCGCTGTGTCATGTGGATTCCCTGCATGATATTCGATTAGTTGTTGACACGATCCGCTTACGCCTCAAACTTTGTCAAAACTCTACCTTTGATCAACCACCGACCGAGACCAAGACGACTCCATTTAGGAGCCGTCGAAGATCTAACTTTGGAAAAGGACGAAAGAAGAGAAAGACAGTTGACCAAACGATCAATCAAGAAACGAGACCTGTAAAACGCGGTCAACTGTGCTCGCACATCAGCCAGGCGGAGTTATGTTCCATGAGGATTCCATTCATCGAAGAAACCCTCGTTCTGCGCCGCGACGACAGATGATTCGGAAATGAGAAGAATTGAGGGACTTTCCTCGACGATTGATGGCTCATTGTTTCTCCTCAGGAAGACGTACGAGATTGGAGTCGTATCAAAGGGCCTTCTGGTCGCGCCGCACCAATTGAGACTTGGATATTGCTCTGCCCGCTCTAGTTGACATCCATGATGGACTTCTTGCTTGGAAAAACCTGAGACAAGGACGCCAAAGACGGAGAAGAACAAGTCCAGGAACGGACATCAGATCATTTTGGATTGTCAGTCTGTCGAATGGTCGTCCTGGAACAACAATGACAACATCAACAACGGCTTTATCGAAGACGACTCTCCTGCAAGGTAGGTTGCAACAACAGCTTCCGGCGCAAAAGGTATTTGTCACCACTATGCGCTTGAAATGAGATTATCCAGTACCACCATCGTCAAACGCGCTATCGATCTATATTTCAACCCATTAGCGCGTCAACGAGACCCTGATCGGCGTGTTACGTGGATTCCCTGCATAACACCCGACTAGTCGATTGATTCGCTTGCTGAAACCCAAAATATAGACCGATCGGACGACGCTAAAGCCTAAGACCCTTCCATTCCGGAGCCGTCTAGCGCTCGATCAAAGATCTCTCCATTCCGGAGCTATCTAAAGCTTGATTGGAACAGAACTCTCCATTTCGAAAGCCTCCCAAAGCTCGACCACCAATCATGTCAACAAGCCTTCCACCTCGCAGACCGACCCGACCGTTGCGTGCATTGTCTTCAGCTGAAAAAGGGGACGTAGTGGACCCGGACCTGGACTGGGACCAAGTCGATTACAACAATCACACACATTCGTCGACCTAGGTTGCTCTGCCTAAGTCGCAGTCACAGACGACCGAGCTGGAGGACCAGTCTCATACCGCAAACGCATAGTCGTGACAGTGTTGCAAGTGTGGCACGATTCTTGACATGATTGGTTGCTTTGGTACCGATACGTTGAGATCTATTGTGGTTTTGTCATCCCAACCCATCCACTCAGTCATGAGCCTTTGGACAAACTCCGATTCCGACTCCTTCAACGTACCGAAAGACCTTTGATGTCAATGCGCTCGATCGCCGCATCCTTCTTGGTGTCTGAATGCTTGATGGCTGTCTATTCTTTCGGAATGCGCAGCTTTTTTGGTCACAATTGGTTGGTCGATCCAGCACGGCCTGTCACGACTATGCGTTTCCTGATGATGGCGTTGGTTCTTTCTCGGCGAATCACCTCTGAAGAAAGTCGTTGTCTTGTATCTTCTGACCTTGTGCATCACCAGATGTTTTCACTGCCATCACGTCAAAACATGCGCCACCAACGTCTTTTGGTAGAGGGCGAACCTTGGAGCCACTTTGTTTGCACTACATTCCAGCTTCTGTCGCAAATCGTCAACTTCGAGGTCGAAGCCGAAAGCACCAATGTCGTCCACGAGCGTCTACACTGGTGGCGTCTGAACAGACTGGAAGCCATTGCCAAGCCACAGGACGCGCTTGGTTTTTGAGACATCGCGCCTGAATTACCAAGGGACTAGTCCTACGACGATGACCTTGACTGTGTCGTCGCGTGTCCACGGAGGTGGCAACGCAGTTTTCGTATCGTGCAACGCAGTCTAGGAGCACCGCCTTCTTGTGGTCAAGGTTGCGGAATGCGCGCGGGCGATGGAATTTTGGGCACTTCCGACCTGCCGACCATTATTGTAGGTTTATCTGTCACGACTATGATTAACTCATTAGTCGACAGATTGGGCTCTCTTCCATGCGGAGTTATTCAGGAATCAGGCGACTATTGAGGTATGTATCATCAATGTTGTGAATTGTTCAACAGATGACACGCCTAGCAAGGTAGGCCGAAATGAGGATGTACTAAACCGGATACTTGACGTGGCAGCCCTCAATCTCTCGGCACCCTGTCTACACAAGGCACGTTTCGCGCCGGGAGCAGAAACACTGGTGATGGGGGATCTTCTGGTCACAACCACTTCGTCGCGATGTTTCATGGCTTCAAAGCGTGATGGGTTTCAAGATGCACTCGCAAACAAACTTGCCCACTTACATAGTGTAGAGAGAAAGGCAGAGGGTCCTGCCAAGGGTTCTGTGATTGACTGATGAGTAGTTGAGAGGTGTGAGTGCCTCTGCCTATCCTGCAGTGTCAGGAGCAACGAGGAGATAGACATACATACAATCGATCAAGTTTTGCGCGCAGCGTGAGAAATGAATGAAACATGAAGACCTAGTTATGGAATTGATCCGACACCCTGTGAAAGTCGCAAAGGTCTGTACAGATGTTGAGTGGTAAGGGCAACTAAGTGATAGCTGTCTACAGAAGGTTACAAGCGAAAAAGGACCTTGACAGAGGTCAGAGAAGCGCCGTGAGCCTCGCAGAGGAATCCTTGAAAGAGTCTCTACGTGCGAGGAGTCCCTCTGAGTTCGAGGTCGTTGTTGTTGAGTTACAGAAATGCCCCGAGTGTTGTGATACAATCATGTGCAATGCCGAGACTACGCCGAGTATATTCCGAGCAGCGATCAAGAGACGAAACAATCAACAACGAACCAAGGAAGTTTTCAATACAAGTACAGATGCCGTGCAAAGCCCTTACGCTGTTCCGAAAGAAACGGCTTGAAGATGAATTCCCGATTACGTGGTTTGATCCCCATCCCAATTCCTACGACGTTGTCAGAGATGCGCACAAAACCCCATTGTGCCACCATTTGGAAAAGGCTATACGGAAAGAAAAAGGCCACACAGGCTTATCGAAATTACGCAGAAGCAGAGCCCCTCAAGGATCCGGCGGTCGAGGCACGGAGAACGTTCGGTGCGGCTCACATAAAGCACATTCCAACGCTGATTGCCAAATATGGCGCGGAGAATCCATTGGAATGACTACTTGGTCCTGCAAGTCACCTGGAAGTCTGATCGATATGACCGTAATTCTGCTGCCGGGACACTGGCCGAGAAGATACGCTTGGACATTATGACGAAGTTTTGAAACCCAACCACAAGAAGGAGAAATTCCCACCCAGGAACGCCCTTGATGTACGGACGAACATATCCGCGAGCGATATTTCAACGTTCCAGCGCGGACACAAAATCCCCGAGACGAAAAGGAAAAAGGTCGTATCAAGGTCGGAAGCCTCAGCATATAACAAAGAACGCTTCCAAAATCTCATCACTCGGGAAAGGATTGATTAGGGAAATATTTCGAGTCGCTCAATGATGATTTGAGGCCGTGGATTTATAATTCTGAAAACTTCATTCCCGAGGGTTTTCAGCTGTTGAGACAAGTGCATCGTCTGATACCTATCGCAACAACCGTCACCTTCGAGCCTTGGGGGGTGGTCTGACCACGTCGTCCACGTCCCACCTCCTCCAGGGGCAGGCGGCGCCGGGTCTCAACAGGTGATCCTGTCCGTCATTGCGCGGCGGGAGAGGGCACTTCCAGAAACTTCGATACTCGCCCACCGGAGGGTCCACGAGGGACCATTTCACCGCCGGGAGGAAGTGTCGACAGAGGACCACCGCATGAGGGAGGGGCACTGTCGGGTCAAGGGGGTCGTGGCTTACCCTCAAACGCCTGTCGCAGTCCGGGCGCCCGGAAGGTCCCGGTGCGGGATCGTCGTCGGTGTCCTCGGTCGTCGTCACGTAATCGGTCGTGGACGTGTTGAGCATACCGCGCATGCCACGGGGTCGAGAAGGGCCAGGCCGCGAATCTGGAGTCTTTTCTTGCTTTTCCTTTTCACAAAACTCCAGGAAGACGGTGAACATCATGTTGAAAATCTTGTTGATGCCCACGTCCGGGAAAGGTAGGTTTGCTGGCCGACCACCTCTGCCCGTGCGGGCAAGATGGCGATAGAATGAGTTGGGTTCGTCGTCTTCTATCTCCAGGGGCGGAGGATCTGCTCGTTCTTTTCCCTTGCGGGATGGCTTTTTCTTGCTGGCAGCCGAGGACTCTGACCCCTCGGGCGGAGGGTCTGCTCGTTCTTTTCCCTTGCGGGAACGTTTGTTGTTGCTCACGGCCGGCGATTCTGACTCCTCCGGAGGAGGTTCCGCGCGATCTTTGCCTTTGCTGGACAGCCTGCGCTTGCTCGGAGGCGGGAGTTCTGTTACCTCGGGCGGAGGTTCTGCTCGACCTTTGCCTTTGGGGGAACGACGGCGCATGCCAGTGGCCAGAGGTTCTGTTTCTTCCCCAAGGTCCATAGGTTCTGTTTCATGTCCAGGGTCCAGACGTTCTGAAGAGTCGCGGTGTGGTTGACCATGAAGATTGATCATCCATTCAGGAGGTCCGTTGCAGATTATCACGTTAGGATCCAGACATAGATTTATTGTGGCTTGACGCAGACCTCTGTAAGTATCGTCGATCGGTTCTCCGTCTGAGGCGGGGGTTTCTTCATCCTCGTCGTCCGAAGGATACAAATCGTTGATATTTGCACCAAAAAGCAATCTAGGTTCGCGACGTCTCTTTTTGGGGAATCGTACCAGAACTTTGTCCCAATTTTCATCGATGGATCGACAATACCATTCCAATACTACTCCATCGGGCAGTTTTCTGTCACCTGACATCTGTGTGGTGCCCTCATGCAAAGCTGGTTCGGGATGTCGAGAAGACGACGGTTGAGAGGACGACGGTTGAGAAGATGACCCATGACCGTGAGAAGATGGACGATGAGAAGAGTTTCTGCTCTCAATATACTCCACAAGTTCACGACTCACACCCAACATATCCCGTAAACGTTGCAACCGGGTAGAAGGGTTACCAAGCCAGACGGATGGTGGAGGCAAGATTTCGGTATTTCTGAACAATGACCCCTCCCTGCGATTCTCGTCCTTGGGTGTGAAGGTCCAGGATATGTCAGTGCCTTCAAGCGGGGGCTTGGGCGGTGGGGGTTTCCAAGGTGGCTTTTCCCATGGTGGTTCAAACCCTGGTTGCCCCCATCCTGGTGGTGGTGCCATCGACCATTCATCGGGCGGCTCAAGCCCTGGTGGCCCGTACCCTGGTGGTACTTCTCGCCACTTCCAATCTTCGGGTATCGGATACCCTTCGAGGGGTACTAGCCACGTGAAGAGACGGGGCGGGACAAACACTGGTAGTTCGGTTGGATCTGGCTCTCCGTACATGCCGGGTACTGTCTGTGTTGGCATGGTCTGGAAGGATGGGTCTACAGATGAAGAGGCTGGATCCGTCGGAACCAGTACCCCGTACATACTGGACACTGGCTGCGTCGGCATGGTCCGAAAGGATTGGCCTCCGGATGAAAAGGGCGGAGCCGTTGGATCGAGCGGGCGGTACATACTGGGCACTGGCGGTGTTGGCATGGTCCGCAAGGATGACTCTCCAGGTGCCTGTTGCTCCCAACATTGTTGAGTCTGGGGTGGTGGCATTGCACCAAGGGGTTCGCCAGGAAATGGCCGAGGTTGCATGGTTGGAAAGCATGGCTCTCCACGTCCCTGATGCTCCCAAGATCTGTCAGTCTGGGTTGGTGGCATCGCATCAGGGGGCCAACCAGGAGATGGCCGAGGTGGCATGGTCTGAGGATATGAGCCTGCTGCTGAAGAGTGCGGAGGCATGGTATTTCTCTGCGAGGATGGCTCACCATGTTCCATTGCGTACATTGGTGTCTGGTCCTCGCATCCACGACGAGTGTCTCGCACCAGCGGTGGTGGCACCGTATCGAGGGGTTTACGAGACGCCGGAACTTGAGGATCTGTCATTGGTGTTGAAGAGGGCGGAGGCTTTTTGGTGGAGGTCTTTCGAGGTCGGCCAGGAGGTCTTGTCGTTGGCGTTGTAGAGCGCGGAGGCCTTTCCGCGGAGGCCTTTCGAGGCCGACCTCGAAAGCTTGCCAGTGGTGTTGAAGAAGGCGGTGGTGTGTTGGCGGAGCTCTTTCGAGGTCGACCACGAGGTTTTCCAGTATCACGGCGTCTCCCACGACTAGCGGGCACCGGCGGTGGAGGCATGGCTTGGGAGGATGGATTCCCATGCGGTGGGGGCGACGCAGGCGATTGGGGCTGTAGCAAGTTTTCGATGGACATGTGGTGCGACATGGCCCGAGGGGGGTGGATCAAGTCCTCGATCGAGATACGACGTGAGATTGGCTGGGAGGAAGGGCCTCCAGACGAGCGAGGCTGCGACATGTTTGGAAGAGATTTCTTTTTCCTTGATGAGGACAGGATGTGACAAGAGAGGAGATGGAATCTTGGACAGCGATAGGTGTGACAAGAGATGAGATGGGATCTTGGACAACGATGAAAGTGGTTGGGTGTGACAAGAGAAGAGATGGAATGTTGGACAATGGATTAAGGTGGTAGGCTGTGACAAGATGAAGTCCTTTGGATCAGGCACAGAGTGGGAGTAGCCGCCTTTAAGTGCATAGGCGAGGAATGCGGGGCCAAGATCTTGGGAAAATGATGGATTTCCCATGGTGGTTGGCAGGTTACTCGGTCACGGACTTGCACAGATGAGTTGGCGACCAGGGGGGTGGTTTAGTGTCAGGTAGTGTAAAGGCGGATTTTCGTATTGGCGGACGAGGGTGATGGGCAGGGACCGGTCCTTGGGACAGGTGAGTTTCCGTGTGATAGATGTTCCGTCTTCTTGCATTTGAGTCCAGGGTGTTCGGAATCGCCGGGGTCTGTATGGCTCAGTCGTAATCACCCATGTCGTGACAGCTTCAGCTCTCCGGATGTAGGTGTTCGAATGCCGGTGACGCCAATTCGTAAACGGTTTAGGGTCACAGGGGCTCATGAGGCCTTGTTGTTTGATGGCCAGCCTGACGGCGTTGAGGGCAATCCTATCGACGGCGCGATCGGGACAGAGTTACACTCATCCATGGTATTCCAGGAGATTATAATGCGCTGTCGGTGTTGTCACTCAGTAACTCGGTAGTAATGACGGACTTACAGCTGGTACGAGGCCAAAATGCCCCAAAGATCACGTGGGGTGTTGACTGGCCTAGTCACCCATGTATCTCTACTTACTGATAAGGCAAGTGTAGCGAGCTACTCTGCAAAACTGCCCCAAGATCACGTGCTGTAGTTCTAGAGTCGAGGTTCGGAGTCCGAGACTGTTAGAATCTTGATCATGTGACCAGTGCTTGAACTGCGTCCGTCTGCGCGCCCACACAACACTGCGCTGCGGCCTCGAGTGCGTGTATCGCGCTCGATGACAATGAAAATCGATCCATCCTGACTCTTGTTAAAAAATGTCTAGAAATTGGTCATGACTTGTATGACCGACTTTGTTACTGACTTTGTTTGTAGCTCAATAGTTGACGAGAGTATTGGGCCTGAATGATCACCTACAGTGGATGATAATAGGTCTGATCAATCACCTAAAATTTGTGAACGTTAGGGGTGTATCAGTAGCCCAAGACTACCCAAGGCTGCCCAAGAGAAGTGATTATTATAGGCGTGCCACTTGTCGCCTAGATATGGTGGAGTGGCGCCTACCTAGGCATTCATTCACCGCCTATAGTAAAAGCGGGTATTGGGCACTTATTAGCCCCCCGCAAAGAGTGACATTTAGGCGCTCATTATCGCCTATAGTACTGTAAAGCGGGTGCTGTGGGGCCCTACACTGTCGCCTACAGTGAACAAGTGTTAGGGCTGACACTGCCGCCTAAATATTGTGACTCCAAGTCCCCTCAATGTCGCCTATAGTGAACAAGAGTTAGGGCTTCCATTATCGCCTAAATCTTTGTGATTATCGCCTATAATCTGTGATATTAAGCCTTCCTATTGTCGCCTGATCTCCCTAAATTTTAGGTGTTTAGTACCGCCTACAGAGCGTGATTTTTGGGTCTGCAGTGTCGCCTAATCTCTCTAAGCCTTAGGCCTTCTATACCGCCCATGGAGTGTGATTTTTAGGTCTACACTGTCACCTAATATTTGTGATTATTAGCGTTCATTGTCGCCTACAGTTTGTGATAAGAAGAAGCTTGCTGTCGCCTAATCTCTCCAAATTTTAGGCGTTCACTACCGCCCGTAGAATGTGCTTTAGGTATCTTTATCGCCTAACCTTTGTGACTATCTGGCTTCACTTATCACCTACAATTCTGCGACAAAGTCTTCATTGTCGTCGCAGCAGGAAAACGACATCAGGTCTACACCATGAACCACTTTTCATAATACTTGGGTTTCATTGTCATCTACAAACATAAACTTATGTCCAGACAATCGACAATGATGAGTGAATGATTGTTCCTCACCGAATTCCTTCTCGCTGTCGATTGCGTCGTTATAAACACCCTGCAGGATGGCTGACTCTGAGGCTGTGAGTCCAGGGCTTGGAGGACCTAAAAGAGAGGCTGATCACGGATTGTCGGGGGGCGTCGCTAGGCCCATCCTCCCCTAGGTTCCGGGAGGAACAGCCCTGTTGTTGTTATCTCCCCTCTCTCTGTACCAGCCATCACACCACCGTTGCTGGGGTTGCCAGCCCTTCGTTGCCGGTCCGTCATTTCAATTCAAAGAGCCACTTCTTCTGAAATTACACGTAACGTAATACCGAGTCATTGCAGCGTACCAGGCATTCATACTGATGTCTAGCCGGCCACGTCTGCGAGTCCGGACGGCCACTGGAGACTGCATGGGTAAAACAATAGTATCATGCACGTCTTCGTGTCTGCTCTCCCCCTGTTTGCGGCTGAGATATTGCTCCACTGGCCACGACGAAAAGAAATGCGTGCAAGGATTGACATCGGATCCTGCTGCTGCTATCATCTCTGGCTCTCTTTTCCGGTGTTGTTGTCATAACCAGACACGCTACGGACTTTTCAGAAGCGATAGACTCATGCACGAGAGAGGGGGAAAAGGATTTCGAATGGCTGGGTCCGGTAAACGAGCTCGCTTAGCTCGCGTCGGCGAGTATCTTGTCATGGGCTGCGCCTCGTTGTGATGGGCCTCACCGGTCAGGCGTTCAGCCACACATGGATTTTTCGAATGGTTCCCCAATCATAATTTGCATTCTCCTGGACTGCGTCACGACCGAGTAGTGTACATGTCGTAGCAATCGAAACCGGTGTGGACGATCGGTGGTCAATCGCTTTCTGTTTCTGGTGCTGATCTCCCTGAAGCTGACTTGCAAACATTGGTTGAGGCTGTGGTTGGTCGCAGCCTTGTCGCAGGCGTGAGGCATTTTTGTTGAATACGAGAAACGATCCACTCCGAGTCCTTTCTGTCTTCTCATCGAGACGTCGACATGAGTCGAGACGCTGTCGAGTACGAGGAAGAGGTCCACCACGGTGCATCCGATGTTTCTGTTGCTTTTCCACGGAGTGCTGAGCAGGTTTTTATCACATGTCGTGTAACATGAGGTCGAGTCTGGAAGCGACTTGAGGTCTTGACGTGGAGACAGACTTCGCGCGGATCGACTCGAGACTATCCCAAACGTCCAATCACATTGTCCAAAGATAGAACAACTTGCGGAGCTGTGATTGTGCTAACTGCACATCGTGGGACCGACGCGGGCCCAAATGTGATCCGTTCTTTATGAACGTGATTCGTTTGTCTGTCCCGTCCCCCCCGTTTTTTTGTCCGACCTCCCACCTCCCATCTCCCATCCCAGGGATGGAGTGTACAACCGGTGTTGTTCTCCACGATACGGACGGATCTTGAATCTTAACCTTCTCCTTCGATTGTAGTCTTTGCGCGAGTATTATGTCAAGGTTTGTATGGAGTAGTACCTCCTCTTTTGACAGATATCTGACATTGGTTCTTTTGTGGTAGAAAGGTAATGTGACTGGCAGTGTTTGTATGTGTCCACGGGTGTGTCTATGAACGCTTTCCTGATTCGTTTGTGGTCTTGACGCCCGTAGAACTCGTATCGCTCGTATTCTCAGCTCATGACCTTTTGACACATCAGTTGACACGTTGCAGCAGAGACATGCACCACACATGCAAGTCCTGACAAGACTATCTCACTTTCGGATTGATGTCTCGGGAGGGGTCGAGGTCGAGCCCTCGAGGATCGATGTATCCTATCCTTCTTGTGGAGTAGTGTTGTTTTCTCTTTTTTCTCTTTGCTGTTTTCCCTGAAGACGCCCTGGTCCTTGAAGTGCGCTAGTACATTGTAGGGGGGACTGGGACGGCAACACTCCGTAAAAGTGGCCTAGGACAAAAGAGGGCAGTGTTCTAATGTCACAGTTCAACTGCCACTGATGCCATGCCACTAGGAGCCACCGCATTTGCTGTTGCCCATCCCTGTCTGGATGGTCGATTGTGATTGACGGCCCCATCTTTTAGCCCGAGGGAGAAATGCAATGAGTTTTTTTGTTGGCTTGCACATCTTTTCCGGTCTCGTCTCAGCCGCAGGTTGTGCCCGCCTTTCAAGTCGGTTGGGCAGCAACAGAATGGAGACGTCACTTTGAGGCAGGCTAGAGCAAAGATACAGAGGCTGTGCATGCAGAGACGGGAAACGAAGAGGCATGTGTTGCCGTTCTGTAGATGCGACAAGGTCTGTGCTGATTTCTGTGTTCGAAGCGGTGTGGTGTTGTGTGAGAGAAAGGATTGGCTGCATGCATGTGCATGCAACCTACCTCGTATTACGGAGTTACATGCTCGGACGGAAGAACTATATGTCCGTGGTGCAGATGCCTCACTTTGAACTCTGGCCGGCAATATACCCTCGCCCTGGGAACCAACACGCGTTTTGCATCTTCCTAGGCCTTCGAGTGTAGGCACACTTGCAGGTAGGCAATGCAGTCTGCTCACTCATCACCTGTCACTCCTGGCCTTGCTCTGGGCGCCCTACAAGAGAGGTGACAACACAGCCAAGGAATGAGCGTCTGTAGATATGCAATGTAACGCTGCAATACAGGCTCGTAAGTCTGGCTCGCGAGGATCCCCCTGTCGGCACGAAGTGCAACAATGCAAGAGTGCAATACGAGCTCGTAGGTCTGGCTCACAAGGTCCCCCCTGTCGGCAATGCAATGCAATAATGCAACATTAGCATGGACCTCATCTTTGGGCAGCGGTGCAGCCATTCTGGCCTGTGTAATACCCGCCTAGAGACGTACGATACGACAACACAATACGGCCCTCACTTTGGGCAGTAATTGGCCAAGTATAGCCGGTAAGACCCCCCTCTGTAGAAGTGCATTACAAGATCGCTTCGGGGCCTTCGGGGCATCAATAGGCCTAGCTTGGGGTAAGCAAAGTGGCACGTCTAGCCTGAAAGAACCCCCTGTAGAGATGCACTACAGCGTAGCTTGTTACCCTCTCCTCGGGGCATCAGCAAGCCTAGCTTTTAGGTAGTGAAGAACCAAGTCTGGGCCACATGTTCCCTCTGTAGATTTGCATTACAGGCTCGCTTCGGGCATCAGCAGGCATAACTTTTTGGTAAGCATTGAAGTAATCTAGCCTGTAAGGACCCTCCCTGTCAAGATGCATCATGGGGTCACATTCTACCCTCACTCCGGGCATTAACAGGCCCAGCCTTTAGGCATCAGCAGGCCTAGCTTGTGGGCAGTAATATAGCAGGTCTGGGCCACAAGTCTTCCCCTGTACATGTGCATGACAATGCAGCCTATCACTCCGGCTTTGGGTATCAGCAGGCCTAACTTAACTTACGAATCGCCCACCCAGTGTGCGCAGTTGCCATAGTTCTTAGTGCTGAAATCATATGAAGGGCTGTTTACTGGTTGGGACATCGACAAGAAATTGCACCGAGCAGAAGGGGGACAATGCAAAATTGATCCATGTCGGTTCTTCGAATCTGCTATCCATACATCTTCGGAATCAATGAATGCCCCTTCTCCCCCGTGGTCATGGCCACCAGCGCCGAACGTCCATGGACCTTTGCCATTGCCACACTTTCATCTTCAGCTTCGTTACCCCGGGTGGCAATCCAAGATATCGAATATGTCCACGTCGGCAAACCGTGACAGCAGCCGTGGGACTTTTGGCGGGTTTCTTATCTGGCTTCTCCGTCGCGAACAGCCTTTGGCTTCAATCCAGGATGGACGGATTTTCCAGCATTCGTCCGGGGTTTGACCGTGAAGTTTGCCCCCATCCGCCCTTTTTTGGGTCGCAATGAGGCTGGCTCTTGTCCTCCTTGGGGGCTGTCATGGTCAGACTTCTTTCTCGATTTGTTCTTGTCCTTCTCCCTACCCTTCTTGTCCCGAGCTCATGACCTGTTCCTCAACCACAAGACGCTCGAAGAGAGGAACTCCATGTCACAATCTCGATTTGGATCCTTTGCCCGAGACCGGTCGTAACTCGGTTTGAAGTTTCGATGGGATCGAGCCGGTCCGGAGAGAAGATTGGTGGCAGGTTGGCCGTCAGTGTGTCCACCGTTTGAGGTCCGCCTTGTATTGACGATGGAGATTCATGTACCCAGTCATGAAGCCGCCATCACCAAGCTTGGGAGAGATTCTCAATCTCGCAGTTGTAAAAGCCAGCGTCGGCGAGACAGTACTGGCCCTGCAAAGGGCGAAATCTATCCTGCGCGGATAAAGGTAAAAAAGCCTCAAACCGTCAGCGTTCACGGGTCCAACATGAGCATGATGATCAGGTGAGCGCGATGGGAACAATTGTTCGATGGAGAGTAGTTTGGCGACCTCCCTGTCCCAAAAGAAAGCAGTCCATCTCACACCAGGAACATTTCCTAGCCTGTAGCGCGGAGATCGAAGAGGGCGTTCAGTTGTCTCCATCAGAGCAGCTGTTGACCACTCCGGAGATCATCTGTCCGGTGGTGTTGGGGTTCAATGGACTATCACATCATACACCATCAGCACTTTTTCTGTCGTGGGAACAAGCGGCGAAGACGTGGAACTTGCCTCATCCACCGCCTGGAAGGTAGGTCACTTTGGGATTCGTCGCGGAACAGTAATGTCGTGCCGAGCTTCCGCCGTCACACGGGTATTCGAGAGAATTCAGATGGTCCCGCCTGCCGTTGGACCGAAACCCGACGAGTGAAGACGCCATGGAGCTCTCGGTTTGCAAAGGTGGCCACCGGCACACACTTGAGAGGGCCACATGAGGAAAGACTGTCCCGAGAAGAGTTCGAAAAAACCAAATCCTAATGTGATGAATGCAGCCGCCATCGCATTAGGGCGTCTTCAGTCTGTCAAGCCAAGGTATCCATGTCCAGGTATCAAGTAATGCCAGATAGTTGAGAGAGAGAATGTCCTGACTGAACTCGAAGTCCCAACCGTCCAGGCCAATCTGGGACTTGTCATCATCTATTTCCATGATGTTTCCAATGCCAATACGTAGTCGGCAATCAATGCTCCATCAGTTCGACCGGTGGTCCCGGTGTATGCGCCATGATCCTGTCTCCTCCGCTGCCAGCCATCACTGCCGGGACCGCTGGGCTGTCATCGTGGGCCTTCGGGTCGTATATCAACGTCCAGCCCCGGTCAGTGTTGGACTCAGCCTGATTGCTTGTTGCAGACCAGCCTCGTCATGACCCCAGACTTCCAGCTCCAGTCGCTCTTGAGGAAGAGGACATAACCATACACCGCCCATACCTGGTCTCAAGGAGATAGGTACGGTCGAACTTCGACCTCTGTGCTTGCTGGGCGAACGGTGTGCACACTCGGAGAGTTGTCTGATGACACCCCCAGCTGGTCCGCGTCAAAACAGGAAAACTGATGCCAAAACGACGGCGATACTGTAGAGAGAAAAGGAGGGGGACCCGCCAAGGGTGCTATCATTGGTAGATGAGTGACGCGAGGGGTGTGAGTGCCTTTGCTTCGCCTACAGTGTCAGGAGCAAAATGAACAGACACATGGGCATGTACAATCAAGGAGACGGGTTTTGCGGAAAAACGATGGCGCTGTCGCTCGCGCAGTGTGAACGAGGGGTGTACCATGAAGTGCTAGTTTCTCCATGGACCTGGCACCTTGTTGAAGGTCGCAAAGGCCCGTACGAGCTGTCTGGCGGTAAGGGCGACGTGTGCGACGAATGTTGTCAGGAGGGTTCCGAGTGAACGAGGACAGTGACAGAGACAGAGCTTGGGGGAAGCGCTGCGAACGTCGCAGCGCGCAATTCATGAAAGCGTCTCTACGTGTCAGGAGTACCTCCGAGTTCGACGTTGTTGTTATTGTTGTTGTATTCGAGTTACAGACACGTCCTGGGCGCAACTGATGCTTCCTCGTTTACTCCTGTCACAATACATATAAAGATTGTAACCCTTTGATCCATGTCCGTATACCTCTTTCCCGCTTTGAACCTTGTGCGCGCCGCAGAACCGAGAACCAGCTCTTGAAGGGGAGGACGTTCGAGCCAAATGAGAGCAGGTTATGAGTCGATCCCTTGTCCGCACGTCGAGCGTCGAGAGCGTCTTCGAGACCTTTGCAGTTGTGCGATTCCAGCATGCGGCGTTTCCCACAGAAAGCGCTTTTTGGCAGAAACCACAGTCTCCGATGATAGGCTGAGCAGGTGCTTTGCCATCCGTCTTTTTGAGCATCGAGGTCTGTTTAACGACTTCTTCTTGGTTGGAGTGGCAGTCCCGGACGTGGTAGCGGGAGGAAGAATCCGTCAACTGTTCAAGAACTGCGTCTGAAAGACATTCATGAGGTGTTTCAAGCTCTTCCCACGATTGTAACGGTTGTAACAGAGTCGAGGTACCGGACACTGATGGCTTTTGTGTGACCATCTCGGATTGTTGCTGATGCCGTTTGAGCCATGAGCGCAGTTCATAAGTCGGTCCTTGTCCTCACGTCGGGAGTCGAGCGTCTTCGAGACCTTTGCAGTTGTTGTGATTCCAGCATGCGGTTTTTCCACCACAGAAGCGCTTCTTTTGGCAGAAACCACAGTCTTTGACGATAGATAGGCTGAGTAGGTACTTTGCATCCGTCATTTGAGCATCGAGGTCCATTCGACCTCTTCTTGGTTAGAGTGGCAGTCCTGGACACTCTGGCAAGGCATTGCGTCGCACGTCGTAGTCGGATACAAATAGGCCTTTGGCCGCGCACCTCAACAGGTCGACAACGCCCGCGTCACGGAAGAGCGGCCGGCCGATGGCTTTTGTGTGACCATCTCGGGTTGTTGCTTGCTGGTGGTGAGCTGATTATGTGCGCGGGTAATTAGTTCATGAGTCGATCGACGAGGAAGATGACGAGGAAGATGACGAGGCTCCTTTTCATGGTCTCAAAGGGCGCATGAGCCTCAGAGACGGTGAGTACCACTCTTTTCAACTCAACCCTTCAAACCTACTGTTGAGAGTCTTTTGCCTCGGCGATGGGCTCCCTCTTCGTGATTCGACCCGGCTCGCATCGGCGTCCATGGACGGCGCAGTCAAGATCTGGGAAGTCAGCAGTGGCCCTGCCATCGCAAAACCGTCTGCATAATGAGCTTGGCACTGTTATTTGGGGCTCTGCTACGGCTGCGGCCTATGATGTTCCCGTCGTTTGTCTTCGACCTCGGCTTGAAGCGCGAACCGACCGAATATACCGGAAATGCCAATGATGAGCAAATGAAACTCGTTTATGCACAACTCAACACCCAAAGAAGTTTTGTGAAGAGACAAAAAATGGCCGGCAGTGGTGTCTTGAGAGATTCTGAGACAGGGGTTTTACTCTTTCCACTATAACCCTCTACGGTGTTATCCTTCCGGGGCCACGTAAGCCCAACGTTGGGACTACCGTATGGGGTATGCATAGTATTGGTCATTTCGTCATCTCGGCATCACCCATCATGATGGACGAGCTGGAATGAAGGATGTTGTTTGGGAAATGGTTTGATACCAGGGAATAGATGCCTCCAAGGGTACTTTGAGGTGTCACAAAAGAGTTCAACCTCATCCTGTTCATTCATATAGCTTTGATATCTCGTACATGATTTCCTCTCTCCGGTTTCGGTAAGTTTATTTACACCCTTCTCTTCACCTCGTGTGATTCTCGTTTTGTCCACCTCCATCCTCCGTCGGCGCCACCTTCTCCCCTTTAGGTGGTGGTCACGTCGACGTAGCAATTGGTGGGGGTCGAGTTCGTGTCCACGTCGGAATACACCGTGCCCGGTGCCTCGAGCCAATCCGAATGGTCGTCGAACCAGTAAGGGATGTTGACGACGGCCCGGACCTTGTAGCCCGGGGTGATGGCGCTACAGTCGAGCCTCGACCGCCAGAAGGTGAAGCCGTCGGCCGAATAGCATTCCATCGACGCCTGGCAGGTGCATTTGGTGTAGTCGTTCCAGACGTCGGTCACGTAGCCCGCGCAGGGGGCCCAGTCCTGTGCGGACGCGGCCACGGAGACGGCGGAAAACACCAGCAATGTCGGTAGGCGCATGTTGGCTGAAATTGGATAGGTATGATTTCCTGCTGTCGGTGGGTTTCAGACGGCGCTTCTGGGGTGTTTTCGGTGTCGAGTGATGACAAGTAAAGATGAAATCTCTCTGACAGAGGCGTTGTATACGCAGCAGGGGGAGATGTTAAATACTTCCTGTGCATAACCTTGCGAAGTGATTTGGGGAAGCCTGGGCTCATCATCTTACCGATCAAAGTTCTCATATTCCAAGGTTTCTGCATCATCGACGAGCTTGGACCCGTGATATTAAAAGGTATTCTCAGACTTAAACTTCAATAAAAATCGAAGCACGGGCCATGTCTTGACAAGTTCTGCCTGATTAGAAACTTTGAACGAGGGCAAATGCTCACCATGCAGCGAAGTGACGGTTGCGTCGATAGATGTTGATCATGGTGACGGCTGGTGGCCTTCGCACTTACATGTTGAGTTAATTATTTGCAAATCCTAACTATTTTAGGTGTGGTGATTTTACCTCGTAACTATATTGGAGTTAATTACGCTTGAGTTGGTGAGGGTTTATATACTCCTAGACTACCCTCGAGCATTACTCCTATGATGGTCAGAGGGATTTGAGTTAGTAAGGGGTAAAATTATTGAAATGGTGAGGGCTAAAGAACTCTGTGAAATTATTCCTGGCTGCTATTACGGAGTAAAGGGAAATCAAAGACTGACTAAGCCAACCATCAAAAGCAGCGACCCAAAACACCAAACACAAACCCAAAGAACCAAGAAACCAAAAACTATTCGGTCGCAAGGCTTGTGTCTGTGCTCGTGATATGAGTCGGAAAGAGGGTTTCGTTGTCTTTGTCATCTCCTTCGGCGTCGGGTAACCCTCCCTTGACAATCCCGAGGCAACCAAAGGAGAGATTCGAGGGTTGAGGTCCGACAGCGGCGCTCAGGCAAAGTCGGGCAATCTCTACTGTACAACTGCCGCGAACGACCACGGAACCGAGTCGGGACTTTGCCATGGTCACGTCGGAACCAACCCTTTCAAAGGGTGGATCAGATGTGATGCCCCCCCTGGCACTTGTTGGATCCGGACCCTCGAGTCGGCTTCATACGACGACTTGGGACCCTCCAGGAACACCAACAAAAGAACAGGGAGACTCGTTGACGACGGACGAGACGCCATGGGCCCCGAATTTTCGGCACCCATCGGGAGAAACATCCACAAGGACAGTAACAACGACTCGAGTATCGATGTCACGACTTATGGGTTTGGATGGATGGAATCCGTTACGAAGGAGTCGAGGCCGCAGCGCAGTGTTTGGGTGCTGCGCGCACACTCGAGACAAGTCGCAGCACCAGTCACATGATCAAGATCCTGACAGCCTCGACACCAGAATTACACACGTGATCTTGGAGTCGTTTTGCAGAGTTAACTCGGAACACTTGCCCTGACCCTGTGAACAGGAATTATTGGGTGACTAAGCCATCAAGCTGCCAAGTACCTCCGTACGAAGTCATCATTTGTATGCCAAGATCCTGATCATGTGACCAGTGCTGACTGCTCGCCGCACTGGCCTCGACACCATCCATAGACCCTCCTTCGTTCTGAAATTCTTTGGTCGTGTTTCAAACGCACAGTCATGACATTACATTCAAAACACCTTTTGGGAACGAGTTACAAGTACAAAAGTATAAATACATTCCAAAGATATGACCTTTCGGAAGAACTTGTACATACGGACTCGGACACATGGAAATCGTAGACCTCACCGGACACTTTGTTGCTGTACGTGTCCATCGACCCCTCGTTGGATGCCGACGATGATCACGACTGCCACTCCAACACCTCTTCGATGCACCTGTGCAGGGCCATGGTTGACCCTTTCTCGAGCCAACTCGGCGGCGTCGGAGAAAAGAATGGCGACGTCGACATTCTCTCGAGCAACACCAACGCCGCCAGGCACCTGTCCACGGATTCCGTGACGCTGTCGGACAACGGCATGAACCTCACCGTGCTGGCCAGCAGTCCGGAGATGAGCCCGAGCCACGTCGAGACCGCGACCTGGTGGGCGCTCGACGTGCGCGACATGATCCTCACGATCGACTGCGAGGTGAACAAGAGGTCCTCCAGCGGGCTCCTGGAGAACCTGAAGCCCCTTTTTTCAAACCTCGACACCAACAGTCTCTCGAGGGATTCCGTCGTCAACGATGTCCAAGGTGGTGGGCGTTCGCCTCTTTCCTCCTCCTCCTCCTCCCCGTCTTCGTCTTCCTCCTCCTCTTGGTCTCCCTTTTCATCTTCATCTCCCTCCCTATCTTCGTCTTTCTCCTCATCTTCGTCTTCCTCCTCCTCCTCCTCCTCCTTATCTCCCTCCTCATCTTCCTCCTCGTCTTCGTCTCCCTCATCGTCCTCATCTTCATTCTCCTCCTCTTCCTCTCCTCTCTCTTCCTCCTCTCCCTCTCCCTCTTCCTCGTCATTCTCACGTAGTGAACTCTCGTAATCCTCCTCCTCCTCATCCTCCGACACGTCCCAACCCCCGGATGGGGCCCAATTTTCCTCCCCGGGGATGTGCTCCTCCGGAAACGCGATGGGGTCGAACCTCACCGTCATTCTGTTCGCGTTCGCCGTCATCGCAAACGGTATGCCCGGGGGGGCCAAAAAACACGGCAGCAAGGGCGTCGTCCAATGGTGCGGGTAATCCCGACAGAATCTCAGACAAGGTGTAGAAGCCACCTCGTTGGCCAAGGCTCGGAGTTGAATTTGCCGCTCGGGATCGGCCTGTCCCCTGCTGGCATTTCTGGTGAAGAGCAGTACACCGCTCGGGGCTAAAAAAGGGACACGGTCAGTAAACCAGGTTCCTGTGATGTCGCGGGGTTGTCTTGTCAAACCGAGTGAGAGAGGGGGAAAAGAGGGATAAGATGTGGAAAGGGTAGGTCCTCGTACATAGTAAGTCTTCGTGAAAGCCCGCGTAGCCCTCCCAACCCGGTACGCGGAGCATGTCGTCGGTGAACTGTGACTGCCTCCTGATCCCGAGGTTGGTGAGGACGGCGACGTCGGCGATCGTCACGTCGAAGATGTCCGGGTATGCCCGTCGGTCACTCCATTCCGGACCGTTGATGTCGACGACATTGTAGAAGACGTATCGACAGGGCATCTTGATTGTTGTCGTTTTGTGGGGGAAGTGGGTGTGAATGAAGAGTGGTGGTAAGTAGGATCAGTCAAGGAAGTACAGAGTACAAGTATTAATGGTAGTAGAAGAAGGGGAAGATGTTGGGGAGAAGAAGGTGTTGAGATGATGGTGGGAAGAGGGACTCTTTTTATGTTTGTTGAGGCGAGTGAGTTGATCTGGTACTCCCCACACAGAGGTTGGGTTTCTGAGAGTATATGCTCCGCGTTGGTCGGTCAAAACAAAGTGTCAAAACAAGGAGGGTCATGAAGGATCGAGAAAACAGAGGGTGGCTTGCTGTACGTTTCACATTCGCACAGTAGTCGAAATGTCAAAGTCCCTGCATGCCCCAAAGCCCTCACAGCTCATCTCATCGAGGCATGTTGGTCTCAACTTCGGATCCTTCTCTCGGACAGGGGTGCCGACGTGACAAGGGTCAAGGTAGATCCAGAGATCCAGAGTTGTTGTGGTGGAACCATCCCGTCGACGACGACGCGCCAGGCAGGAGGGTGGCGTTCGGACGCTTCGTCGGAACTTTACAGGGCAGACGTTAGCGGTATTGCTGCCCCAGAAGTGACAGTAATAGGCCGTATTGTAATGACATCTACAGAAGGGGGGTTTTCTTACGGGCCAGAACTTGTTACATTGCTTACCCGGGAGTTAGACCTGTTGACGCCCCCGAAACGAAGGCAACAAGCTCCGCTGTAAGGCATATTCTTACAGGTTAGACTTTGTTACATTTGGGTCTGCTGATGGAGAGTGCCTTCAAAACCACCAACCAGCCATCACGTGTACCGAGTTGTCAAGACTCTGATCATGTGACTAGTGTTTAGCTCTCATCAGCAGTCAGTAGGCGTCTCAGGTGGCCACCAAGTCACAACTATTGCAGCCAAAGTACTTCCCTCTGCCATCAATAGCAAGTGTAGTAGCGCTCGGCGCCACGTGACCTCATGTGATCCTCTGGCATCACAGGTCTTCCCTTCTGCGGTCCCCTAGTTCAACCAACTGCGCAACTCCTGGCAGTCAACAACAAATTCTTGGCAATAATATGATGTCACTGTCTGACACACTCCTCTCATTTGATTGGGTCAATCATGTCAATCATTCTATGTATTTATCTTGGATGAAATGCGCAATCATTCAAAATATCTATGTAGGATGAATGTGCACCGAGCTTAAACTATCTAGGATATGTGCACCACACTTGATGACACAACCCAAGATGATTAGGACTCGTCATTATTAATTCGCAACACACTCAAGCTTGATAATACTGAGGGCTTGTAACCATGACACCCTATATCATTAGGCCTTGCAATTATTTATTATTGCGCGACATACCCAAAACACCGTTCCGAAGGACTTGCACTCAACACATCCAAGATGTCCTTCGGAAAAAGTTGCAGCATTATTGCGGCAATCATGCGTCGTCCTGCATACTTGGACCTGACAGACCTCGTGAGTCTGTCGATTCTTCATCTATTAAAGGTCGTGCTCGGCGTGCTTCGCCTGCTTCCTTCGTGCTAGCCGTAGGCGATTAAGAATAGTCGGTGAGTCGCAAGGTACGAGCATAGAGCTCCTCGATAGGATGAAGTGAAGGTGGTGTCTCGGTCTGGGACGATGAACCTCGGGGCGTTGATAACCTTGCGATTATCCTTTCTAGTGCTGACTGTTCCAGTTCGACAGCGTCGACTGTCCCTCGACAGGGGATGAAACTCACCATTTTCGAGAATCTGTCTACCACCACTGGTATCGCATCACATGCGATTCCACGATAACTCGCAGGCAAAAAGCCTGTGATAAGGTCCATAGAGATGTCTTGCCACGGTCTCTATGGTTGAGAAAGTGGTCGTAGTTACCCATAGAGCTTATGCCTGAGGACCTTCATTCGCCGACAGGTATCGCACGTATCGACGTAAGCGAAGATCTTCTTTCTCATCTGCGGCCACCAGTAGCGTCCCACGAATCTCACGAGGGCCCTTCAGGCGATGGATCCCTGGTGCCAGCAAAAAAGGCCGGGAAGTCACAAAGGGAGAAGTTCAGAGAGGGGTGTTCAGAGGTCAATGGAGGATAGACCATGCGGGTCTCGTGCGGAAAGATGGTGTGATCTGTGTCGCCTCACGACCCTGCGACAGGACAAGAGACTGTTCGGGTAAACCATCATGACCCAATGGAAAGGAGGGCATTTCGGTAGTGCCCGAGCGCATGCGACTGTCGCGAGACACCACCGGTGGCCGCAGATGCGTGCGGTTCCATGTGAGACACTTTTGTGAATGAATCCGGGTGGCCAGACGGGTTTGCTGTCTTGCAAGATATTGTTGATGGCCGCAAGTCCTTCCGAAAGGTATTTTGGACGTTGGTTGCAATATGAGCACCGAGAAAGCCTCGTGTCGGGGGCAGCATCGAGACGAGACATGGTCGCCGAGCAGTAAGCGATAGATACATCGACTTGGGTTAGCAACGTAGCGAACATGATCGCCTAGTAGCAAGGTAGTAGTCAGGTAGCCTAATGACCTGAATGTGTAAGTAGGGCATCGAGAAGTAGCGAGAGTTTTCGCCTCGCCTAGACTTCTCGAAAAGTCGCCAAACGGAAAGAAAGCATCCTGCCAAGCCTGAAATTCCCAAGCCACACCTTGTGGCGTCACTCAGGCGTGGTTGTACCATAAGCTCCTGTGGCTTGGGAGCAGACCATTATGGAAGGTTAAGCGATCCGCCTTCGCTTTCTTCGAGCGCAGTTTAGATTTCATTTACCGTTCTCTACACTTCGAGGGAACAACGGTGAACATGTCGACTGCACAATGCTCACCAGCTGAACCCCATCATCGCCATCAATCGTCCCTCGAGGGAGTGATTGATTCGTGCGCAGCAACTCCGCCGCTCAGCCCCGAACAACGACAGGATTGGACGCGTGTTTTTACTGCAGTAATCGACGCATGCGAACCGTTGCAAGATCCGAAGCCATACAAACCCATCACTCTCGTACGATTGACCTACGAATTCGCGCGATCCGAAACATCCAAGGACAACTTTCTGCGCTTCTTCTTCCGACATACAGAGATCTCGAGTGATGTTTCGCCGTCGGAATCGACCCCTGCGTCCGAACACGTACCAAGATTGGTAGATTTCGCACAGACGCTTTTTGAGAACTTCTTCCTTCCCTGTAAGATGATTCTGATCGGAGTTTCGATAGTTAATATCCGCTGACGGTGCGCCAATTAGTGAGAGCTACAACGAAAAAAACCCCTCAACCTTCGCCTGCGATCCTTTCCGACGTGCAAAGTGTACATACCATCGCCGGAACTACCGACCGGCTGGCTGCTTTGAGAGGTGAATGCCTTATACGTGATCATTATCGCTGTGTCATCTCACGCACATTTGACCGTGATCAAATGAGGACGCGTGTGTCTCGGGATGGCGCGGAGAACGCACAAGACGATGAAGGAAATCTCCTGTCTGAAGAAAGAGGCACGTTTACTACGTTGGAGGTGGCACATATTATGCCTCACTCGTTAATGACTCTTTCAAGTGGGAAGACAGAGTTGGTATGTTCGCTACTATTTGTTGAGCATCTTTGACCTGACAGGCAACTAACTATTTCTCGAAGGATGAGTCAAAAAGACTAGCGCTTGCAATCTTGAACATGTTCGACGATGGCGTGGTACATCTGATTGAAGGCGTTAACATCGACCGCCCACGCAATGCGATCACATTGACTCATGATTTCCATGACCTTTTTGGCAGGTTCGAGGCCTATTTTGAGGCCACAGGAAACGAACAACATACCTACCGCATCGACTCAACCGACACTGGCATAGGACGCCATCCGCTTTTCCCTGTCACTCGTACACTTTTCCTGACTGACACCCGAACGATTGATCCTCCTTCTCCACGATTACTTGCTATCCACGCGGCCATTGCAAAGATACTTCACATGAGCGCTGCCGGCAGCTATATTGACAGTATCCTTTACGACCTTGACAAGGGAGGAATCTCTGTGGATGGGTCAACTCCGTTGGGCCATTTCACTGCTTTACGGATTCATGGCTGGGTGGATGGGCGGATTCGTGTCTGCTGATTATTCTGCACATATGTGTGTTTGGAATGAATGTCTGATTAACTTATCGATATGCTTATGAGAAATGCGAGCGCTGGTGTTATGGAGTTCCTCACTATCACGACTATGGGTTACAGTACAAAGGAGCGTGTTCTGAGAAGGTATCAAGGCCGCAGCGCAGGCTCGTGTCTGTGTGGGCGCAGGCCGAGGTAAATAGCACTAGTCACATGATCGGGATCCTGTATTGTTACAATTATTTGGAGTTTACTGTGTTTCCCCTCACCATTGACCAGCCAAAGTTTTAGCTGCTTTGTTCTCTTGCACCTGCGCCCACACCAGAAGAGACTGCGCTGCGGCATCAACAACACCTACAAACCAAAAGGCTCTCCTTCGTACTGAATTCTTCAGTCGTGTTTCCAACCCATGGTTGTGACATCTCTGATGGTCAAGATATCTCATTCTTTAGCAAAGCCCTTATCTTGGGCATCAATATCTTGCTTAAGTAAGAACTCTACGGTGGGAGAAAAGAGAGAACTAAGTGTGCCTAGTAGAGAGAAGAGAGAGAACTGGGTGTGCCTGGCAGGGAGAAAAGAGAGAACTGAATGTGCCTGGCAAAACACCAAGCAGTCTCTGTGGGAGTAAGATCACAGCAACGAATGCTCGACATTGCAAAAGGCAACTTTACAAAAGGTAACATTGTAGAATGCAACATGACAACATTGTAGAAGGCCACATGGAAATATTGCAAAGAGCAACTTTACAAAGGTCAACATGGCATTGTTGCAAAAGGCAATATGGCAAGAGGCAACCTGACAAAAGGTAACATTGTAGAAGACAACACGGCAAACTGGGCAAAAAGGCACCATCACAGAATGGGCAAAAAGACAACGGGGCAAAAGGCGACAGAGCAAAAGGCGACAGGGCAAAAGACGACAGGGCAAAAAGGTGACAGGGCAAAAGGGAATCTGCTGGCCTCACTTTGGGTAATCAAACGCCTTGCTGGAGTGACAGGACTTTGTGATGGGACGAACAAGAGACTGAATGCAATGTCGTAAAGTGGAAACATTGCGGAATGAAACATTGCAAGATGCAATCTGCTGGCCTCACTTTGGGGCATCCATATCTTGTTGACGTGAGGACCCCTGCGTGATAGGGAGGAACAAGGGACTGAATGCAATATTGCAAAAGGCAACACATTGTAAGAAGGCAGCATTGTAGAATGAAATTTTCTGGCCTCGCCTTGGGCATCAACATAGCAAAGTAGCTGCATGGTATGAAGGGAGCAAAGGATTGGAAGTGCTGCCGATTTGGTATGCTACGCAAATGCAAGGCAAAGTCTGTCTGGCTGCTGACGGTACGAAATTACTGCTGGTACAAGTTGGCTTGGACGAGGAGTTTTTATACCACTTGATCTATATCAGGAGATCTTGGTCATGTGGCTAGTGCCAACACTGCTGCGGCGGCCCTCAATAACACCTGTAGCATAATCAAAAGCCTCAACCATGCGTGTACCGTCGACAGTCCATATCAATATTGAACTGTAACCTCCATGTGAGGGCTATGAGGAAAGCTCGGCATCCACCTCTCCTCGAACCAGTCTTTTGATTCGGAAGAAGCGCTTCGTCTCCGTTTACGACCTCGAACCTCCTCTTCCGAATCATCTTCATCATCACTATACATATCGCCACTATCCCCGGCCGATCCGGTGCCTGCCGGACCCGGACGTGGACGCTTGCGCGGACTGGCGCTACAACTTTTACCCTGACTTGCTGTGGTTCTGGCAAACTGAGAGGAACGTTCCGAATCACAAATCTCCTCTGTAATCTTGTTGTCGATCCAAAGGCGGAGCTTTACTTCTGCATTTACTTCCAAGAATCCTCGCAGGAGCTCAAAGATGGTGTACGCAAAACGTGCGAATAGAAATTCTCCGAGAAGATCTCGGTTTTCGATTTGGTGGATTTCGACGCCATGGTAAATTTGTGCAGTCTGAGAGCGAGGCATTGCGTTCAAGCAGGACACGACTAACCGTCCCTCAATGGGTACGATGGTGAAGACTTTCGCGTCAAAAATTTTGTGTATATCGCTTCGTAGCCGGATCATGTTGTCTGGGTGTTGAAGCTTGTCTGCTCTTGTGGTGGTGTTGGTATACAGGCCCAAATTGGAGTTGAACCAATGCCTTTCGGTGCGGGGGATCAGGTAGGCATCTTCGACGCCGTCTTCGAACAGTGTGATTCGGCAACTGTCACTACCAAACGGGTATGGTTGCGAAGATTGCTCAGAGGAGGAGAGGTCGGAGGAAATGTCGTGCCAGGAAGGAGGGAGATTCTGATATGGGAAGCGCCAGTGTCCAAAGTTGGGAGTGATTGCATAATTCAGATCTAGTCCTCATTAGAATGCTTCGTAAGAGATTACTTTCTTGGGGAAAGTGTCCTCACCGTCCAGTGATCGTGATGTCTGGAAATAGTATTTTCCCTCTTTCAATATCGTTTCTGTCAATGGAACCGGATCTTCGCCTCTTCTGCCCAAGGAGAAGAAGCCGTCCCACGAGTTGTTGACGAGAATACCACAGGCGATTCGTATCGTCTCATGGTGAAAACCGCCAGCATCTAGACGAGGCAGTATGAGGAGAGTTCTGTCGTAACCGGGATGCAGGATGAGAATACGCTCTTTGCTGGGGAGACTTTGGGATTTCTCAGGATGTGAGGGTTGCGGGTAACGAGACCATACGACACGATCGTCGTCTGCATGCCCGCTAGCCATTTTGTCGTCTTGAGGCCATATTGCTCATGGAAGAAGAAGAACTAGTATGAGCATTGGTGACATTGTTGTAGGTATTGTTTTAAGGCCGAGCAGCGCAGTTTGCTAACAAATAATTCCAGTGGTGATGATATGTTGACTTGGGATTGTTGTTGTGGTCACTAGCCAGCCAAGTCAGTTACGTAATCCCAAACCCCTCACAGCCTCACAGCCAGAGTTAACCCTCACCGGCATAGGAGTAATAATAATCCAGAAGTAGTCCTCAGCGCCCAAGGTACCCTCTCTGTGGCCACAGTACTGTACCCTCCTCCAGCCATCCAAGTCTTTCCCTCTACGCAACCTAGATCATACCATAATAATTCTTGGCAATAATATGATGCCACTATTAGGCACTTTATATGATTGGTCAATAATGTAAAATATCTAGGATTTTGAGTGACCAAAGGGCACTGAGTCCTACATGTCTTGGAGTTGCAAATAATCAACTCAAGATACCATTCGGAAAGGACTTGTAACCAATAGTCTCATCCAGTAGGGGCATCGAAAAGTAGCAGTCCACAAGGTCAGCGAACGCAGGCAGATGGGTTGCCTGGCAGTATGTAGCCTACCCAGACTCCTCCAGTAGGGCACTAAGAAGCTTATAGGTTGGGCAGCAATAGGCACCTCGCATGGAACGGCGACGTAGGCGGACATGATCCCTGTTGACGTGTGTGTGTGTGCGTGTGTGTAGACTGATAGCCGTAGAGAGCTCGAAAGATCTCGTGTGTTGAGCACCAACCCGGGGAGACATGAGCCTCCTAGCAGTATAAGTGTGTAGACTTAGGGCTAGGTATTCAGTAGAGCACTTGAGTAGTAGTCTCATAGTGGGCGGGCAGCTAAGCAATAAGCACTTTAACTTGGGTAGCAAAGACGAGCCCGGGCGGCCAGTGCAGACAAGCAATAGGCTGTACCTCAGTCTCTCTGAGATGGGTCTCAACCCGTCAAGCAGAGACGAGGCAAATCTCGCCTAACAACAGGTAACAGGTAAGCCTATCAAGCCACCTAAGTAGGGGAACCGAGTAGAGCAGCCCCAGGGCAAGCGATAGGCGTTCTCGCTTTGGGCATCAACTTGTAGCAGGCAGGAAAGGTTCGCCCAGTAACATGTAACAGGCACGCCTACTAGCCAGTTCAGTAGGGCCATCGAGAAGTAGTAACCTCATGACGAGCGGGCAGCAAGCAATATGCCGTATCTCAGTTCTCTTGGTTGGTTATTAAACTGTAGTAAGCAGGAAAGGTCGCCTAGTAGTGTAAGTGTGTTTAGTCTTATTGCCAGTCATCCAGGAGAGCACCGAGTAGTAGCCTCAGAACTGGGCAGTATTCTCTGTGTTTAGGCAGTAAGTAATAGGCATGTCGCCTAGTAGTAGGCCTGGAATGCAGCAGGGTAGCGGACATGAGTCGCCCAGCAGCGTGTAGTCTAATGGCTTAAATGGTAAGTAGAGCACCTAGAAGTAGCCATTGGGTCGGGGTGAACAGTAAGCAATAGACGTCTCGCCTTGTGGCAATCAACTGTAGCGTGTAGGAAAGATCGCCCAGCAGTACGTAGCCTGATAGTCTCACTCAGTAGGGCATCGAGAAGTATCAATCTCACAACGGGGCGGGCAGCCAAGTAATAGACTACACTCTACCCTCTGGTTGAGTTACAACGTAGCGAACATGCTCACCTACTAGTAGGTAATGTGTAGCCTAATGACCATCCAGTAGAGCATGGAGTAGCAGGTCCCAGGGTGGGCGGGTAGTAGACAAATAGGCACCTCGGCTTGGGTAGTAACGTAGTGGACATGATAGCCTGGTAGTAGGTGGGTTAGGTAGCCTAATGGCCACCCCTGTAGAGTATTGAGTTAGCACCCCCTCATGCCGAGCGGGCAGCAAGTAACAAGGTCGACACCCTGCTCTCTGGTTAAGGCATCAATGTAGCGGGCATGATCACCTAGCAGTAAGTAGCCTTATAGCCTACCAGCCAGCCATTTAATAGAGCATCGAGAAGCTCTTTTGTTACGTAGGAGCAGGCATGTCGCTCTGAGCAGTAAAAGACAGGCAGACATGATTGCCTAGCAGTATTTGTGCAGCATGTAGCATAATGGCCTTCTTCAGTAGGGCACCGTGAAGTATGATAGCAGCCTCAGTCTCCGGTTAGGCATCAAACCGTCAAGCAGAGTCAAGGCAAATCTCGCCTAGGGGAAACTTATCGGCCTCACCATGTGTGGAGAGAGATTGGCACGTTTCGAGCACAGTCCGAGACGATAAAGGGTCGCCTCACTTTGGGAGGGTCGAGCAGTAATTGGAGGCCTCACTTTTGAGTATTATTGAGTAGCGATAGGCCACACACACTCTGGGCACCATAAGGGACATGGCTCTTAGGCGGCATCAGGTAGCGACAACGTCTGATTTCGGGGCAGTAATAGGGCTTCAGGTTGGGGGAGCATTGGGCGGAAATGAGTCTCGCTTCGGGGTAGTAATGGGTCTTAACCTTGGGCAGCAATTAGGCGCACACACCCTTGGGTGGTAGTAGTCATCGGGATAAGAATATGGGCGGCATCACTCTTTTAGGCGTCACAGTACACACACACCTCACACTTTAGGTGACGGACGATCTTCGGATTAGTATTGAAGCCGTCAACTTTTGAGTTGGCATTATGAGTGAGGTCTGGGCAGAAGGCATATATTCAAATCAGAAAGACTCCCTACAAGGCCTCCTCATCCGGGGTCAGTGGCATTGGAGAGACTTTGCTTTGCGCGTATATGGCTACAGTAGGTAGAGATGAGGGCCTTCGCTTCGGGGCAGCAATAGGTCACACCTTGGGCAGCAACAGGGCTTCAGGTTGTGAGAGCATTGACCAGAAATGAGCCTCGAAATGAGTCTCGTAATGAGTCTCGCTTCAGGCAGTGATAGGTTACACACTGGGTAGTATCAGACAGTAATGGACGTCGCGTCGAGCAAGCGTTTTAAGGAGCGAATAGGCCACACCCTGAGTAGTAATGAGACATGAATCTGGGCAGTACCGGGTAGCACTAGAGTGTCAAGTAATGGTAGTAACAGGCCACATCTTGAGACTCACTCTGGGGCAGTAATAAGTCTCACTTCGGGTAGTAATAGGGCTAAAGTTGTAGTAGTAATGGGCGGTAATGAGTCTCGATTCGAGCAGTAATGAGCCTCAATCTGGGACTCATACTGGGCGGTATCGGGCGGCAGATAGGTCTCGCTTTAGGGCGGCAATGAGAAGTACACACCTTGGCTAAGTCTGGGTGTTGGGGGTGGCATACATTCCAATTGGAAAGACTCCCTACAGGGCCTTCTCACTCGGGGCGTTGGCATTAGAGAGACTTCGCTTTACTCGTACACTAGCTGGATGCCAACAGCGGTGCCCAACAGTATATCGCACACTCACAACCAGTCAAACACGTACGAGGACACTCCGTCAGCCCACTCTCCGACCCGTCGCGAGAGTATGTTGATCTGGTGTGATGAGTTGTGGGATGTGCGGCATCGCCTCGCAGGCTCAGCGTCCAGCTAGTGTGCCCGGTCCACTTACAATTCGCTAGCAAGTACAGCAGAGTGGGTTGTTTGGTCTCGAACCCCGGACGGGTTGGCTCACACTTGTCCAAGTCGGGGTGTGGTGTCAGCGATTTTCTTGACTTCTCATCCACCAACACTCCTTGGGAGGTTTGTTGATCTGGCGTCTGAGAGCTAGCTTCACTCGGAGACTCGAATGGACCGGACTCGTACACGATGACTGGTTGCGGGTGTGCGGCACAGCCGACGGCGTCCAGCTGGCGCCCATTTAGCGCCCGGCTGGTGTCCAGCCGGATTCCCGTCCCACCTCGCTTCGCCGTAAAGTGGTGTTGGTGTTTTGCAACAGGTTTCGAACCCCGGACGGGTTGGCTGGACCTAGTTCGAGGCTCAAAGGTGAGTTTCCTTGATTTTTTCCCTTCGAACCACGGAGCTACGCTACTCCGTTACTAGCCCGCGAGGTTTGTTGATCATCACATGCGGCACCGTTTTGACGCCCACTTGGTCTGTCCAGCTGGTGTCCCGTCCCACATCGCTTCGCCGCAAAGTGTCCAGTCGGTGTGTGTCCCACCCCTCCTTTTCAGTCAGCGTTGGCAATCATGGAGGGCCAGACTTCGAGACCAAAACGATCTTCCCGTCTTGCCGTCAAGTCACCAATAAAGTCTCTTCCGACAACGGACAACTTTCTACGGTACACAATGAGAGGATGATGACCCCTCCGGACATCCTGTGGTTGACTGACGTACCCTACTGCAACAATGTCGTGTAACCAGGCTACGGACCTTTTCACACTCATGATTGACCTGCCACAAAAAAGACTCATGTTGTGTAACCGGACTGACTAACGCTACGGACTTTCTCGAGACAACCCCCAACCGACCAACCCAGCACACACCTCGTATTCAACGGAAATCAATGACGCCTCGACTTTTCTTTTGGTGGACTATCTTTGCTACAAGGGTCATGGAAAGATGATACATCACATTGTTTTTTGTTGGGCTGGCTGGCCGGCTGGCCTCGACTCGCCCATCACTTCGCCCATCACTTTTTCCCCTCCTTCTTTCCCCTCTTCCTACGGAGTTATCAATCCAATCAAAGCTTGTTCATTCCTTGTCATGTCATGTCATTTTGTCATTCCACCTGGATATCCCTTGGACGGCTATGAGTCACTACGTACTTGGTATTGTTATCTCTCTCAGTACCCTCGTACATGAGGCGTCACATTATGGTATGCATTGCAGCATTGCATTCTCTCCCCACCCACCCAACATCCCAGATACGAGGGCGTGTGGTGGTGGTTGTGATGGCCATCACAAAGGGTGGTGGTCGTCCTCCTCGTCGGCAAATTTTGGCGCCACGAACCCGTGCAGTGCTGGTCGATCGGTGATGATGTAGGTCGTGGTGGTGACGGTGGTGACGGTGGCCGTGTCCGTGACGGTGGTGACGGTGGTGGTGATGGTGATGGTGGTTCTCGTTGACCGGTTTGGTGCTGCCTCGTCGTCCGGGCAAAAAATCTGGATCAACTCGTCTGCGATCTGGGCTTGTCTCTCGTACACGAGCGCGTCCTCGGCCTCGGCCTCGCACTCGCAACCTTCCCACTCGCTCTCCCACTGGGTCGACCACTCGGTCTGGCTCCGCCTTTCCCCTCTGCTCCCCCTCTTCGGCTTCTTGGAGCGTCTCTTTTTCTCTCGCTTGTTTGGTGTTACTCCCATGCTGTTGCCGTTGCCGGTTGCTGCTGCTGCTGCTGTTGTTGTTGTTGTCGTCGTCGTCGCTGTTGAGCGTTGTCGTTGCCAAGTTGGCTTCAGGTTCTTTGGAAAGACAAGGTTGTCTGCGATTCTGGAACGACTGTATGGGACTACGGGAAAGACTCTTTGAGAGGGGGACTTTCCTTAGATATCTGCATCTCGACTCGACCCTTCATGACTATCTGCAACTTTGTACTCGTCGCGGACGAGGCGTTGATGCATCAAAATTGAGACCTGCATCGCGACTCGACCATTTTACTCGTTGCGGGCGTCGATGCGCCCAAAAGTGAGGCACAAAAACGTGGCCCAATGATACCAAAGCGAATGCCTATCCCTGCCCTCAGAGAGGGCCAACAATTCCTCAAGTGTGGCCTAGGCCCTGGTCAAAGCGATGCCTATCTTTGCCCGGAGCTAGGCCCTAGTCTTCCAATTAGAATGCTCGAAGCGTCACCCAATAATTCCTCAGGTGTCGCCTAGACACTGGTCAAAGCGAGTGCCTATACCTGCCCGGAGCGTGGCCCAATGATTTCTCAAGTGTGGCCTAGGCCCTGGTTAAAGCGAGTGTGTACCATTGCCCAGAGCGAGACCCAATGATATATCAAAGTGTGGCTGATCTCTGCCCCGAGACAGAGTCGATGATTCTTTCGGAGCGAACACCCGAAGCGAAAGGCCTTAACCTCTACTGTATGGTCCCGTCTACTTGCGCTTCGCCACGGAGTTGTGTGGGTTTTGGCAAAAGGTCTCGAACACCACTTGACCCTGCTCTGGATGTCAGTGTACGGACGGACTAGGTGGTTGATTCCTTGATTCTGACATCCACCATCATCCACCCCGTCCGGGGTGTTCAAGACCTTTTGCCAAAACCCACAGAACTCCGTGGCGTGAGGCGAAACGAACAGGATACCAGCCGGACACCAGCTGGGCGCCAAAACGGCAGTGCCGCACACGTCATAACCAGTCAAACACGTCCGTAAGCCAACCTCGTGTGGGATGTTCGAGACCTGCCGCAAAACCCACACACAACTCCGCGGCGAAGCGAAGTGGACAGGACATCAGCTGGACGTTCAACGGCAGCTCCCATCACGCCAGATCAACATACTCTCGCCAAGGGTGAGCTTCATTTTGAAATACGAAATCCGACCGACCGACCAATACCTCTCTCCGGAATCATCGTTGGGTGTCAAAAATTGTCACACCGGTCACACTGTGTCACACACCCCTCTCAGCCTATCGCTTTCTCTCTCTCTTGTCTCTTCTTTTTTCTCCTCCTCGTGTTGCATACTGCTCGGCCGTGCATGGGGACTAAACAACTAGTCCAGAGTTTTCTCGCTTTGCCATGGAGCAAGTGGTTTCGAACCCCGGACGGGTTGAGCTTACACTTTGACCAAGTATGGACCCGACATCCCCACAACACACATCTACTCCTGAAGCTGGTGAGGCTGAAAGAAGCGCTAAGCAAGGACTCGACTCCTGTCCATCGGCGTGTGGAAGGCCATTTGCCTGTTAGGATACGAAGTACTCCGTACGGATTCTCTGACATTGACACTGCCTCCACTCCGTAGACTTGTCCCTTTCCTCCGTACAGCACGGAAATAGTTTTGCCTGCATTTCCGGAATTCCTTTTTGTGTGACCCTCGCGAGTAACATTGGTTGTCAGTCCCATGTCGGAGAGTTGGAGCTGAACTTGGGCAATCAAATCAATCATGCATGCAGTAAGGTGGAGTAAAAGAAGGACTTGTATTGTATCGAGTGGTCGACTCAAAAGACGAGGATGCCGACTGTAGAGACTGACAAAGTGTCTTGTCATTACAATCCCCAACCACCAAAATATCAGCAGCCATGGAATGAAATGACAGACAATTACGGCAAGCCACACTTGTAAATGAAAGCCACAGCGATTGAATGAGGGAGATTAACAACAGTACCAGCCACTCCGTCCATGATAACTCTACCGATAGTAACTGTAGCGATGAGCAACTCCTGTTGCTGCTGCGTACTCCGTTCCCTAGTAAAAGGGTCAAGTTACTGCCACCATCAGAACAAATGGTTCAATGCAAGCCACAATCCAATATCACAATGTGACAATGTTATGATCCACAAACAACCAACAATATCATCTTGGTCTTCCAATCAAATCTTCTACCATTCGATTCCAGCACTGCCCCCTTTTTGACGCCTTGCCTTCTCCGGTACGAGTAAGTCCACTTCAATCTCAACAACGTAAACTTCGGATCAAACGCCACCTTTATCCGGAGATCGATAGCGTCAAAAAGATTGCCGGGGGGTTGAGATCAGATCCTAGCGACACGTTGGCTTCCCTTCAACGTCACTCCCTAACCTCCAGGGTATAAGAACTCGAGACTTTCCCCTTCGATCCGCAATCTAAACTTCTGTCCTTCACAACTCAAAATCAACACAATCCACTGAGCTACTCAGAAGACGCTACCCAGGCAAGTACCCCATACTCCTTTCAAACCATGGCATCCAGTTCGCCCACTCCTCAAAGGCCACAAGAACCTCTCAGCACGTGACTTGCATCACATGTTTCCATTTCTCTCAACACATGAGGGTTTCATCACATGTTACCCAGTACCCTTCTCAACACATGAGACTTTCATCACATGTACCATTCTTCCAAAAACACATGACTCTCATCACATGCGCCTTTACCATTCTCTCTCCCCAACACGCTCTTTGCCGTCAACGTCGAATGCAAGCAAAGTCCGTGGCTGACCAGACTTGAATGCCCTGCAGTTCTTTCAATCAACCACATGCAACACCTCACAGGCAACCCTTCATGGACAATCAACAGTGTTCAAGCCTCGCTCCGGAATCCAAGAACCCTCTCTGTGACGGAACCACCACCTCCACCTTGGCCTCCTCCGTGTCCCAACCTCCATCTACTGAAAAACCTTCCGGCGATGACAGTGACAATCGGGCATCCGCAGAATTGACCTCTTCCACAACCTCCGACCATGACAAGCGGACCTCCGCTGAAATAACCTCTACCACAACCTCTGTCCAGGACAATCGGACCTCCTCCACCCCGGGGGAAAATGGTCAGTACCAGACATATACCCTTTTCACAAAAACCAAAGATCCATCCAAATCCCAACAAAATCCCAGCTCGATGTCTATATATATCGGGTCATCTCCCATCCCAATTCCCAACCGTCCATCATCTTCACACACACCTCCATCTTCTTGTTACTGATGTCTTCCCAAAACAGTCATGGCCATCTCCAATCTGGTCACCGACAATGAGACCAACGTGGAGCCAGGTAAGTTTGACCCAAAACCAAAACACCATGACAAGTTCGCTGATGCCGAGATAGAATCCCCCCGAGATTCTGCTGTCGCCATCGAGACTCCTCAAGAGTCTGATGCCGACGCGGGTGATGAGCCTGATGATGATTCACCCGCGTCTGCATCAGACTCTGATGATAATGAAGATGAATATGACACCGGCTCAGGTCAGTATCCCAACCCCCAAAAACATACAAACCTCCAGACACCAACTGACATGGACTGACAGATTCTGATGATGGCTCGGACGCCGAGGGGGGCGTCGCCACCAACGTGGACCAAGATCCCGTTGGTGTATCAGAAGCAGAGACCGAGGTCGGTCCAGGCTAGCCTCAAGCCCCCCTCCCCCACCACCATGACTTCTGAGGTTGATGACTGACCGCGTGACACAGATGTTGATGTCGAACCAGAGTCGCTAAACGACCTGGTTTCAACGCGGCCGGCCGGTGTCAACGTTGACACTCTCCCTGAGCAGGAGAGTGTACCACCAGCGTTCTGGGGGATGCCCCGACGATGGGGACCAGGGCGACCGGGGTGGCCCCCTATGCCCCAGGCCCCAAGCTGTGCCCTCGAAGCGTCTCTCCCAGTCGAAGGACCCACGATCGAGGTTGCTCAAGCAGCCGGGTCCAAAGCGGCGAAAAGGTCCAGGCCCCCGAACTGGCCTGAGCCCACCGCAAGGCCTGCGCCGGCGAGAAGGACTGCGCCCTCGTGGACCCTAGGCGGTGATGACGAGGACGAGCATGATGAGACGTTACCTTCGCCTCCATGTTCGACTTCGTCGTCATCTCCTTCGTCGTCACTCCCTTCGGTGTCACCTCCCCCGTCACCTCCGACGACAGGGACACCGTGAAAGGGTCGACGAGCGGAGGAACTACCGAGAGGGCCCGCGCAAGTTCGGGAATCCGCACCGTCCGGTGGGGTGTGCTGGCGCGGGTTGGGATCATGACCAACCACTCCGGTCCCCAGACGTCACAAGAGATACCTTGTGACGCAACATACCCGTCGTGCCTTGGGTATAGGCACGGTAACGCATACTCTGTGCGTGCCCGTGGCCGTGGTGCCCGAGGAAGAGACCTCGTGTGCGAAACCGGGTCATTCAAATGTCTCGCCCGCAGAGTGAGATAGGAGACACAATCGAGGTGACCCGGTATCCTTCCAAGCCCACGTCTGCACCTCGCTTGGCCAATGGGATCGGCCCAAAGCCACCCATTCCTGCGCGACGGCAAGGCTTATCGTCACCGCCATCCTCGCCGTCACCAAACCCCCATTCTACGCACCCGGCACCCCAGGGCCAGTCATCATCACTGGAATCAATCACCCCGGACGACCCGCCACCGTCGTCTCTTCCCCCGACAGCAGCTCTATTCTACATCATCACCAGCGCAACCCATGATTGGGGCCTGGTGGGCGACACCTTACGATCGACGGACCTACGCGATGGTCCATATCTACCGCCTGCTCTTCACAGAATATTCGACCCTGTGAAGGAACAGGAATATATTTATATATGTATATTTTAAAGGACCAAGGGTTTCCGGTGGATGAAATCCTGGGTCCAGAATGGCCGGGTGGAAAAAGAAAAGAAAAGGACAAAAAAGAGGAAAAACAAAAAAAAGAAAGAAAAAAAAATAAGAAAACCAACCGATTCGACGCCAACCTCGTTTTGTTTCTCTTTCCAGTTTTACTTTATGGTGATTTCATCTTGGTCTTCGCCTTGGTCCACGTCTTCGTCTTGGTCTTGGTCTTGGTCTTCGTAGAGTAGAGTAGAGTAGAGAAGAGTAGAGAAGAGTACACACATATAGATAGGCCGAGGTTACTCCGTAGTTTCCCCGAACTAGCACCAGTTTCGTTCACATGATCAGAATCCTGTACATACTTTTGGGCAGTAATTAATAATAATAATAATAATAATAATTTGGGGGTGATTGCGCAGTTTACAGTTGCAGTAGTTTATCTAACACCCTCAGCCATTCCCAAGTCTACATACTCCGTACCTCTGGCAAACATCTGGCCATCCGAATCACCCTTCTACGCAATTCCCTAGTAGACTGTCACGCGATAATAACTACGAGTCCCAATCATCTTGAGTGTTGTGATTGTAACTCTTGATTGCCAGATTCCATCATTTCAAAACGCATAGTCGTGACACACACGGTATGTCAATCTCTCTACGGTATGTCAATCTCTCTCCCTCTCTCTCTCTCTCTCAGGCGTACCACCCAGCACACACACTACTGCACGAACTGCACTTGCACAACACACAACATACAGTGAAGGTTAACACCACTTTCCTTCTAGGCGAGTTTTGCCTCGCTCTCTCTGCGTTGACAGTTTCGATGCCCAAACCAGAAAAGAAGAGTGAGCTGATAGGCCTTGTTGCCTGCTTACTTGCTTACTTGCTGCCCACTTCTCGGTGGGTGGTGCCCTATTGGAGAAGGCCCATTAGGCTTGAGACACCTGCTTCTAGGCGACCTTTTCCCTGCTTGGTACGTTTGAATGACCTTTGGCGAAGCGAGATGCCTATTACTGCCCGACATGCAGACTTCTCGATGTTTTACTGGAGGAGACTATCAGGCTAAAATTTGGGTCGGTTGCCTTGTTTACCTCGGGCGTTACTAGCCTGGTGAGACGCCTATTACCACCCGAAGCGAGATGCTAATTGCAGCCCAACATGTGATTCTCTCGGCACCCTTCGGGCAGACTGTGAGGCTTACACCTACTGACTGACTTCTGTGTCTACGGCGTTAATGCCCCAGAGACAGCCTACAGTATTCCTACCTACTCAAGATGAGGTTTCTACTGGATGGATATTAGGCTACACACACTTGGTAGGTTGCCTACGTTACTGCCCTGTTGAGGCGCCCATCACCCCTCGAAGCGAGGCGCCTATTGCTGCCCAATATGTGATTCTATCGGCACTCTTCGGGGCAGACTACTAGGCTACACCTGGTCATCTGTTCAATGTTTTCTGCTACATTATTTGCTGCTCGAGGCGAAAGTGCCTATTTGCCTGTCCAAGTTCAAAGTGAGGCGCCAAGGTGTTACTTGTGGCTTCAACTTGCCTCGTCTCTCGATATTGTTCGTCAGCAGATTTTGTCATTCCTCATTGTACTACAGGCGTATCAAGGCTACTACATCTGCCAATCGTGAGCATGTTCACTCTGGTGTGTTGATGCCCAAAGTGTGGTGGCCTATTGCTACTGGGTACAGGGGTCTACCGGTGAGTCTCCGGGGAGAGTGCTGGGCTACGCCTGGTCAGCTGCCAATGGCCCGAGGTTTTTGCTCCGTTGGTGCCCAAACGGAGTTTCTCTCGGTGGTTCTTTGGGGGGGGGAAAGAATGTTTAGCTGCCGAGGGACACCCATGTCTGCTGCATCTGATCCCTAAGCCCCCCAAAAGTGAGGCGCCCATTCCTACCTGAAACCGAGCTAACCTATCGCTACCTACCAAAAAGCGAGGGCTCTCTCTCTCCCTGGTTAAACTAACCCAATGATTTCTGCCAACTTTGACGCCCCAAAAAAGCGAAGCGATCTCAACAGGCGCCCAGCCATGGCAGCACACCAACACACACACTCTCTCTCACCGACTCTCTCTCACCGACTCTCTCTCACCGACTCTCTCTCACTCTATCTACATTCTACTTCGCCCCATGGTTCTTTGCATTGTTACCCAAGGCGAGGCCAAACAGACTACCGACTTGCCATTGCATCTTCAGTCCTTTGTTCCCTCCTATCATAGAGTGCACTACTACATCGGATGCCGCCCAAAGTGATGCCAACACACTGCACCGCTACGTTGCCTCTCAGTCCTTTGTTCCTCCTACCACAGACTGCGTTTCGATATCGATGCTGCCCAGGTTGCGGCCAACACTCTGCGTCGCTACGTTGCCTTCCTACAGGACTACAGGGCGCAGTCTTCTATTCCTCCTACCACAGACTGCGTTTCAATATTGATTGATGCTGCTCAAGATGAGGCCAACACACTGCATCGTCACATTGCCTTCCTACAAGACTATAGGGCGCAGTCTTCTGTTCCTCCTATCACAAAGTGCCTTGCTACATCGACGATGCCCAAACTGAGGCCGACAACAAGCTACATGATGCATTGCATTCAGTCCTTTGTTCCTCCTACCACAGACTGCGTTTCGATATTGATGCTGCCCAAGGCGAGACAGACACACTACATCGCTACAATGCATCTTCCTACAGGGCTCAGCCCTTTTTTCCTCCTACCGCAGAGTGCGTTTCGATATCCATCCCGCTCAAAGTGATGCCAACACACTAAATCGCTACAATGCACCTTCTTACACGGCTGAGTCCTTTGTTCATCCTACCACAGAGTGCCCTGCCGCATCGAATACTGCCCAAGATGAGGCCAACACACTGCATTGTATCGCCTCATTGCATAACCACAGGGCCTACTCCGTTAGGTCCTTTGGTCCTCCTACCACGGAGTCAACAAGCTACATGGTGCAGGTGCATTGCATTCGGTCCTTTGGTCATCCCACCACAGACTGCGCTGTTACATCGAATGCTGCCGAAAGAGAGAGGGCAACAACAGGCTACATGATGCATTGCATTCGGTCCTTTGTTCCTCCTATCACGGAGTGTCTTGGAGTGTTATGCTGCTCGGTGGTGATACCAACACATTACATCGCTACGTTGCCTTCCTACAGGGCTTACTACACTTCGATCCTTTGTTCCTCCTACCGCAGCTCGAATGCTGCCCGAGTTGATGCCAACACACTGCATCGCCACATTGCCTGCCTCCAGGGCTCAGTCCTTTCGCTCGCCCTACCACAGTGTCAACATACTACACGATGCATTGCAACCGAATGGGGTTCTTTGTTCCTACTACAACCAGAAGTGTGTTGCTACATCGAATACTGCCGAAAGAGAGAGGTCAACGACAGACTCCATGGTGCATTTCACTCAGTCCTTTGCTCCTCCTATCACGGAGTGTTTGGCCATGGTGTTGCGGCCCAAGGTGCTGCCAACACACTGCCTTTGCTTTTACATTGCTCTCGCTGCATTGCATACCTACAGGGCTTACTACACTCGGTCATTTGTTCCTCCCACCACCGGAGCTGCTTGACCGTGTTGATGCCCAAGGCGCGAGGCTCTGAATGCTCCATGTGAGGCCAACAAGCTACCACCTGCACTGCATGTTCAAGCGTGCTTGGTCAAATACGGGAACATTCAGTCCTTTGCTCCTATCACGGAGTGCGCTGCTATCTCGATGCCGCCCAAGGCGAGACCAATAGCAAGCTGCAACGTGCATTGCATTCAGTCCTTTGCTCCTCCTATCACGGGGTGCGTTGCTATGCCGACTTCTGCCCAAAGTGAGGCTCAGTAAGCTGCACCTTGCAATGTTGCAATGTTGCATTCAGTCCGTTGTTCTTCCTATCACGGAGTGCGCTGCTACGGTTGCTGCTGCCCAATGTGAGGCAAACAACAAGCCACAGACTGCATTGTATACCTACGAGGGGTACATTCAGCTTCTTTCGTTCCTCCTACCAACCACAGAGCTGCTTGCTATGTCCATGCTCGAAGCAAGATCAAGGCATACTCAAAGTGAGGCCAGCAAACTACATCCGCAGTTGCATCATTGCCGCACCATCAGTCCTTTGCTTCTCCTATCACAGACTGCGTTGCTATGTCGAATGCTGCCCAAGGCGAAGCCAACACTGCATTTTGTATCGATGGATTGCATACCTACGAGCCTCGCACTCGATTTCGTTGTTCCCCCTGACCACAGAGCTGTTCGCTGACACTCTGTGACTTACCGGAGAATGAAGCGAGACAAAGCTACATGCGCATTTGAACCCCGATCCATTGCTTTCTTACTCGCCGAGTGGCTCATCCTTTGTTTGCTGCCCAAGGCAAGTTGAGGCCAGCAGACCAACGGACTTGCATTGGTGCATGTTGCACGTTGCATTTGCAAACGTCGAGTCCATCCGGTCATACCGGAGAATCGGTCTTTGCTCCAGGCGAAGGTATTGATGCCTCACAAAGAGAGAGACAGCAAACATGCATCACGTCGTTCACATTGCAATACCTACGAGGCAGATTCAGGGCTTTCTCCATGGCGACTACCTACTACTACCTTGCTACTAGGCGACCATGTCCGCCAATGTTGCTACCCAAAGCCGATGTACCCTATTGCTCACTGACCCCCCGTCGTAAGGCTACTGCCCGACCTGGGGCCGTTACTCGGTGCCCTACTGAATGACTAGTAGGCTACCTGCTACCTACTACCTATTGCTGCTAGGCGATATTTGCCTTGCCTCTGCTTGACGGCATATGACAACAAAGCGAGAACGCCTATTGCCTGTCTGCCCGCCCGTCCTGAGGCTGCTATCATCATACTCAGACCTGACCGCCACGACGCGGGAACTTCAAAAGGATTCGACCGTAGCCAGTCACTCAAACCGTCTCACTCGCTCTGGAATTCGTCGGACGCGGCGTGAGGGTTTGATCTCGGCCGGTCTCTCGATCCACTGCAATAACCAAACCCTCCGTCGACGTGCCACACGATGTGACAAAGTGCATGAGCCATGTACCTAGGCTGTCGGTCTCAAAACCCCAACGACGGTGCAACCCGATGCCTCGTTGAGCCCTTCGGACCCGATCGGCATGGCCGTGTCTCGGCGAAGAGGGTTGTCACAGTCCAGAGTCGAGGCCAAGTCTGACGTCCGCACGTCCTGAGGCTATCATCATACTTCTCGATGGCTCTACTGGATGGCTGGTAGTGCTGCCGGCTACCTGTTGCTAGGCGGCCTTTTTCCTGCCCGAGGCTGCCTATTGCTTCCTGCCCAACGCGAGGCTATTGCCCGACCTGGGGCTGCTACTCGGTGCCCTCCTTGCCCTACTGGATGGCTGTCAGGCTAAACCGCTTCTAAGGCGACCTTTCCCCCGCCTGCTACGTTTGATGGCCTTTTGGCGAAGCGAGGTGTGTTTTGCTGCCCCAAAGTGTGTGATCCTTGGTCTTTCCATTGAATTGCTCGAGATGATGCCTATTACTAACCCGGAGTGTGGCCTCGATGTGAGGTTGTACTGATGCCCATTTTCCACCCAAGGAGAGGCTCGATGCTACCTAAAGTTGTACACCCATCTCTGCCCCAACCGAGGCGCCCAAAGCGAGTTCCTTTTTGTCGCCCCGATGCTACCCAAAAGTGTTGACCCTATTGCCGCCCTAGAAGTGCGCCCATTGCTTGCCCGACACTGCCCGTAGCAAGACTGATTATCACTTGATACTGCCCAAAGTCATTGCGTTAGACGACCAAAGGCTCCCCATGCGGCGTACTCCGTCAAAATGGTCTTTACAAGTCGAGGCCTATTTCTTCTTTTACTGACACAGTTTTACCACTCATTCCTCTTCCTACTCTATCCGACGAGGCACTCGTTGTTGAGGCAACTTCCAGGGCCTCAGTCTCCAGGCCTATACATGTTATCGTCCCGGGAGCTGGTGCGGCAACGAGGAATACCTCAATCGGAGGAAGAATTACGCTCCTTTTTATGGACATCATGTAAAAATAGGTAGCAAACAGCCTTGTAGTCATGTCATCGAGGCCAGACTCGACAATAAATCATATTGGACCGCTGGCATTTAAATTACTAGAGGTTGCACCCAGTTTAAGAACCATTTACCGTCTCGAGAGTGTGCTCGCGGCGTTGACAATATTTCTACACGCACACACACACACACACACAGCCAAGGCTAAATCACATTCATCCAAGCGAGTTTCTGCCTTTGTCTCTGCTTGACGATCGATGCCATCAACCAGAGAAACTCCAAGGTACAGTCTGTTGTTTGTCTGCTCGCTCGTTCGCCCGACATAACGGGCCACAAACGTCTTGGATCTAAACCTGACATCGTTTTGCATAGTCTTGTTTGAGCGAGTTCTGTTCTTTGTCCTCGAGCCTCCATCTTCTCGCAAGTTCTCAACCCAGACGGCCTGTAGCGATTCAGGCACGATTGCCGAGAACAAAATTGACTTGATCACACAGTACGCGAGTCCAGACTATCATCATGAATGACTTCGAGGCGATCAATGAAATCCGGCCACAAAGCCCGCGACTACAACAAGGCAGGTTTCCTCACACCATGTGCATTGTCAGCCAGCCAATCTCGGCTGTCATGAAGATCCGATCAGCTGAATACTATGATTTCCATCCTTTCATCATACAAAAGTCACCGCTCTCATGTAGCTCGATGCAGAGTAACCTTGTTAGCCCGAGGCGAGTGAGCCTTCCTGAGATCCGCGCTCATCTCCTGCTGAGGAGTTTCGGCGGAATCCACCGTCTTTACCTTGCTTGTCACCCTCGCGGAGTGATGTGAGACTCAGAGATAGTTGATAATGACTCTTTTCTGTCTAGGATTCTAACCATGTGAATAGTGCTGTTTACTGATTACACTAGTTCTATTCGGAAACTGCCTCGGCCTGTGCCCACACACACACACACAGAAGACTGCGCTGCTGCGGCCTCAACCTTTCTTTGGTCATGCCTTTTGTCCATAGCCGTGGCCATTGACGAATCACTTGTCTTTCATAAGCCCTCGGAACAAATAGCACACCTCGTCTTCCTGCCCCTCGCTTTTTCATGCACACCATCATTCAACTCCGAACTTGTCCGTGGTGCTGCTTCCGGTAGCAGCGTTGGTGGTCATTGGAGTGGTGGTCAGTAGTGACAGTAGACAGGGTCGCGGGAGGGTGTAGTCTCGATGCCAGTGCTGGTGGATTAACGAGAAGACGTTCGGTTCCGACTTGAAACCCCCAGCCGAACATGAAGGCAATCTCGGTGGCTGTGTTGTAGGCGGTCAAGATCGGTCTTGTGGTGACCACCTTCGAGAACATGTGCCATCATTTCACCCCTTAAGAATCTTGTGATATCATGTCGAGACTCTTTTTGACTAGACTCTGACTAGTAGGCCCCTGATTCCCATCATACCTCTCGCATTTCTGACGGGACGCCTTTGTATCCGACCGAACAAGCGCCTTTTACATTCAGATGCTCACTCGAATGTCCGACGAGCTTGTCTCAGTCCTGGTCTTAAATCCATTAAGACCGATCCATTCATCACGCCACTTTCGAAGGTGAGGAAGAGACCTGTGACGAGCACCGGCGCAACGAGTTCGATTCAGGTTGGTGCATGACGGAACCATTTGGCCATCGACCATTGATCCTCAAGCATCCACTCTAGAAACATATGTTTATATATATGGTGGGGACATTGTTGTTTGTTCGTGCCGACGATGACATGCTGCTGCTCTTCGGGGAAATATACATTTCCAGCTGCCTCGTCTCGTAGTCATTCCTGACACCATTCAAGGATCGTGGTCAACCTCATGGTAGTCGAGTGGAAAGTCATTGTCGCCAGATACACCCAAATGTCTCTGGCTGTTCTTCCCATGGTCTCAAAAAGACACATGAGCCTCGGAGGCGGCGAAGAAGTACAATGGTAAGGAAAAAGCCTCATCGATGCCTTCGCGACAGGATGCAATGCCAAGGTCCAGATATTGAAAGCTTTCATGCGTCGCCGGCGCTCGACGACACAGGTTGACTCTGATTCCTCATTGTCTCGACGAGGAACTCCACACCTATCCTGGGTGTTGTTGTTGTTGCAAGTCCTTCCGAATGGTACTTTCGGGGTGGGTTGGTGACGAGTCCTTTCGAAATGACATTTTTGGGTGCGTTATACCCCGTACAAAGCTGACTCATGTAGCTAGACGAGCCCTTGCGCATCAAAGTGGTCAATACCTCGCTTTCCATTCGGGAAAAGGTCTTGCGGGGAAGATTGGCCCCAGGTCGGTATAGGTAAACCAACAGATGGCCGTTGTTGTCGCGGATGACTTCCCAGGTGCGGTCGGACACCGATTTCCCCCTCGACCTTCACGCTCGAAGGCAGTAACGCCTTGGATTCAGGACCTCGAGATCACGGCCCGTTGACAGAAAAGGATAGCGCAGTGTGGTTGACATTCTTTAGGTCGTTAACATTCCGGCAACTGGACCGCCAGGGTCCAGAGGGTCGCGGACCTCGTGAGAGGCACGATGGCACACAAGGCCATCTCTCTCATCAAGGGACGGAGTCTGTCGTTGTGTTCATGCAGTTTGCAAGGACGGAGGACCTCTTTATCAAGGTGTGCGATTAAACCAACATTCGCGGTGTGCGATGGCTAGAGGGGTGACACCTGTTCGATTGAAGAGTTCAAGCAGGTGGCGGCGGCCAGGGCAGACTGTCCTCGTCTTGAAGGTGGACTCGGAGGACTCGGCGGACTCGGCGGACCATAACCTGCAAGAGGCCAACCATGTGGTGTTTTTGGGAAAGGTCATCAACATTCACGTCAGCGAGGGATGGTGGTTATTATTGATATCCATGGCCGATACAGCCTGCAGCTTGATGCCGTTGGGGTCAAGAGATATGGTTGTTGTTGATACCATCGAATCGTCGTAAAAAAAGGCGAATGAGACCTGACTAGGACGGTGATCGGGGAACTTCGGACACATGACTTGGTGTCTGTCTGGCTTGACCGAGAGAAAACTTCTCTGGCTTTCCATCATGCTCGCAAAGCCGAGGAAGAAAGACAACGACAGGCCGCCACTCAAGCTAGCCAAGTGGATGGTTGCACCTGGTGACGCGCACCAAGTTTCGGGGCAAGGCTATCGGCAAAATGGGGCCCGATCCTCGCTATTACCCATCGGCTATCGATCCGCCGATGGACATGCTCAAGGACAATATGGACAGCCCCCGGGATAGGCGTGTTCATGCAGTTGGTGTGGACGGAGGACGTCTTTGATTGAAGCGAGGTATAGATTATTGTTATTGACGTCCATCGTCGACACAGCCTGCATCTTCATTCCGTTGAGATTGAGGTATGGGTTGTTGTTGATGTTCAAGGGGCTGGTCACTGGGTGTGCCTTGTTGGTCAAACGAGTGTTGACGCCCTTGATGACAACCAGCAGAGTGTGAGCCTGGTTAAAGAGGTCACAGATGGTGGTGTTGGTGGAAGTGATTTGGACGTTGTCTGGAACGTTGGATCCCACCACGGACATCAGTTGAGGGATGGCATGTTGACACTGTGGAAATGGTTAGATGACTGGCTAGTCGTGATAGGGACCGAAAGGGACTCACCTGCCGAAAGGCACCGACAAAGTTCAAGGGCACCAACAGATGGTCGCGGAGCTCGGGGGAAGCCAGTGATGACTTGCCTCGAGAGCGTTGTTATTGGCGAGATCAAGAAACCTCCACCGATCTGGGTCAATGCTGGGAAAGAAAGGTTGCCCAGTACATCATGAAGGTCAAGATTGTGGCCTGCCTCGTTGTGTTCGGAGACGTGGATCATCAGCGACGGGGGATGGGACGGTGTTCTTTGTCTTTCGTCGACGACCAGACGCCGCAGCCATGAATGGCGGACCCAAAGTAGGACTGTTTCTTCAAAGGTGTCCTCCTCCTCTGCCTGCGCAGGTGTATGTCTGGACGACGGCCGCACATGGTGGGTCACTTTCAGCTTTTGTAGCATGCTCTGGGTAGGAGGCTCATTGAGAAGTTGCATGTTTTCCGGTATGCCGACCTAAACCGGTCAGATCATTGTATGATTACGACCTTTCGCTAGACATACCAATCATGTTTGGGAAGCGCATGGTTGAGTATGGAGAGTCTGAAGACAAGGTCTATGATTGACGACTGAGGACAGTGTTTCAAAGCGGATGTTGTGGTTACTGCTGACAAGATCGGAACAAAGGCAGAAGGAAAAGGTAACGATGGCTACAATGAGCGCAGATGCGGCCCGATGCGAAGGCCATGAGAAGATGGAGAGAGAGGGGTCAGGACAGAGGTAAGCACAGAACAAAGGAACAATTTCACGCTATTGTCTCTGCCAGAGGTTTTCGTTGCTAATATGAAGAACCCATTCCCGGTGAAAATCATGCCGGGCGCAGGCAAATGACGTCTCTGGGAATCATATTGATTCGATGCAGCGTTGAGTAGCTCGTTGCCACTCACCAGGACTTGATAGGTTCTTGTTTCTTATGCTGTTTAAAATATCTTGGAGTTACAATTATTATTCTTGCATCACCTGCGCACTATGTTTACACATGAGAACTATTCAACGCCATTCACACTCAGTTTGCCTACACAGATAAATTGAACTTCTGGTCCTTGTTACTTTTCCCGCCATACATATTTAGACGAGTTCATCGCCGGTCAGCCGCCGCCGCCGCCACCACTATGAGAGTGCTGGCGTGTGTGGTTCAAGCTCTTCGTCTCGTCGATTCAGCGAAGGCTATGGCATTCCTTTGACAATGCTGCACTTGCTACTGTTGTCCATGGTCGATCTCCTGGTCAGGTCGATCTCCTGGTCAATTCGACCGCCACAAGAATTCGCTGGTGAGGCGGTATTCACCATCACCGACTGTGCTCTCATCCTCCTCATAGATTGTCGCCAAGAAACGGTCTTCTAGGGGCACCTCCTCTTCTGGTGCTTCGACGTCTCCAGCGGAAAGAGCTTGGTTCTTTGAGGCTGCCGAGTTGACGTGTTCTGGGCCAGTTCTTTGGATTGAGGTAGTGGACAACAGCTTCCAAGCAACCGCAGCCAATGGGACACTTGTTAGGTATCATTCTCCACGGTATGAACAGTTGTGAATGTATCACTATGCAGTATGCCTTAGCAACAACGGAGATAGCCTCAAATTTTTCAAAGGAGAAAAACAGGGGGGCCGGGAACGAGGATTCGATCCGATATCGAATGTACGACGCCATGGTCGAGCGTTTGCCGAGGGAGTTTGCTGCTGCGCCTCAGGCAGCGAAGGTGGCAAGGAAGCCCGCGGGGCAGCTGGAGAGTCGTCTGGAAGCTGAGCCCTAGCCTTGGGCTCTTCTCTCTCTTTGTCGGCATCAGCGTCGTCAGGTGCACTCAATCCCAATCTACCGAAATGAACAGCTGCCTGTTCGACGGCCTTGGTTGGGCATCAACTTGTAGCAACTAGGAGAAGGTCGCCTAGTAACAGGTGGCAGATAGCCCATCAGCCATCCCATAGGGGCATCAAGAGGTATGTAGCAGCCTCAGGACAGGCGTGGGCAGTAGGATGTATCTCAGTTCTCTCAGTTGGGCATCAAGTCTGCGATTGTCTCGCTTAGACAACTTGAAGTTCCTCGTCATGAAAGGTCCAGAGAACGAGCGAGCTGTATCTTAGCCTCTTTAATCACTGTCCAAGTGATTTTGCCATCATTGTGTCTGGATCGTAAATGACTGGGGTAATTGGAAGAGGAAGCGAATTGTATCATCTCCGGTAGGTGTGACACTACGAAACAAGTATTAGTCTTTACCTGAGCATGACTTGCCATCTATTGAACATGCTTAAGTACTTACTTGGACGACTACAAACCTTTAATGAATGCCTAGTAAAGGCATTGAATAACTCATACCAGTATTGGCGGTGGATTGCTGTACGGTACCGGGAGCATTGGCGATATCTCGAAGCTTCTTCAACCGGATCTTGGAATTAACTCGATCAGTTGTTGAGTTAGCACTGATTGAGGAGATTACTTGGCTGCCGATTCCTGGGAGCCCTTCTTCGTGCTCGCTGATCTCAATATCTGAGGAGTTAAAGTTGTCCATGTTGACTCTGCAGTGTCTCTCGAGGGTCCGTGTTGGTCAGGAGGTCCACGACCCGCGTGCAGTTCAGCTTCTGAGAGGGACTCAGTACGGGTGGCCAGAGCTTGCAGGAGTCTCTCAGGTCTGTCGCTGGGTCATTTCTCGGCGTATATAGAGCGATATGTGGGACAAAGACATCACGCTGCGGGTCTTTTGAGGATTTGAGGCGCCAGTCGGTGGAGATCGTAAGGAGTGTGCGCAGTCTGCCACCCGCTGTCAAAGTAGGTAGCAGCTTCAGGACAGGTGGGTGGGTAGGTGGGCTAGCAGACAATGCAATGAATGTCTCGCTTTGTGGCATCCAACTGTAGCAGGTAGGAAAGGTCGCCTAATAGTAGCAAGGTTGAAATGCAAAGATCGATCCATTTATCCTGCACTGCCCGCCGCACTCGTGTCATCACTTTAACTTTGGCTTCTCCTTTTGTCATTTTCGGCAGTATCAAGCTTCTGACCCGTGTTGCTGACGGGGCGCGGGTTTTGCACTCGGACGTCCGACGAACTTGTCTCTACCTGACTGAACAAGCGTCTCTTGCATCTGGATGCTCATTCGGACGTCCTTTTGCATTTGAATGCTCACTTGTTCAGTCGGACGTCCGACCGAACATCGACCGAACACCGGCCGAACAAGCGCCGTTTTACATTCAGACGTCCGACTCAGGGCAAGTGACGTTTTGCATTCGGATGCTCACTCGGACGTCTGGCTGAATAAGCGTCTCTTGTATTCGGATGCTCAGTCGGACGTCTGACAAGCTTGTCTCTATCCGACTGACACCAAACTGTCTCAGGGACTCCGAAAAAGGCAACATTGAAGAAAAAAAGCCCGAGGATGAGAGTTTCCAGGGTGGATAGTCAAGGATTCAAAGGTTGATACCTAAACGGTTTGTCATAGCACCCAATCTAAATCAAAAATCGTCTGCAGGTGCCGTCACATGGTCTCTTCCCTCGTCTTCAAAAAGTGGCCTGATGGATCGATCGATCGTTGTAGATTATGAGACCAGGATTGTGTGGCGACTATGCGTTTGAAACATGACCTGAGAATTCAGTACAAAGGAAGGTTTTTGGTTGTAGATGTTGAGGCCGCAGCACAGTGATCGGTGTAACAAGTAGGCAGCACTAGTTCATAAGATTGAAGAATTCTGACTGTTATGATGGTATTTTAAGTGTTGTGGTGATATTTTGAGTGTTGTGATGGCATTTTGGGTGTGTTGCGCGACAATAATTGTGTATCTTGAGTATTATGGTTGCAAGTCCTAACTATCTTGAGATTGCAATTAATCAACTCTAGATAGTTAGGATGATTGACATTATTGACCAATTATATGAGAGAAAAGTGGTTGATGAGTCACCGAAAATTATTTCTGGCTGCCAGAGTTTAAACCTTGCCAAGAATTATTATTTTCTGGTTACAACTTTTTCGCTGCCAGAGGGAGAGAGAGAAAGGTTGCCAGGAGGGTACATACTGTGGCAATAGAGAAGTGTACTGTACATATAGTGGCAACAGAGAAGGGTACATAAGAGGAGGGTACAGAGTACATACTGTGGCAAGAGAGGAGAGGACTACTCCGTTCTCAGCTGGGGGGTGAAAAGTCAAATCCTGGCTCTTACGTCATTTTTCGCGGGCGCTTCTCCCATGATGTACACGTATCTGTGATTTGACCTCCGCGATTGCTCGACGACGAATTTTGTGCGAACTCTGATCCCTTCGTCTCGCTATTGACTATCCTCCACATTACACATTTACTTGGATTCTCCATCAAATACACAAGCACGCGTCTTCAGTCATGTCTGCGACATTATTCACCGAACCCACCGCGACACCGTCGCAGCCTGCAGGTACGGTCCTCTTCACGTCCGGTGGCACCGTCACCATCAACGCGCCGGCCTCGGTTGTTTTTGACACCATAACGGGATTTTCACGGTACGACCGATGGAACGACTGGACCCCTTCGCTCAAATTTGAGGCTGCGGATGAGGAAGTCAAGACCGGACTGACCGGCCTTCTCAAGACGCACATGGGAGCGCAAGCTCGCGATTACGACGTTCCCGTCGAGGTATGTTGTCTTGGTCGACGCGCCTCCTTTTGCAAAAAGCCAACCTGTCACAGATCATTGAGCTGAGCCGCTCGCCCGCCAAATTCAGGCTCTGTTGGCGAAGCAAGTTGCTGCCGTCGTGGGCACTGACGGCCGAGCGGGTCCAGGAAGTCACGCCGGTGGACGGCGCCGGTCAGACGTGCCAGGTTCGTAACTGGGAGTCCATGGGGGGACCGGCGGCCTATGCGTTCAAGTATCTAATGGGAATCCCTGCGCAACTCAACGAGTTGAATGTCATGTACCTCGATAGGCTGAAGGAGTACATCGAGAAGGAACAGATGAAATCGTAACCTCTGCCAAGTCAAAGATTCTGTGTCACTTTCGAAGATCAGTGTCTCTCTGTAATCAGTGCTTGCTACCTAGTCTGATCGCCACCGAGCTTCACTGATTCCCGCCGATTCCACTGACTCTGATCACGTGATGCTCTGGCTAGTTGCTTGACGGGTAACCGATTGACCTGCCTTTCCTATGTGGCAGGGCGAAAAGACGACAAGTTGCGAGTCACTACGGTGTTTCCAAGAAGCGACCAGGGCGCCGATCATCAGCCCTCCGAGGTCTCCTTTCGTAGATCAGTGTGACGACCGACGTCCTCGATTTGTGCTACTCCTTCCACGGTATAGCAATTCCGCCGTCGCGCCGCTTCACGCTTGATCAGTGATCTCGCAATAGGAGTGGGGTCGAAGAAATTGTTCGATTTTGTGAAGATCTGGTCGATCTGCTCGAGTGATAGGCCTTTCGTCTCGGGGAAGAAGAAATACACGATCGGTACGATCGCAACGTTGATGCAGGCGAAGACAATGTAGTAGCGGTATTTGATCGTGTCGAAACCGACCGGGGTGACCTGAGCCAGGAGGAAGTTGGACGTCCAAACGGCTGCCGTCGACAGAGCATTGATGGCCGCTCGGTGTTGTGTCGGCGCTATTTCGGTCGCGTAGAGGAAGGTCAGGCCTGCGAACCCGACGGTGAAGATGAAGGGGAACAGAAAAAGCGCAACCACGGCCACATACAAGGCAGCCTTGTTGTCTCTTGCCGACGTTGCTCCGGCCAGGATTGCCATCAATGCCGCCATGATGGCTGCGCTGCTGACCATCAATTTCCGACGCCCCAGTCGATCGATGGTGTAGTAAGCGACGACACCACCGACCGGTTGAGTGAGTGCTATGGATGCGGCCAATATTCTTGATGTGGTGCCATCCAGGCCGAGGTATTGCTGGAAGATGGTGGTCGCGTAGAAGGTGATGGCGTTGATGCCACACATTTGTTGGAAAGTCTGGCCCAAAACCGCGAGCACGGTCCGGTTCAGTAGTCTTTGTTCTCCCATCCTGAAGACGTCCCCGAAGTAGCCCTGCCCACACAGCGTCAGGGAACGCTGAATCTGATTCATATCCTCGCTCAGGGTGTGGGCATCTCCAGTCACACCTTCCAGCGCCGATAAGACCTCTCGAGCTTCGTCGACCTGACCCTTCTTCATCAACCATCGAGGTGATTCGGGGAGAAGAAAGATGCTGGCCATGACGACCAGAGAGAAGGCGATTTGCAGAGCCAGCGGTGCTCGCCATGCGCCTGTGCCACGGAGGTAGTAGAATCCGAAGTCGACCCAGAGCGACATGGTGATGCCGGTTCCGATAAAGAAGCCAGTCGTCACGACGCCCGACCCTCTTTTGGACGGTTTGGAAATTTCAGCGTGCCAGACAGGAACCGTCGCCACATATCCGCCTGTACCAAAACCCAGGACGAGACGAGCAACGGCAAATTGAGCCAGTTGGTAGGATGAAGCCATCAGAACGGCGCCAATCACGGAAACTCCAGATGCAATGAAGATAACCTTGCGACGACCCAACCTGTCACCCATGAAGATGCAGGACAGGGAGCCGAAGATACCGCCGACAAGGTAGAGGGCGATGACAGTGCCTGGAGAATGAATTGCAGTCAGGATAGTGCCAAGGGCTCAGCCGTAGTAGTATGTAGCTTACCCTGGATATTGGAATTCTTCGTGCGTTGAGCTCCCGTGGTGTTGAGAGTGTCCATCTGGGGAAAGGCCTCGAGGAAGGAGTCGAGCGTCAAGAGACCTCCAGCAACCGCTTGATTGTAGCCATAGCAAAGAAATGCCGGAGCCACTACCAAAATCAGTGCCGCAAGATCCAGGCTTGAACCTGTCAGTCCTAGATATTTCTTCATAATGGGGAGCTGATGTTAGGGATGCTGATGATAGGGATGCTGGTAATGGCGATGCTGGTGATGGCGGTGCTCGAGTCGAGTATGCGAAGCAGGCCGAGGAGGGCAGCACCTAATTCTATTCATCAACACCACCATCATCACGTTTCAGACGATGACGAGGGGTAACATCATTTTTCTGGAGAAAAGCGTTGTCGTCTGGAGGTCCAAATGCGCTGGTGCTGTCAAAAAGCCCCTTCTCCACGTTTGACAGTTGTCGGAGCCGGCCGAAGACTAGCTGAGCCCAACGGCGATCATGGCAAAACTCGACGTCGTATCCCTGTTGAGGGTTCGCCGCCTACCTGAATGCGTATAGTTTCAGCAGCACATAACCGGACGCCCCTCCAGATCTAGGCAATGCATCCAACACGCCCCTCCTTTCGGCAGCCTCCGATCCTCGGTCGCTGAGAGTCCCCGTCAGGATCCTGATCATGTGACTAGGGCCGCCTACCGGTTATACTAGTCCTATCCGGAAAGTTGCCTCGGCCTTCGCGCACACACGACTGCGCTGCGGCCACAACTTATGATTCACAGTAGTTTTAGCCCTCCTTCGTACTGAATTCCATCATTTCAAGACGCATGGGTCGTGACACTATCCGATTGGCACAAAACCGTCTCGGGAATAGAAAACGAAAAAGCCCGACGACGAGAATCCCGGAAGGTCAGCCAGGGACATTTTGTTATACGGCCAAGAGGCCTCCTCCGCGGAGTACTCCGCTAATCTCTCTTTACGAAGTATGTAGCCTGTTGGAATGGTCGAGGCACATTTCAGTTTTCTCCTTTCTCTCCCTCGTCATCACTAGAGTTTTGAATGTTTACACAAACAATCATGGTGTAAAGTCCTTTCGAAAGGTGTGCCTTGCCGACGTGATGGCGCGGTTCTTTCTACGAGTGGCTTCTCAACGGTGTCTATCCCTGCTTTCGACGAGGACACAGAGTGTGTTCGCCCGTGTGACCTGTAACACACTTCGCTACCGACCCCCGATACCTAACTCGCGAGAGAAACAGAAAACCACGCGCACCTGCGTCATCTCAATTGATCGCCAGCCATGCATCTTGTCGTATTTGATAATCTCAACTTCCCATGAACTCTTCATCCTGAACAACAACCTTTTGAGATCTTTTTCTCTTGCTCCGGCTTCTCAATATGACTCTCCTTCTTGTGTTGTCTGTTCGTTGAAACAACGCTGTCTTTCTTCTCCTCATCCATTGAGACACCCCATCCTTTTCGACATTCCTTGGCCATCTTTATCTTTGTCTCGATTCGAGGAAGCAGATTCGAGGTGAGCTGCGCCTGATGGAGGAGTTTTGGCAAGTAGGAAGTTGATGCCTCTTTTTTTTCCTGTCAAGTATGATGAGGTGGATCATGGAAAAAAAGAAAAAAGCTCGCGTGAGTAGCCGTTTGCCCCCTGTGGGAAGGCGTGGGGGAACCCGCCAGGCAGAACGGGAGCGACCTGGCATGGCTCTGTAGACTCCATAGGATCATCCATGCTTGCGGTCTCCAAACAAGTTCTAGATGTAAGTCGACAAAAACCTCGTCACCACCGGCTCGGCGGCTGGGTTTTTTTCGATGTACATCTGGCAAGATCTTGCATCCGTGGTGTCCTCCAACTCAGTCTCTAATTTTCTTCGTTTGCTCTCTCTTTCGTCTTGCAGCAAATTGCTTTCTTCGAGTTGTCTTTCGGCTTGGCTTTGGACGCCGGTTGCGGTGGAGGTTCAGTCCGACGGTAAGAAGCGATTGCTCAAAAGCAGAATCTCGATTGTCCGAGGCGCGCTGCGGGCCCATCGTTGGAGGGTCGAGAAAGGAGGACTGTTGGCCAGATGATCGGCGTTTCGCTCAACAATAGCCCCAAACTCCTTCTAGCAACTCAAAGTGTGTGATGGTGCTTTGGAGAATGTCGTTGCCGCCCAGAGACGGAGATCTCTGCGCCTGAAGAGGAGGAGAAGGAGAAGAAGAAGAAGAAGAATCCATTCTTTTCAAATAACCTTCTGCGGGAGGCGTCGTGGAGCGATATGTCGACACGGGGGCGTGCGCACCCCGTCTGAGAGCCAAGTAGCTCACTTACCACCAACAAACAACACCGTGAGCAGCTCATTGGTGATTTCCCAGACCCTTTTTTTTTCTCTTTTTGGACCGGATCCGACTCGGTCCTGCGATCGAGTAATTCTATACTCCACGCAATGACGATTGGACAACAAGAGCGAGAAGTCGTCCTGCTCAAGGTTCAACCGACTACCTTGCTACCATCGAGAAAGGCCGAACAAGCCAAGGTCCGACGGCACAGATTCCAGCCATTGTCGCCGTCCCCTAGGCTTGCCATGCTGCCTACCATCGAGTGACATTGAGAAGCGACGGTGAGGTCGACGGGCGAATGCAACGATCGAAGAGAGAGAGAAAACCACTGGTCTTCCGGCCGATATTTCAGGTATGCAGGTACTGCAAAAGTCTGTGGGCACAGGCTGGATGGTGGCTCGACAAGGACTGGTATTCCACGGCACGGTGGAAGGGAGTGGTTACGGGGCGACGGGAAATACACTCCCACTGTTCATCACGAAACAGTCCGCCTCACGCCCGGTCGAAGGGGTATCATCAGGAGTCCAGGGGCAAGGATTTGGCCTCCCGGGGGCTGGAATTAAGCCGCAGTAGCATGAAGCCGCAGTATGTGTTCTCTGGGACTATCCACGCACCGGAAGGCGGGCCAAGGCGGGCACTCGAAAAAGAAGAAGAAGAAGAAGAAGAAGAAAGGTAGTCGGAAGGAAAGAAACCATGGCCACACTCGTTCATTCTGCTGTACTCGTTGAGGTGTTGTTGTTGAGGTTGTTGACCACGGCGACCATGTTAATCGAGCTCTCTCGAGGTGGTCGCTGTTTGTCACGACCAAGCAAAAGAACGGGCAGTGATCAGTCCATGGCAACCAGACGACTCCGTACACACAAATAAACCCACAAGAAGATCATAAGGAGCGTAATAATTTTTTTTTTACAATGTGGTGAGTTTACAACTTCTCCCCAGAAGTGTTCTGAGTGTGTCGCGTGACAATAATTACGAGTCCCTTTCCGAATGATATTTTAAAGTGCGTTATGAAATAATCATCACGAGTGCAAAGCATCGTAAGTGTGTTATGAAATAATAATTGCGAGTCCTAGTTATCTTAGGGTTACAAATAATTAACTCTAGATATTTTGAACTTTGGTCACTCCAAATCCTAGATATTGTGAATGATTGCAATAATTGACCAATCAGATGAGAGGTGAGAGTAGAGTGCCAGATAGTGACATTATATTAATTGCCAAGAATTATTCTCAGAGGCTTGGCCACAGATGGATTACCTGGGACTACCCTGGGTAGACTCTGGGTAAGACTTCTGCCAGAGATTGACCTGGATTATTTCTTGGCTGCTATTAGGGAACAGACCAAGCCCACCATCGGAAAGCAGCAATCAAACACAACACATCCAAGTCCCATGGCTGTGGGCGAGGTCGACTGATTGGCCCCGTGCTAATGCAATGCAAATGCTAGACTTTAGCTTTTGGGACTTCCCCGGCCACGGCTAGCCCCAACGGGCCAAAAAGTGCGCCGACCCGGACCCCCAAAGGGATCATCCAATTGACACGAAGATCAGCAACTAGCCTGGGACTTGTTCGCCTCTTCCAAGCTGTTCCGAGCCGACAAGAGGGGCCTCGACGGCTCCTGACGCGGGGATCGACCATGAACCGTCGTCAAAGTGTCACCCCGGCTTTGGACATTTGCCAAAGATGGCGCACCAATCGCAGACGGTGGTATGGACGACGGAAAGACGGCGAGCAGAAGAAAAGTCATCGAGAGAGTGTGAATTGGTTGCCTCTGACAGACAACTTGCACGTCTGTGCCATATTATGCTACGCTATGTGATGTGGATGTGATTTCCAGGAAAAGCAAACTCCATTCGGAAATGGCGAACTTGGAAACCCTTCTTTCAGTCTCTTCTGGAACACTCGAAGCAGACCTGCCCATGCGCCCCGCTGCATCGTAAATAAATCATAGACGACCGATGAATGTTGCAGCTGATCGACCGGATGTGTTGTCCCACAGGCTCTCACCAGGCAAGACCCACCTGGTTGGGCTGGCAACTCAAACCGGTGCACAGCTCGACGTCCTCCTTGCTCACGGTGGCATCACCCGGCAGTGCTTGCCGAGCCGGCCAGATCTCTTGATTGGCCGCCTTCTCCCGCTCCGCGTGCTCCCGGATCACCTTGCGTGCTCGCTGCTGGAAGTACAAGGGCCCTTTCTCGAGTCGGGGGTGCATCTGGCCGTTGACGAAGACGCCGGCGTTCAGGTTCCTCTGGGAGAGTTCGCAGAGGACCTTGTCCTCCGACACCACCTTGGCATAGAGCCGGTGGATGCGTTGGAAATCTTCCTCGGGGGAGTTTTTGTTGCGGAAGATCTGGTAGTGCATCGACGACTCCTTGGGCCCGTTGGGAAGGAAACGTTGAAGCATGATGAAGTGTGGTCCGTGGCACCTTTGTCAGCGATGGAAAACGTCACAGTGTCCGTGGACAGACGGGGAGCCCCGACTTACAGAACCGAAATGGAGACGTTGGGAAAGAAGTAGGTACTGGCGATGGCCATTCCGAGCTTCTTTTGTTCCACCGTCGGGACGGACTGATGCTTGATGTACCCGTCAACGCCGGCGACGTCGTGGGTCTCGATGTCGGCGAGCGTGGGTATGTCGGGATGGGCGATCGGGCAGTGATAGCACTCGTTGAAATTGTCGGCCAAGATCTTCCAATTGTACGCACCGTCGAGCTTGTACTCGTGGTCGAGGACGTAGTCGTCAAAGTCGTAGACCTTGTAGCGCTCTTGCGTGTCGACGCCGTCAAAGTCCTCCTCCCACGGCACCTCGGGAATCTCCTTGCCGTCGAGATTGACCCAGACGAAGCCGCTCGCGTCGACACGGACATGGATTCGGAACAGACCGTTCTGTGACTTGTCGAAGCCTTCCAGCTCGTCGTACTTGGGTGCCTTTGCGAGGCTGCCGTCGAGCCCGTATGACCAACCGTGGTACTTGCAGGCAAAGATCTTGGCGGTGCCCTCTTGACCCTGGACGACGGGATACGCCCGGTGGCGGCAGACGTTGTGGAATCCGTTGATGTCCCCCTTGCGGTCCCGGCACAGGACGAACTCGTAGCCAGCGACATCGAACTTCAGGTAGTCGCCGACTTGGCCGAGTCTCGTCTTGTGTGTGATGAGCATCCACCGTTTGGAAAAGATGGCTCGTCTTTCGAGTTGGTACATCTCTTCCGACGTGTACCAGCTGGCGGGGAGAGCTCGGACAGGTTCCCTCGGATTGCTCTTGGTCGCTGGCGCCGGGCCTCCGAAGCCTAGGTAGTTGAGAATAGCCATTTGTGAAAAGTGTGAAAAAAAATCTGTGAAACCGACGATGGGAGAACAAGTCAAGGTTCAAAAATGACTTCCTGTCAGTATCGCAGTATGTGTAGGACGGATGCGACGAGGGAGGCACATTATTTATTTTGCAGGAGCTCGTCCGACACATGACCTTCTTACATGTCGCTGACCTTGTTGCCTCGTCCATGAAGCGCTGGCATCCCAATACGGGCATCCATCAGCAGCAACCTGACAAAAATTTGCCCCTTTGGGATGGTTTTCCTGATGTCAATGATTCTTTGAGTGGCTGAGATACAAATGGTGGTGACAAGGGTCGATGGTACGTGTGGTTGACACCTTGCGGACTTTTTGGCCCAATTGGGTAACCACGCAAATCCCCCGTCGTAAGCCAACGGGATCCAAGCTTCAAGACCCAGACTGCAATACGATCGCTTGGATCAAATGAGTCAAAAGAGCAGCTGAAGCCGAAAGACTGCAGGATCCAAAAGTCTTGAAATGATAGAATTCAGGACGAAGGAGGGATTTCGGTTGCAAGTGTTGAGGCCGCAGCGCAGTGTTGTGTGCGCGCAGGCCGAGTCACTTCCCGAATAGGACTAGTGCAACAAGTCGGCAGCACTACTAGTTTATATGATTGATAATTCCGACTTGAAGATTGTATTTTGGGTGTTGTGGTGGCGAGCTCTATTTATCTTGGGGGTCCAAATAATCAACTCTAGATATTTAGGACTCGGTGCACCTTTGGTCACTCCAAATCCTAGATATTTTGAATACTTAACATTATTGACCAATCAGATGAGAAAAGTGTGCCAGATAGTGACATTGTATTATTTGCCAAGAATTATTCTCACTCACCCCTGATGGTTAGATCTAAACTACTCCTTGTGCTGATGAGGGGTAGACTCTGGGTAAAGACTCTGGATTATTTCTTGTCTGCTATTAGGAATTACCAAGTCACCGTCAAAAGGAGCAACCAATACATAACACACAAGACTGCGCCGCGGCCTGAACTTATGATTCACAGTATACTGTTTTAGCCCTCTCCTAGCCTGGCCTCGTCCTATGAGACCGCTACCTAATTATGATCGCCTACGAGCTCATTGGTCCGCGTCGAATTGCCGCCCGCATCCGGGGTGAGGGGACATGCTGCACCCGACAGCTTGCGCGACTTCTCATCGGCGCACAATACCGTAGCGTGACTTCAGAACATGAAGATCCCTTCCTTCCACCCATGTTGTTTGCCCCCTTTGCACGACGTTGGTTCAGAGCCCCCAAAGATACATCGCCATCACCATTGCATCTCTCATATAAATTCACCATCGGAGCCGCCAATTCGAATGCCATCTGTCTTTGCCGCTACCGACATCACCACGTATCATCTCCATGCCCGGGACAGAGGGCCCGCGCCCAAATCGTCCTCACACACCTAGGTCTACAAGCAGCCATAGCGAGCCCACGCAAGAAGCCGCCATATCAAAGCGTAGGCAGCCCAAAAGCCGTGCCGGTATGCTATGCTCTTTATTTGGAGGCTGCAGTTCATTGTCGATGCATCGGTTGCCGGGCACGCCATGACCTGAATTGTACTAATGCATGCGATGTCAGGCTGCAACACATGCAGGGCCCGGCGCATGAAATGTGATGGTAAGTCTCAGCCGCGGGGGAGGACGAAATCGTCCTTTCTGCGGCCACTGCTCTATATTTCGAGACTACTTTCTTGTCAGATCGATAGGGCCTCTCGTCTCTCACCCAGGATTTTTTTCCGCGACGCAGGTACAAGTGTATCGGTGGACCTACTGACGGCTTCCAGAATCGAAACCGTCCTGTTTGCGATGCAGAGATCGAGGTGTCGAATGTGGTGGGTATTCCAGGGAACTGAAGTGGAAGTTGGTGGGCGATCAGCCCAAGGAAGAGAGGCGGTCTGATAGTATGTACACACTCCTCGAGCCACGCCGGTGTACCCATCTGAACATGTGCGCCGTGGCGCTGACTGGCTCTCAGAGAGGCGATCTCAAGGCCCCGAGGCCTTGTCTGCGGAAGGTGTATCTCGGCCCTTCTACAAAGATGCTACGCCCAGTGACCCGACGACAACTTTGCCCATGCAACCCGACAGGAGCTTGAGGGTGGAAACAACTGGGATCAATAGCACACCGCCGATATTGCGAGAGGCGCTCTGGCCTTTGTTGCAGCATGGCCAATTGTTCGACTTTACGAACGTCGATTTTGATATCGACTTCTTCGTGGGTGACGAAAACGTCGAATTTCATGTGCCTACCAACTTGGGTTCCCTCGCCAACACGCCGTCTGGACAGTTATCGGAACACGTCGCCCACCATGCGCTCCCCTCAACTACGACGGCAGATAGCGATATGGACATTTCAAAATCGCCCAGCTTCGTCGACTCAATCTTCTCTACAGGCTACAGGCCGAAGGACTTGGTGGATATTCCGCATGACGGTGTGAGGATCCCGGGGCCACCTGATTTCTTGCACAGCGCAGCTGAGTCCGCCCCGGGTCAGCAGAATCCACAACCTGAAAAGCCCGACGCCCGCAGTGTGCTGAGCAAGCAGCCCGTCTCTCTGTCGGATACTCCGGATAAGGTCAAGCATCTTTTCGATGATCAGCTCTGCGCTGTTCTTTCCATCAAGGACGATCATACCACCCATCCATGGCGAGTTCACGTGTGGCCATTGGCTGACAATTGTCCAACGCTGTACCATGCCCTTGCGGCCATGACATATTTGTTCTTGAGCAATTCGCAACCCCAATTACGCGCGACTGGCTGGAGTCATTCCCAGGCAAGCTTGCAGGGTTTTGCTGAAAGCGAAGGCAAGGCTGGCCTATCTCTTGAGCAGTCTCTGGCTGCCAGATTGGCTCTTGCCTTCGCAGAAGGATGGGACTTCGAATCCAATTCTTTGGGTATCGAGCATGTCAGAATTGCCGGACAGCTTGTGAGAGATGCTTTTCACAAGCACAAGGCGACGAACCTTACGGGTGACGATCTGGACCGCCTAAACTTTTTGGTGCGCACTTGGATGTACAAGGATGTCATGACACGCTTGACGATCTCACATGGTGGTGGACCAGTTGAGGTAGACTTCATGACCGCCTACATTGAGCTTGATTCTTTGCCGTTAGAACATCAGCTTGACCCCCTGCTGGGTTGTGCCATCACGCTGTTCCCGCTGATCGGGCGTCTGACCGATATCATCCGAGCCGTTCGACGAAGGTCCGAGAAGCATAACTCACCGTCCATAATCTCCCGGGCCGCGGAACTGCGGATGGCCATCGAAGGTTGGAGCCCATCGTTTGATCCGCGGCGGGCAGGAGGTCTCACTCCGCATGTCGCCGATGCCATCCAGACGGCCGAAGCCTATCGCTGGACAGCCCTGCTGCTTCTCAGGCAGGCCATACCGGAACTTCCGTGGGTGAATTCGTTTTGGGAAATTGCAGAGAAAGTCTCCATCTACCTCGCGACCGTCCCGGCGACCTCTCCAACGATGATCGTACACCCTTTCCCATTCATGGCGATTGGGGGTGAGGCTTTCGACGAGGAAGACCGCGATTGGATCTGTCAGCGATGGGATCACATGTACAAGCGAATGCCCCTCGCTACATTGGACAAGTGTAAGAGAGTCTGCCAGGAGGTCTGGCGGAGGAGGGACGCTTTTGAAGCGCAATTCGGGGTCTGCCCGAGCTGTGGCGCTTACCGGCTCGGCTCCTCCGGAATCGATCCTACAACAGATGCCTCGACGGCGGCGGGCGGTTCAGCTGCGTCTTGGGATGAAGGCGAGGAAGCCGGCCGTCGTTGTCGATGTGGTTCGACGAGCAAGATCGCCTCGCCCGTATCCGATTTCCCAGATTCGTTGGCATTCAAGAAAGGAGTGGACAACATCACTCGCGCGGGCAATCTGGCTTACACAGTTCGAGGAAATTTGCATTGGTTAGGTGTTTTGAAGGAGTGGGAGTGGGATGGTGAGTTTCTGGAACCTCGCCGGATCAGCTTTTCATTCACCCTCCTGTCCCTCGTGATGACGGCGCTGACGGGCTACAGTCATGCTAGGGTGAAGGCTACGATGACAAGGTTAGGATTGATTGAATGACATGAATAGTGTCTCCACATTGTGAGTTCTTTTTGGGTCTTGTTCTCCAAAGCGATGGGCATGAGACTGGGATCTGTTTGGTGCCTAACAATGGCAGCACGTACAGGCCACATGACACCAGCAAAGGCACCAAACCCGCCTCGTCCGTCCCATAGTGTCAAAGCATCTGAGTGGTCGAGATGCATGCTTGTCCTCCGGGAGGCCCGACGGCACGGAGAATTACTGGAGGACAGCGCATGCTATACATCATCTGGATCTCTCGAGCTCGAGTTTCCATCAAACGACTGCCGATCTCGGGCAACATCTCTTGCAAACCGTAATTGGTTCCGTTTCCATTGTAGTCGGTGCCAATTCTCCACGATGCCGCATCACCCCCAGTCCTGGATTCTGTCTTCCGCGTGTGGGCACCGTGGCGAAACTGGCACCGTGGCAACTTCTGTCGACCGTTCTTGAGCAGGTCAAGAACCTATGATCCCGCGACGGGCGACATCTTGAACCCATGCCCAGAGTCTCCGGTCCGGATCATCTCAAATACAGATCGGTTCGTTTCCGGCACGAAATCGATGCAGTACTCGGATTCCGCCGTATCAGCGAACCAGCACAATTTCTGGCCCACAAACGGCCGGGCCGCCAGCCAGGGCGACGTTTCTCTCAGCAAGTAGCCGCAGCCTGACCTCGTCTTTCAGCGGGAACGTGGTCCTGCCGGGTAGGAGAGGGGGGCAACAACGACACAAGCCCAAGTCAAGGAAGGACAAGGCAATGCCCACGAATGATGATGAGGATGATGATGATGAGCACGACCTCTTTCGCCACGAGACCAGAAAAAAAACGACACGAAGACGAGGATGGTGCGCGACCGCGAAAGACATTGCTCGAATGGACCGAGCCAGATACTCATCCCATTGCATTGCAGATGCAATCAGCTACGCGCGCGCGGCGCTGGTACTCATGGATCCCGCCATTCATTCGAGAGGTTGGTGTTCTTCCTTGACAGGTGTAGCAAGCAGCAATCATCATAGCCTTGAGTCAAAATGTCATCGCCCGTCCTTCATGTCGACAGGATACCAAAAATGACACTTTCATCTTCGAGCTTGTCGATCTGAACTACTCGGTATACCCATGCCTCGCTACTCGGCTTACACACACGGGCAAACGCTACAACTTGACCCAAGCAATCTCATCTCCCAGACGTTGGTTGCCAGGAGGAGCATTCTGACTATGAGGGATGGTCTCTGGATGACCTGAAATGACCTGGATTCTTTTATGAGACTACGGGGAGTCGCATAACAGGCGTGGTGAGAAGCCTCGAACAAGCGCCTGTAAAATAGGCCTAGGGAGCGAAAAATGAGCGACTAAAGGGGGCCTATCAAAGGAGTGGTGTGAGCCTATTACTAGGTGTCAACTTGTAAAGACCGGTCGGCGGAGTACTCCGCGGATGAGGCCCCTGGGCCGTCTAACACAACTCCAAGAAAATTCGGACTGGCAACCACAACACCCAAAATGCCTTTTGTCGGAATCTCAATCATGTGAACTGGTGCTGCCTACTTGTTACGCTAATTCTATTCGGGAACTTCGTCGACCTGCGCCCACACACGACAACTGCGCTGCATCCTCAACACACTCTCCTTCCTACAACACACCCTCCTTTCGTACTGAATTCTTTGGTCGTCTTTCAACATGCATAGTCCAAACCTCTCTTTCCCAGCATTGACCTAGATCGGTAAAGGAGGTTTCCTTGATCGCCAACAACAATGACCCTTTCAAGGCAAATCATCACTGGTTTCCCCAAGCTCAAGACCATTGTTGGTGCTCTTGAACTTTGCCGGTGCCTTTGGCAGGTGAGGACCTTTTTCGATCCCTGTCACGACTAGCCAGTCACCTAACCATTTTGCAGTGTCAGCATGCCATCCCTCACTGATGTCCGTGATGGGATCCAATGTACCAGATGACGTCCAGACCACCTCCACCACCAACACCATCACCATCTGTGACCTCTTCGACCAGGCTCCCACTCTGCTGGTTGTCATCAAGGGCGTCAACACTTGTTTGACCAACAAGGCACTCCCAGAGACCAACCCATGTCTTAATGTCAACAGAATCAAGCTACGGGCTGTGTCAACGATGAACATCATCAACAACAACCCATACCTCGCTGACATGAAGTTGACGACCTCCTGAAAGCACCACACGGTCAGTCACTTGCAGGTTGTGGCCCGCCGAGTCCTCCGAGTCCTCCGAGTCCTCCGAGTCCACCTTCAAGATGAGGATAGCCTGGCTTGACCGAGAGAAAAATACTCTGGCTGAGACATGGCTGTTATTAATACCCCCGAAAAGGTGAATGAGATCTGACCTAGGAAGGTTATTGAGGAACGTCAGACAGCCACCAAATGACAAGTGTGATCTTGTTGGTTGGGATGGGCAAATGCAACCGCCTCCAGTGGACTGGGGAAAGCCGTGTTGCTCAATATCCCAGCAGCAACCCGAATTTCATCAGCGGCTTTGAGGGATGGCTCGGCGTCAATACCGTACGACTTGATGCACCAGATTGCTGTTCTTCGCAGCCTTGTCAACCACAGGACAATTGAAAAGCTCCGGATTCGAGTTTAAGGCGCTTCCTGTCGAACAAGTGCAGGAGTGAGCAAGCTGTGGATGAGGATGATGAATTGTTTTTAAACCAGGTGATTTGTATCAAAAGTTTCTGAGTCGATCGATAGATCAACAGTACCTTTTGCAATCAAAGAGTACACAACGCACCGGACAACGCCCAAATCAAGGGCCATGCGAGCAAGATTGCCCGACTTCGGGGAGAATGGGAGGTTTTGCGGCAGACGACCTGTTCTTCACATCACAAGGGCATCATGATGGCATCAGCTTCGTCTCAAGAGGCATAGAGTACTCACCAAGGAAAACGCAAGATACCTTGGATGTGTCAAAGGCGGCGAGCTACATAACTTGGAACATGGCGAGGTGGAAAAAGCCTCAACGGCGTCGAGCTGCAGACTGTGTCGGCGATGGACATCAATAACAACAACCCCTGTCTCACTGACATGAATGTTGACGACCTGAAGAATGTCAACCGCACTGCGCGTGGTGGTTTCATTGGCTTCTACTCCGACTGTTTCCAAGGCCTTCTCTGCTCCCAACTTGACCGAGACAGGTGGCACCTTGGCTTTCATTGACGGCCCGGAATTGTCCAACCTATCTTTCCTAGCATTGCCGATCGCGAAATAGTCAGATGACTGGCTAGAATATTGGGAACCGAAATGTACTCACCTGTCAAAGGGCCCGGTAAAGACATGGCCTCAAGAGAGTGTAGTCTCGATGCCAGTGCTGGTGGATCCAACGTCCCGACCACCAACACCACCAACACCACCATCTGTGACCTCTTCAACCAGGCTCACACTCTGCTGGTGTCATCAAGGGCGTCAACACTTGTTTGATCGACAAGGCACACACCCAGAGGCCAACCCCTTGGACATTATCAACAACATTAACCCATACCTCAATCTCGATGGCATCGAGCTGTGTCGGCGATGGTCATCATCAACAATAACTTACACCTCACTGGCGTGAATGTTGACGACCTCCCCGAAAACACCGCATGGTTGGCGACTTGTAGGCCGTGGCCCGCCGAGTCCTCCGAGTCCTCCGAGTCCACCTTCAAGACGAGGACTGCCTAGCCTGGTTGAGGAGGAAACTTCTCTCGTTGAGATATGGTTGTTGTTGATATCACCGAATCGTGGTGAACAACCTGCCGCCTGACGGTCTACCAGTCTGGAGGTTGACGGACGACACAACGAAGAATACAATGGCTTCCTTGGAAGTACGCAGAGGCCTACCCAAGGTGAAGGTGGTCTTCGGTGGACCCAAAAACAGGATGAGGAATCAACCAGTGGCGATGATGAGGTGGGTTGGAAGCGAAACTCCAATACTACCACCTTGGCGACGACCGAAGAGGAGGACACATCAAGATGTTTTCGGCGGTGGTTTGCATGATGGTATGGATGGCGGCGATGAAGATGGCGGCGATGAAGATGGCGGCAGGAAGAGCTCTACATGCCAGGTCGCATGATGGTTCTGGCACAGGTTCCGGATCTGGTTCAGGGTCACATTCAGACCTGACCAGGAAGGTGACCGGGGAACTTCGGACACATGACATGGAACATGCATGGCCATGTCTCTTAACCTCAACGGCATGGAGCCGCAGACTGTGTCGGCGATGGACGTCAACAACAACAACAACCTACATCTCACTGACATGAATGTCAAGACTTCTGAAACTAACAACGAAGAGTAAGGCTCGCAGTCTTCATCATCAAGTCGACGATCGCACGACAGTACGACATGGGGAGGACCACGCAAGAAAGATTTACTGAAAAGATGACTTGGAAGCCAGAAAAATAGGAACTGTATCGACAAGAATACTCGCAACGGTCGAAGCATGACTTGACCCTGGTTGTAATGGGTGCAGAGGCGAGCCATGGCAGGACACGGCACGCAATCATCCTCTGAAGTGATGAATGTGTTTGAAATCCATCCATCAGGTAGAATTGTTGAGGCTGCAGCATAGTCTTGTGTGAGTTTGTGTGGGCGCAGGCCGAGGTTAGTTTCTCGAATGGACAGCACTAACGAATAATTCACATGATTAAGATTCCAACATTTGACAAAAGATATTTTGGGTGTTGTGGTGGTGGGATTTTGGGTGTTGTGATGGCAAGTCCAATTCATCTTGAGTGTGTTGCGAAATAATAATTGCGAGTCCTAGCTATTTTGGAGTTGGCAAATAATCAACTCTAGATAGTTTGGGCTCTGTGCGCAACAACTCTAGATAGTTTGGATGAATGACCCGAAAACTCTAGATAGTTTGGATGAATGACGAGAAAATGCAAGATAATTAGGATGAATGACGTGATTGACCAATCAAAAATGAAAGGTGGTGGATGAGTCATCAATAAATTATTATTGCCAAGGATTATTCTGGTACGACTTTCAACTGCCAAAAGTTTGTGTTGAATGGCCAGCAGAATTAATTACTCTTTAAAACTTGCGGCTCTGAGGAGGAGAACTCTGGAGGGTAAACGCCTGGGATGACCTGAAATGACTAAGCCATTGTATTGTCAAAAAAGTAACTCACACAAGCCTGCGCTGCGGCCTCAACAACACATTCCTTCTTACGACACAACACAACACACCTCTCCTTCGTACTGAATCCCCATCATTTCAAACGCATGGTCGTGACAAGAAGTGAAAAGATATCAACTTTTTGTATGCCTTTTGTTCATAGCCGTAGCCATTGACGAATTATTGTTGTTCATGGGCCCTTCGGAACAAACAAAACACCTTCGTCTTCCAGCCCTGGTTTTCATACACACCATCATTAACTTCGATTGCGTCCATACTCGACAAGCTCCAAAGGAAATCTGCTGCTGCCGATGGCCTTGAGGGATGAGCCCTCGGAACATCGCAGTGATCTAAGGTGAATCGTCAGAAGGTGATGTGTAGTTTGGTATGAAGATACTCACTGTAACGACGAGCTTTCCAATCAAGTTTTTGTTCGAAACCATCAACTGAATGTTGAAACATGGAGGTGTGTCGACTCGAATGACATCTTGATTTCTATCATCTCCTTGTTAAGGGTGTTGAGCTGGTCCGACATCTTTTCAAGTCAATTGCGTATTTCATTAAGCGAGGAATTTGTGGAGGAGGATAATTTGGAAAATCGGATTCTGATGTTGTATATTTAATCTCTGTCAATATGACCAAGACTTGGAGTGTCGACGGATTTCTTGAGCAGTGGAACGAATAAAAAGTAGGTAATGATTGAGAGTGTGAAGAAGAAGAAGAAGGAGATGTGGGATGGTGAGATGCCTTATTTGTTTGTTGTCCACACGACAGGCAACTCCGCTTGGTAGCCGGCGATCACATTTAGGCAGCAGTGAAGGGGGAAAAGTGCTGCCTGCTGTCATATCTAGTCCTATTGTAAACCTGCCCGACACTCCGCTTTGCGATCTTAACACCGCTTTACGGCTTCAACAATCTTTCTCTTCACAACAAACCCTCCTTTGCACTGAATTCCATCATTGAGGTGTGAATCCGTAGGCAGTGAACAGTGACTACCAAATCATGTTGACACCACACTGCCTATAAATAAATCCATCAAGTACACAACAACCAACAAACATTTTCCTCTTCGTCCAGAGTTTCTTCTGCTGTTGCTGGTCCTATCTTGATCACGGCCAGCTCCTTTTCTCCTATCACACCCAAAGATCCATGTCGAGCAATTATCCCTCCGAGCTACTTGACCGCCTCTGTCAAGTCTCTGGATGACTCGAGTCACGGCGCAGAGTCCTACAGCCATGTCAACGGCGACCGGATGGCCCCTAAAGGGAACAAGACTTTGACCTGGGATATGTACCAAAGCATCAGGTCCATCAATGAAAGACCCATAAATGAAAGCGAGAATGCTACTGATTCAGATACTGATCAAAGTAATGGTGGTGACCCTTGCATCTCACCCGAGGAGTACTCGTCCGCAAATGACCCAGAACGACCAATGACACACCTCAAGGCCACCGGCGATCACAGAAATGAACCACCTGGATGTCACTTGAAGAGGAAATCGGCAGATGCACAAGTCACTTTGGAATCTTCGACGGAACCGACCGAATCAACCAAGTTGCCTCCATCAAGTGAGGTTTTCTACACATTCCTTGAGATTTTCTTACCTTACTCCACGGATGGCCACCATGAACAGCATGGACCACCACGTCTCATTCGACAAGAATGAGACGTATCTTGACGACAATGTCGTTAAAGATATCTATATATATATATCATTTCTCAGACACCCAGGAACTGATCCTTCAAATGCCTCACTGCAAGCACGACGCCATCACTGATGGATTCAGCCAAACTTGTGTGCGAAAGAGGATTGAACAGCTCTGTGATAAACATCGAGTGGTGTTTCGGTTCGAGGGGACAAGATCGACAGATATCAAATCCGAGCAGGGTGATGTGCTTTGAACATGTCAGACTCGACAAGAACTATTACTCAATCTTCGTTCAAATGAACCACCACTCTACTGTCAGGACGTCAGGGTTGCCCAGGGTGTTCAGAGAGCCAACCAAGTCTACATCTTCAACATCCAGCTTGAAAATGGCCGGCTTCGACAGCTCAAGACTCACATATCGACACACTATACCTCACAAGCTACCTCTCGAAGTATCAGCGGCCATTGTCTCCGTTCAATTATGGACGCCAGCGTTCCTGATGATAGTCTGGAGAACAACACAAACTTTTTCACAGGCACATCACATACGAGCCGCTCGGTAGTCAACGCCATGCAGACGCTTGCCGACTTCGAATCTAGCTTCACGAATGGAGATATAGAATCCATACTTGATATCACGTCATTTACCATCAGAAGGGTGTTTATCCCGTATACTTTTGATTATTTTCCTTGGACTGAGCGTCTGGCCTCACGGATGTCGAACAACGTGCACGAACTGTTCCAGGGGAGCCTCAATGAGCGTATCACCAAGCAACTGCGTCCACGAGATGCGAATCTGGGCCCGCTGGCGATTTCGCGAAGGACATCGAGGCTGTCGGCCAGGCAACAATTAGACCAAAGAATTCCGGGTACGGGACACACGATCCAGACGCTTCTTACAGGCACCTCGGATCACCTTTGCCCGTGGTCGTCATTGAGGTAGCCTATGCGCAGTGGGACTGCACGTTGCGGGCTCTTATAGAGGACTATATTTTTGGATCTCTTCTCAAAATTCGAGTGGTGGTTGGATTCGATATCAGCTACAGAAAGAACAAGAGAGCTACGTTCTCGGTCTGGCGGCCAGTGCAAAATCCAGATAATGAGGTCTGGACTGTCGAGGCGACCGTGGCGAATCGAGTTCCGTTTACTCGAATCCTCTACTTTTACGAGACTGACACGATCTAGGTATTCCGCCACGACAATGGTGAGCCGAACAACTAGAAGGAATGACTCTATGTCTGGAAGATTTGGCAGATCCAAAAACGTATCAAGATTTCAGCGACGGCAAAAATGCAAGGATCGGTTAGTGGTTGAAGTCGACATCGAATACAAAAAGCAAAAAGGAGCCACGTTCTCAATCTGGCGGGCAAGAATGCAAGATCCAGACGATGAGGTCTGGACGCCGCAGGCTGTGTCGGCGATGAACTATCAAGACTTTCCAGAACAAAGTCGTTCCATAAGCTTGAGGCCTGGAGCTTGGTGTCGTTTCTGGCTGAATCGAGAGAAAACTTCTGTAGCTTTTCCATCACACCATGTTTCAAGTTGTATGTTCAAAGTCTCTTATCTCGTTGGCCTTTTGTTTACCATGATTAATCCCTTGATGAGAGGAGATGGTCTTTCGTGCCATCATGTCTCTCACGAGGCTCGTGACTCTCTAGATCTCGGCGCCTAGTTGCCGAAACGTCAACGACCTGAAGAGTGTCATCACTGCACTATCCTTCCCTGCCAATGGTCGTGGTATCAAGGTCAGTTTCGCACGGGCAGCCTTGAGGACGCTGCCAGCTTGACCCTCCGAAACGTCAGCAAAGCTTTCGATGAATGTCATGAGCGCCGAACGCGTCGTCACCTCAAGCACGAGTGAAAAAAGGTCTCGAGACGTCCGAAACTAATTGCGACAGGTAATGCTCGCAGTTCTCATCATTGAGCCCATCTTGTGATGAATCGCTTTCGTTTCGGATGACAATGAGCTTGATATTGAAGCCTTGAGGCGTGGGCCAAGTTGAAACGGTGGACATTTCGAATCCCATCAGGCAGGATTGTTTAGACAAGACAAAAGGGAATCAACTGTGCAAGGACTTTACGGAGTAAGGCAGGAGACGTAAGTTTAAATTATCTCTCAATTTGTAAACATGGAGTACGGAGTACAGCTTTGACTATGAAACGATGGCGCGATGGCGCCAAGGGGCACGCTTGACGTATATGTACAAGAGTAAGGTCATACCCAAGCATGTGGTTGAATGGTGGTCAACAGATGATGCCTTGGTCACGAACGTCCTCGTCATCGCCATCCTGCGATGCCGATGCCGATACGCAGACGGCGACCATTGACTCCAGTCTGCTTTGTTGTATATGTGGTAGAAGATGGTTCGCCGGGGGGCATCGTTCTCCTCCGCTCGTATTGTTCTGCGACATGATGGTTGCCGTACTTCTTAAATTGTCCACGGAAGGGGACTCTTGGGCGGCTCTGTTTCGGAATTGTTGAGGACTCCGGCGTGTGGTTGGATGGTGGCCCAACAGATGGTGCCTCGATGAAGCGGTCGCATCGGCTGCCCGCAGCCAGACGGTCTTCCAACCTTCGAGTCTGCCGCGATCGTAGGTCGAGATGATTTTCCGGTCCACTTGGACGCCGGTACGTCTCGCTCTCCCCAAGACCAGATCGTGTGAGGTCCAGCTTGACGGAGTCTTGATCGCCGGCATCATCGACCTCGACAGTTGTCGGCCGCAATCGCAGGTGTGCCCAAGAAAGCTCCACGACTTCTCATATCGCAGAGAGTGGTGTTAAACCCCCTAGGGCCTTGATCCATATTTAAACTCTTGTGACGATGACCGTACATAGGTGAGATGGGGTTTACAGGAGTAGACTCGGCTTCTGATGAGTCCAGGTCGGAAGGGATACTCTTGCTGCTCCTGCTTCAGCATCTTCGATGAAGCGGCCGTATCGGCTGCCCGATGCCACACGACTTCCGCCTGGGACAGAATCTTGCCCAGTTCGGTGGTACAATCTCCACCACGGCGGATTTGGTGCGCAGCATTTTCACAAAGAGTTTGGATGGACTCAAGCTCTTTGTCCACTTGAAGGAAGCCGGCTTCGTTGGGGTCAGTGACCTTGAGGACCAGCGACTCGACGGACCTTCGGGAGGCACGCGCTGCGATCGACCGAGGGCTCGTCTTCCAGATTGGAAGGTTCTCAACCAGGCAGTCGAACCTTGCGTCCAGTCGCTCGACGGTAAAGTCTTGCGATTCTTGATCCGCTATGCCAGTTCGGTTGTTGAGAAAGGAACCGGACATAGGGTTGGTCTGGTGAGGACGGGTGCGTTGGAGGACATCGTAGCCATCTTCGTGTTGGGTTTGGTGGGTGAAAAAGGCCGTTTGGAAGGCGTCATTTCCATCGCCACCTCTTCTCATGGCCATTTCTTGTTGTTTCAGTTGTGGTTGACGTTGTTCATGAATGAACAGAGAGGAATGTACACTGTGACTGTGTGTGTAGTGTGTTTGTGTGTGTGTGTGTGTGTGTGTGGTGTAGTGTAGTGTAGTGAGAAGACTGTGATGAGTAGGATGATAAGCTATTCTTTCTTCAAGACGGGGGGAGGCTCTCTATTTATCTCTTCGAGACGGGACGAATTGCTAGTTTGTTGGATCTTGGTGAGAATTCTTTCTCCCCCAGCAATTGCAGGTAGGTTCGGTAGTTTCTCGACTTCATTGCCCAACATATTGTAGCATGAAACGATTGGCTGAACATATTTCAACCTCCTGTTGAGCGGTCCCACAGGGTGAGTTTGTTGTCCGACTTGAGGAAAGAATCGGGATCGAAGTTTGTGTTGAGATGGCTCATTCTGAGGTTGTTGATGGTGGGGGGTGAGTGTTCTGTACCGATCTGCACGGCCAAGGATGTTGCCTGAAATTGGCGGGTTCAATGTGACCATATGTGGATGACATTTCGTTGTTGAGAAAAGAATCGGGATCATAAAGTTCGTGTTGACATGGTTCATCCTGAAGGTGTTGTTGATATGGTTGGGGTAGGTGGTCTGTACCGATCCGCACGGTCAAGGATGTTGCCCTGAATTGGCGGATCGAATGTGACAGTCTGCGGATGACGTGTGGTTGTAGTTGTTGAGAAAAGAATCGGGATCACAAAGTTCGTGTTGAGGTGGTTCATCCTGAAGATGTTGTTGATGGTTGGGGGTTGGTCTGTACCGATCTGCACGTCAACCAGCTCCTTTGCAAAATGAGGCCCTCTTAGCATAAACTGATCGGGGATTCACGGTCGGCACTGTCACTCATTTCCAATTACACTGCCGACTGATTGACACCGCGGACTGATTGATGGGACAGATGATCATCCCAACATCTTCGATATGGTAAGAGGACTCAGGCCTACATCTATCTTGGATGGGTCATGACGTTTTGATCCATTCCTGCCACATCGGCGGACATCGAGCGAGCGCTTTATTCTGCTCCACTTCTGCTCGTAACAAAGCTGGTGGTTGACACACATGACCGGTCGGCTCGATTTTGGCAGCATATCATGAGGTAAGGCTTGTGGAGATGGCCGCATTTGACTTTGATGTGAACAGGCCGACAGAGAATAGACTGTCTGCATTGAGTATGTGAGATGAGGCTGCCGGAGAGGTGGCAGGAGAGTCATGGCGGTTCCAGCACGACGATGGTCCTAATCTGCTTGTCAGTGTCCTATCTCTAAAAATAGAGTCATTCTCTTGAGTACATACCTGATCGGTCTCGCGAATGAGGAAGGCCAAGACTATTGACACGGACAAGTCGGTATATACTTCTGACGCTATTGACAATTCTGTCAAGTCAGTGCTAGAGAGCAGGTCTAGCTTGAGGTTAGGGCATTCTGCACCATCCATTAGCATTTTGTCTCCGTCATCACGATGAGAGCTTCTCCAAGGCAGAGCGGAGATCGATAGCGTACCTTGCTCTGAAGACTATTCGTCCTACCGGCAAAGCTCTGCGGACCCGGTCGATGACGTGAGGACGACTCCCTTGTATCGAAATGGGAGCGGCCGAGCCTGTGTTCAAGAACTCTGCGTGAGAGTTTAGTTGCGGCAGAAGCGTGAAGAGTTGACCGATACAGCGACAGGGTGGGTGGTAAATCGTAGAGCATCGAGAGATGGTATGCTGGGGCAGCATCAACGAGACTAAAGATGGTCATTGGCGCAGATGATCAGGTAAAGCTGTCAGAAACAAGTCCTGCAGTAGAGAGTATCGGAGAAACCTCGTGTTGTGGCTGTCTGCGCGACAGGCACCTCACTCTGCGCCAACAACCCTTCAGGCAGATGAGATTGCTCGGGTGAAGTGTACCCTTGCCGTATGTGTGTAGCTGAGTACTGAGGAATGGGCACATACTGCGAGAGTAGTAATGACCGCCTCACTTTGGGTCAATCACGTCGCGAACATGACAGCCGACCAAGCGTAGTTCCGACGTCTTTCAGTCTCTGAAGAGGACCGAGAAGCCCTCATGTTGGACGGTAATTTGCTGTCACTTTGGGTCATCAGCGCAGAGAGCATGGGCCGCTGTTGACAAAGATGTGTGTGACCCGAAATCTTTCTTCGGCAAGCCATCGAGAGGACGTCCGTGTTGGGTAGAAACGAGTAGCTCAGTCTGAACAGCAACAACGTCAGCAGATGAGGTCGCTTAGAAAGTGCAATCGTACCGTGTGTGGTCGAATACCGAGAGAAAGAGAGAGATGGCATACTGACCTGTGATGGTGTGCCTCAGTCTAGGTCGCGCCGCAGCAAAAATGACATGGTCGGGACCGATGTGTAGCCTAGTAGCATTTTTCCAGTAGTAGCACCGAGAAGCCCTTCATGGCGGGTAGCGATGGACCTCGTATGGTTGGGCAACGACAGGTGCTCTCGCTTCGAGCGAATACAGGTCGCTGTTTGACATGGATGGGCCGATGGCCTTCCTCCTCTTCTCTTCCTTCAGTAAACTATCGAGAGGACGTCCGTGTTGGGCAGTGATAGATACCTCAATCTGCTGGGGCTGTACCAACGTTGGCAAGCAAGGTCGACCGAGAAAGTGGCATGACCTTATCTTGTGCAGTCGAGTACCGAGTCCAGTATGAGCACCACACTGAGCAGCAATCGGGGCGTCTCACCCTACTCAGGTAGCCAACGCGGCAAACATGACAACAGACCAGTGTATAGCCTAGTAGCCTTTTTCAGTAGAGCATCGAGAAGCTCTTTTGTGGCGAGCAGCGATAGATACCTCGCTTGAAGCATCAACGCAGCGGAACGTGTGTGTCGCTGTTTGACATGGATGGGCCGATAGCCTTCTTCCTCTTCCTCCGGTAGACTACCAAACGATCTCGTGTGTGTTGGGTAGCGACTCTCGGTGGGCATCAACGTTGGCAGATGAGATTCGATTGGGGAGATGATGGCCTTACCATCTGTAGTTCGAATGCTGAGCGAGAGATATGGCATGCTGAGAGATCTCATGTGGTAGGCAGTGACAGACGGCTCGCTTTGGGCATCGCCACGGGCAGGCATGGCGCAGGTGGACCAAAGGCGAAGCCCTAACAATCTGTGGTCCAAGTACTGAGAATGACCTCGTGTGTTGGGTAAGCAACAGATGCCTTTGCTTCGAGTTGGTAGCGCAGTGCCTCACCTTGGGGCAACGACGTAGCAGAACATGGCAACCGACCAAGTGTAGCCTACTGGAAGCCTGTATCGGGGCCTTGACGGCCTGGTTCATCATGCCGTACTTTCTGTACGGCCTCATCGTCACCATTGTGATTTCATTCGACATGGGAAGCCTCGGCCGGTCAAGACCACCAGCACGGATCGGACAGACAAAAACGGAGACGGAGGATGGAGAGTAAAGAGACGGTTGATAATGACACCAGGTTATGTATGAGATTGTATGGAGGCGGATAAGGACGAGAAGACAGAGACATTAGGCGGAGACGTAGGCGGAGACATAGGGGCGACATAGAGGTGATATAGGGACGACATAGGCGGAGACATAGGAGTTATCTCTTGAATACGCTGGCCACAAGCGCAGAACAAGAATGTTTTGCCTGCGCTGATTTGTGTGTATGCGACCTAGTACTCTCTCTTGCTTGCCTCATGGTGAACAAGAATCAGAACGTCGTCCTAGCCATGGCCACATCATGCCACCCGTCATTTTCCCTCACAAGCCGGGAACAAAAGTCATCCACATCGACACTGGCGTCGCAGACATGACACCAGCAGAACAATCGACAAGGAGCAAGAAGAGTCTACGCCGAAGCCATTAGACAGTCCATTTCGTTCATGGCCACAAGTGCAGAACAAAGAATGCTTTGTCTGTGCTGACTTGCATGTTCATATGTGTATGATCAGATCCTCTCTCTTACTGGCCCTTGGTTGTTTTTCATGGCCACAAATGCACAACAAGAATGCTTTGCCTGTGCTGATCTGTATGTGTGTGTGTGTGATCTGATCCTCTCTCTTGCTTGCCTCCTTGCCATTATCATTCACGATCATCCTGTGTATGAAACCTAAACCTCTCTCTTGCTTGCCTCTTCGCCATTATCATTCGGTGCCACATCCGTAGAACATGAACGCCGCAACTGGTTTAGGGTCTGAGGGAGGAAGGAGTTTCCTCGGTCAAGACTAATCGTGTTTAATCTTGATCGAGAGAGGTAAAGGGTGTGATTGTTTCTTCCGTTGAATTCATCGTCTGTATTCTTGATTGTTCCATGACTCGTCGTTAGTATTCGGATATCACATAGAACATGACTACCATACCTACCGTCCTAGGTTCAAAGAAGAAACGATAGAAGCTTGAGAACACTGTTGTTGTTGTGGTGGTGCCGGTGCCGGCGATGGTGCAGGTAGACTGCGCTCAGGATCTTTCAGTAACCAACCTTGTTCTCAATGCTTGTCGCTTGTAATTGAGAGCTTAGCCCGAGTCAGCCTGCGCCGTCGTAATTGGGCCGGTATCCAAAGACAACTCCGCATGAAAATCGCTTAGGAGAAAGGGTTTTGGTTAATTTTTCGCGAGCTTTTGCCTGCGCTGAATGTGTACATATGTTCTAGTCGTTCCTTCGACTCTTTGCTTAGTTCGGATGCCATATTGTACTAGGTTCCGTGAAGAAAAGATGGGAACTTGAGGACGCCGTAGCCGTAGCTACTGGTGCTGCTGCTGATGTTGTTGGCTCAAGATCGGAGATCTCATGTCGAGCAGTGATAGGCAACTCACTTTGGGCCACCAACCTCAAATTCCAACCTCGTGAAGTCTAACTCGGACGCGCCTATAGATCCTTCGTTATCCCAAGCCAGCCCGACCTAGGGTGCCGGCATGCCATGCTGCGGCGGATAGCCATCCCATTGCTCATGGGGTGGTCGCTGCTGCATGTCATTGCTCATGGAGTGGTCGCTGTTGCATGTACGAAGGATGTTGAGGCTGGTACGCGTGCTTCATATTTCCATCCTGCGGGTATGGCGAGTAGGGTAGGTCGGGCTAGCTTGGGATATCGCAGGATCTATAGGCAGCATGGCATGCCGGCACCCTATCCGCACCCTGGACCCGGCGTCCAAGGGCTACCGCAGACTCCTGCTGCGTCTTGTACGGGCCTAAGGACCCCGAGTCTGTGTGCGCGTGGTAGCGCAAGAAAGGGTCTACCGACATCTAGGCAGCGGTGAGATGGCTATACCGCCTTCATGGGACCAGTTGGCTCACTGACCTGCTTATACCCAGACTGGCCGTTATAAAGCTCCAGCCGCCATTTCCCACCGTCGTTGTCTGCGTCCGGTCTGTTGTCGGCGTTGGATGCATTCGCTTCCTCTGTCAAAGCGAGAAAGAAGGCGCCGATCGGCATATCGAGTCGGGACGGGGACTCTTATCAGTTTTTGACGTATCCCCAACGGCTCTATGAGTAACGCTTTGCCAGAGGCATATCACATTGACGCGTTGGTTTGAAAGACTTTCCGCTGCCTAAGGAGAGGGCCTTTCGAACTGACTGATGTTCCAAATGATTGAACCCAACGTCAGTCCCGTCATATTCTGGGATACCGCAATATTACGACCGGCTGGGGTATCGGACATTCGCACGTCTTGATCGCATCTTCTCCAAAGCCCGACCACTTCGTTGTAGCCATGTCGCATGATGCGAACGCGAGACACCGCGGCGGGTTAGAATGCGGCGGTCGATAGTCCCGATGACCAAGGGACACCCCGAGTCCGCTGCTCTGCACAGGTTTGGTCTGAAGTCGGCCTCCAGTTCGAGCATACCAGGCGGGTGCGGGTGCGTCGGAGAAGGTGAAGTGGTATGATGACGCCTGAGAATCTTGCTTGGCTGCTTGAACATGTCTCTTCTGAGTATAGTGTTGGCCGATGGATATGAGAAAATGCGCGCTATCGCGACAGCAGCGACCAAGTCACCTGCTGGCCACTGCACGGTGTCCAGTGGTTATCGCAGGCCGAGCCGCCATGTGTCTGGCGTGGAGGTAAGGTAAGCAGGCCGGGGAACCCTGTGGAACTGTTTTGCGTATTCACCGAGCGCTGGGTTACGCCAACGGGAGCAGCCATTTCGTGGGTAACCAGGCCAAACCCCTCCAGCACAGCACAGCCAACGGCCATCAGCACCGGCCATGGCAAGCGGCCAATGGTTGTGAGGGATTGTGTGTTTTGCATCATTGCTCACACATGTGCGTTGTCGTTGTCTGGGATCAACTACGAATCTTCGTACGATCGGGCTGCAGAGTCACTGGCATTGTCAATTGGCTCCACCGCAGGACATTGCCCGGATCCCTGGAGACGTTACGTTGTTGACGACGAAGGGATAGCCAGGTCGGGAAGTATCACGACCATGCGCGTTTGAACCACGACTAAAGAATTCAGTATGGGAGAGGGTGTTTGGGTGTTGATGCGGCCGCAGCGCAGTCTTGTGTGTGTGTGTGTGTTGGTAAGTGAGCGCAGGCCGAGGTAGACCCGAATGAATGAATAGAATAGCACTAGTTCACATGGGTGAAAGATACTGACAAAAGGTAATTCTGATGTTATGGTTACAAAGTCTTGACTTGATGGTATTTTGAATGTGGTGGTTGTAACTCCAATTCATCTCGGGTTAGTTGCGAAATAATAATTGCAAGTCCTAGCTATTTTGGATGTGTCGAGTGCAAATGCAAGATAGTTTGGATGAATGACCAACAAATGCAAGATATTTAGCATGATTGACATTATTGACCAATGAGATGAGAGAAGAGTGGTTGATGAGTCATCCCAGATCATTGCCAAGAATTATTATTCGGATTCGGGGATGATCACAAGGAGGAACTGACTATTATAAGGGAGGACTACTGACTACGGACTACTGACTACGGACTACTGACTACGGACTACTGACTACGGACTACTGAACTAGTTGTACGAACTAGTTGTACGAACTGCGGACTGACGAGTTGTACGGACTAGTCAACCTCTCAGAATTCTCCAAATTATCTCGGGTTTACAAATAGTCAACTCAAGATACCATTCGGAAAGGACTTGTATCATGAGTCAAGGAGTGTTTCTGTAGCAAAAGTTTCATGGTTCTGCTTCAATTTTGCAGTTTGTCATTGACAATCAAAGTGCCAGTTGACTCGGCTTTTAGAGGGGGCTCATCGAAGCACGTCAAAGCTCGTCGAGCACCTGTTGCCTCGAATTGTGTCGCAGCAAGGTATCGCCCGTCTCTTCTCTTGGATCTGTAGAAGCCAGCCATCTTGTCATCGACCCGTCCCGTGCAGGTGTGTTGGACCCTGTTCCCATCCCCAGGGCTCTATATATTCGTGCATCTCTATCTATTTCTCCCATGTCGTCAGTCTCTGAGAAGAAGAACGATACTGTGGCCAAGGGCTAGGGTGACATACGAGTAAAAGGATACAATTCACGGGTATCGTTCCATCCCTCCTTGTTTCATTGGGTCTTGCAAGGAATGTGTATCGTTCCGTCCCGTCTTGTTTCTTTGGGTCTTGAAGGATTGGTCAGAACAACGATACTGCACGGGGGAAACAGCATCAAAAACAGAAGTACTTGCCTGCAAGAGAAAGTCTTGTCAACGATGGTGAGTACGCCATCTCCATCGACCATTTCATCATACAAGAGGACGTGACTGATATCGTCCAGGTTGTTCTCGTCAAACCCTTTGGACTTGTCATGACGATGCGTTTGAGGTAATTGAATTAAGTACTAGGAGGTGTTCTAGGAAGGTATTGAGACCGCAGCGCAGTTTTGTCTACGCGCAGATCGAGGCACTTTCCTGGATAGAACTAGTGCAGTAATCAGAAAACACTAGTCACATGAATAAGATCCTGACAAAATAATATATTATGGGTTGAACCTCTCGCCCAAGTTTGAGGCCAAGTACCAATTCTGATTCTAACCAGTCATTAAGCGGCATAACAGCTGTACAGAGACCACCCGTATTCATAGACGGAGTGACCGCCCTTTCTGACATAATCTGAGACCGCGGTTTTTCTCGCCATATGATGGCCGTCTTTGCATCGGGCCTAGACAGCGAGGAAAGATGTTTGGAAGACGCCATTTCCACCGCCATCTCTTCTCATGGCCATTTCTTTGCTGTTTCATTTGTAGTTCACGCTCCTTCAACATGAGTTCATATTCTCTTAATGACGGATCACCACCATTCTCATCACATCCTGCTGGTAGGACATCTCCATCAGCTATCTCGTCGTACAAGATGGCGCTTGAGGGTTATGTCATTGTCAACGTGCTCCGAAGCCATCGTAAAAGGAGGATAGCGCGGCGATGAGTGGACGAATGATAGAATAAACGGTGAGAGGAGTAATAGGGCGAAGGAAAAGGAGAAGAGGAAGTGAAGGAGAAGAGCAGAATGAGGCTAGGTTCGAGCCTTTGACAGGAAGGGGCGATGTGGTGATTCTTCCAGCCGGCGTTGGTCATCGATTACTCGAGGATTATGGCTGAATTCGTCCAGGTTACTCTCGTCATATGATGGCCGTCTCTGGTATTAGGCCTAGTACTGTTTGGAAGACGTCATTTTCATCGCCACCTCTTCTCATGGCCATTTCTTGCTGCTTCATTTGCAGTTCGCGCTCTCTCAACATGAGCTCACGTTCCCTTCAAGATGGACTACCGTCATTCTCACCACCTTGGTCGTTATAAAGGGAAGGCATTTCGTTGATGTGATTCTCCTTTCTTCGGATGTTTGGCTGCCTGACAACCGTTGACATTGTTCTCCTCGGCGGCAAGGCTCAGTGGAGCTGCGCTGCGGGCTGAACCGTGCAGTCTCGCCGCTCTGCAAGTCTCCTTGGGTTCAATGCGTCTTGGGACAAAGGAGTGGAGGACCTCTGAATCCGTTCGTCGGAGGACTCGACTGCGAGATGGTCCGCGGGGGAGGCCGCACTGCGGCCACGGGAGACTGTAGAGGTGCTGCAGAAGCAAGCCATCTCGATGACTGGGCGGTCCTTATTGACCGTGTTGACATGGTGCAACATTGTACATCTGGTTTGCTCGGGATTCTTTAGTCACTTCCAATTTGGGAACCGACCGTGACCTTTGAATCAATGTCGTGATTGTGCAAGTGTTTGATCGACTCCGTTACGCTCGCTCATATGTCAGAAAGCCGCCTGATCTTGAACTTGTTCAAGGGAAGGTCTGGATCATTCTTGCATCCATACTAGCGAAGAGTCGTCGAGGCATCAGCCATTCTCTCGCGTTTTTGTTGACCACTTGGTACATATATATAGAAGGCATCAGTACTGAGTACCATGCCTTCTTCTGTCGTGTGACGTTGGCTTAATCACACTTTTTTGGCTTTGCTCCGCGTCATCAGCCTGCGTTTTTCGGAGCTGGTAAGACTCGACGGTTGGCAGGAGCCAGATGTTGTTTGTCTGACAGCTGAGTTCGATGGGATTGTCGGTGTCTTCTTCTTGTCCCTTGTTTTGTCAGAACAAGCTTCGTCGAGTTGATCCAACTCATCGGAGGATGTCAAAGGGCTATTATGTCTCTGATCATTTGCCCCTTTTGGGTTCTTTGAAGACCATGCCTTCTTCTGTCGTGTGACGTTGGCTTAATCACGCTTTTTGGCCATGGGCCGCGTCATCAGCCTGTGTCTTTCGGAGCTGTTAAGGCCCGAAGGTTGGCAGGAGCTGGATGTCGTTGGTCTCAGATTTGGGTTCGACGGGGTTTGAGATGAGATGGTTGGCGTCTTCGTCTCGTCGCTTGTCTTGTAAGAACAAGCTTCGTCGAGTTGATCCAACTCTTGATCCAACTAATCGGAGGATGTCAAAGGGCTATCAGGCTCTCCACCCAGACCCAAGCACTCGATATGGCGATCCAGAAGATTCTTCCGTTGATTTGTCATGAATCGTCATGTCGGTAACACTGGCATTGATTGACTTCCTGACCAGATACATTGGTCTGGTCTGGCTGCTGTTCACAGTGTTCGCCGATAATGAACTGACTGTTACGTTCGGAGTCTGTAGGAATGGCAGACGCAGCCTCGAGGCTCTGAAGGTCGGGCTGCTCAGTTACAGCACTGAGCCTGGCTCTGGCCTGTTGATCAAGAATGTTGTAGCTCTTGCCAACATACATAATTGCATCTGAGCCATAGAATTCAGAGCAATAACGGAACTCCCAGGGTGTTGCCCCATAGATACCACTCAGAGGACCACAAGTGTTAAGATTTTCTTTTCCCAGCAGAACCGTTCGGTGGTCGAGGGGGCAGAGGACTCGACAGCGAGATGGTTCGTGGGGGAGGTTGCACTGCGGCCACGGGAGCAACTGCAGAGAACCATATGCATCCTCATCCCAAATGATCTCGAATACAGCGGACTCTGAGACGTATTTGGTAATATTTCTCGACAGGAGCCATCGAGTTGACCGGGCGGTCCTTGTTGACCGTGTTGAGATGGTGCAACATTGTCATTGTATTCGCTTCTTGAGTGAAGGTTAGCGAATGATTTTCTCGTAGAGAAGCTTGGGGGTTGGAATGACCTTGACCTATCCTCAAACCTTTGAATATGTAAGAAGCCCTTGTCTCTTAATTGAAGCAATCGAACGTGGACATTCCAATGTATCGTCACACAGAGGAAGAAGGGAGGGAAGTCCACGAAAGCAAAGCAAGTAGAAGACAACAAGCCAAGAGGGGGGAAAGGGCCACCTTCCGTCTCTGCAAACTCTGTTAAGAGGAGCAATCACAAGACGGATGACCAGGAATGGTTCCAAGTCGATCTCCTCCCCATGAACTTAGTGCCGGCGATCTTAGATCTCAACAATCTGGGTCCCTGGCGCGGAATATGTATATATATAAATCAAATGAGGTCGACATCCCTCGTCGGGGGATTTGCGATCTTTGCGATAGTTGCAGTTCCTTGGACTTGATTTATGCATGAAAAAGGGGTTCTCAGTCTGGCATATATACTTTTATATATATATATAGGCAACAAGTTGTTGGAGGTGCATCAAACGATGGGGAGATGGGTGACAGGATCAGCGTTGCGGACATGGGTGACAGGATCGGCGTTTGCTGTTGCGAGACAAACGCATTCCAACAATGATTGTATCGCTTTGAGACAATCCCTTCACTTATCCTTGCGGCCAGATGAGGCAGTCTCACGCTTGCGATGAAAGTTACATGTTTTGCAAACTGGAATTCTCAATTAAAGTTTCTGTATGCCCTTCTCAGCACAGCCGTTCTCATTGTCCCAGACATTTATCAATCTCGCCGCGCAAGGTCTTTCTCTTTGGGAATGATATCATCATTGCGGAGCACACATCGGCGAGGGACCAACGGCAAAAGTCACAAATCTAGAGCGAGGCCTAGTTATTTTGTATGTTGTGCTTGCAAGTCTTTCCCAACGGTATTTTGAAAGTGTTGAGTGCGAGTCCTAACTATTTTGGACGTTCTACCAAGTAATCTCAATTGTTGTGGATGTGTTGAATCTGACTACTGGTAGCTACCGAGTACAACAGCAATGGTCAACCAACCACCCCCCAAGTTATTGTCCAACAACTTACATTGATTATATTTCTCTGTGATTCTAGCGTGAGGGGTCAGAGTCACCTATTTCCGACCGCTGCATTTGCTTGCATACTTTTACGCATATGTAGCGGCCATTCCTCACTCACTCATAGTCAGTCAATTCAATTCTCTTCGCGCCGCTACAAACCACATTCATGATCATTGCACCAGTCCCATTCGGGATGCCTCGGCCATGCGCCCACCACCCCACAACAACTGCGCTGCGGCCTCACAACACCTAGTTCAGCCCTCCTTCGTACTGAATTCTATCATTTCAAACGCATAGTCATGACAATCAAGATCCTGACAAAACGATACATCATCGTCGAACCTCTCGCCCAAGTTCAAGGCCAGGTACGAATTCTGATTCCAACCAGTCAATCAGTGGCATGACTAACAGCTGTACAGAGACCACCCGGTTTCACGGACGGAGCGACCGCCCCTTCTGACATACCCAAAGAACGAATTGGTCCTGAGCAATCATGTGGACATTGTCGAGGCACAAACCATCTCCTCGCTGGTCGAGGTCAGCCACCGGGATGAGAATGACGACTCGAACAAGAAGCTGATGCTGGAGCGATACTGGAGACAGACATACGATATGAAACAAAAGGGCGACAATGCCTTGAGCAAACTAAGACGATTTTGTATCTGCGGTGGTTATGGTGACCCCAATACGGAGATGTATCAACGCCTAAAGGTTGGCTGCGGCGTGTGGAATCATCATGCATGCCTGATTAGGGCTATGGAAGAGACGGCATGGGCGAAGTTCCAAAAGGAGGTTCATCTCGTCATATGACGGCCGTCTTTGCATCGGGTCTAGATAGTGAGAATAGCCATTTGGAAGACAATCATATTCACCGTCATCTCTTCTCATGGTCATTTCTTGTTACTTCATTTGCAGTTTTCGTCAATTCTAATTCTAGCCAGTCGACCAGCGGCATAACAGCTGTACAGAGATCGCTCGTATTCAGGCAACTTGTCAGACGAGCCGAGGGATAACGTCATGAACTACTCCGTATGTTACTTCATGATGTAAAGGTTTTGATTATTTTGGGTGTGTAGCGCAATAATACTTACAAGTCCTTTCCGAACCGTAATTTTGAATGTTGTGGTTGCAAGCTCTTCCGAATGGTATCTTGAGTTGATGATTTGTAAACTTGAAATTGAATTGAGTTGATGATTTGCAACCTCAAAACTATCTTGAGTGGATTATTTGTAACCCTGAGATGATTTGGAGAAAACTCAAGATTCAATCAGACGGGGGCAGAGCACAAGATTAGTCAACGAAAATTATCGCCAAGAATTATTCTGGTACGACTTCTTTTCGCCAGCAGAAGAATTGCCAGAAGTGCCAGAGAAGGATGATGTCATTTATGAGTGGTATCAAGCAGGCTAAGTTCTAGAGAACCTCCACCTTATCCTGCAATATTACCTCTGAGCCTAACCTAATAACGTTAGCTGTCATTTCATCATACTTCGTATAGCAACAAATGATACTTTTGAGGTATCTGAGGGCTAGACTAATTAGGTGTTGTTGAGGCCGAAGCGCAGTTTTGTTTTCGCGGCCGGCGCAGAAGGCAGTTCCCGAACAGGACTAGTGCAACAAACAGGCAGCACTGGTCAATGATCAGCCATCCTGACAAATTTCCTATATAATCTTCGTTGCAAGCCCCTTCTGACTTCAAAGAGTCTAATCCTCAAGCCTCACGTTTGGGAATCAAGTGCCCGCCTTTAACAGTCTTCTCGTTTGCCAGGAAGATCCTTCATCATCATCACTGGCCTTATTGGTAAAGCCAAAGAAGCTTACCACAAGGCGGCGAAGCACGGTCAGTCTCGCCACTCGGCACACACACATGTTGGACCTCGTTCTTGGGAGTCTCAATGCTGACCCATCCATGACAGATCTCACCCACAGTAGTACTGCCTACGCTAGCCATCATCACCCCGATGATGTCCTCGATGTATGTTAACTCCTCGTCCTGTGTGCTTGAAGATGTTTCTAATGATTTTTGAGCAGCCATGCACCTTTCCCGGGTGCGAAGCCTTTCACAGGACGGAGACTTAAGGACTTCTTTCGGCAGTCGATCTTTACCCGGCAGACGACCCTGGAGCCAGAACTAGAATTTCCGACCCAGGTCTCGTCCTAAGACATCCTGAGAATTGGATCATTTACCCTGACAAAGGTTTGATCATCCCAGAGGCACCGCCCTCGTTGCCCTCGTTCCAGATTCTTTGGGAAAAGACTGACTGGATGGTACAGGTGGAATCCACAACGACACAACTGCCATGCAGGGGGCAGCACCGAGAAGTGAAGCAAATGGTTGCCATCTGCGTATCGGCATGGTACAATAGCGATGACGAGGACGTTCGTCACCGAGGCACTATCGGCAACGAACGCAAGCCGGTTTGCACCAGGTCACGAAGCAGAGACAACGAGGACAGTCTGCCCTGCCCCCGGCGCCTACCTAAACTCTTCAGTCGAAGGGGTGTCACCTCTCTAGCCATCGCACATGGCGATGTTGGTCTGGTGACACCCCTTGATAAAGAGGTCCTTCGTCCATGCAAACTGCATGAACACAACGACGGACTCCTCCCACAGGACAGCCGGAAAATGAAACCCTCTTTCGACTCAAGGGAACACTTTCCCCTCCACCAAGGAGACTGCTACCACGAGAACGAGCCCAATCAACAACTCCAGAAATACCTCGCTCAAATGAGCTTGGGATGTTGACGAAAAGTACAGATCGGGATCCGCCCCTTGATAAGAGAGATGGCCTTTTGTGTACCATGGTGCCTCTCACGAGGTCCGCGACCTCCCTGGACCCCGGCGTTCATTTGCCGGAAGGTTAACGACCTCAAGAATGTCACCACTTCGCTGTCCTTCTCTGCCAATGGCCGTGATCTCGAGATCAATTTCACAGGGATAGTCTCAAGGATACTGACCAACTTGACCTTTCGAAGCGTCAGCAAGGTTTCCATGCCATCACCGAGCAACGTTGGTGGCTCCTTGGGGTTTGAATCCTTCTTGTACAAGTAGTCAATTGTGAGACGTAAGAAAATATAACTAAATCTATCTGAGAGGTATCTTAAAAGTGTTACTTTGGTATGTGTTGAGTGTAAGTCCTTTCGAAGGGTGCTTTGGGTGTTGCTGGTTGCAAGTCCTGGTGCGCAATAATCCACAGAGAATTTGGCTGCAACAAGTACCCGTAGACCTGCTGGTGAGTCCTGATCATGTGACTGGGACTGCCTTGGTTCTTGCACTTGATCCTATTGGAAACTACCTGCTGCCTCGGCCTGCGCGTAAACAAAACTGCGCTGCGGCCTCAATTCCTTCCTGAAACACCCTCCTCCGTACCGAATCCGATCACTTCAAACACACACTCGTGACAAGTCTAAAGGGCTGGACGAGAACAACCTGGACGAATTCAGTCATGTCGTCCTCTTATATGATGAAATGCCTGATGCGGATGGCGTCCTCGAAACGGCTTTTCTCATCGAGCTGGCCCGGTGCAAAGACGGCCATTGTATGACGAAACAAGCCTCGCAAATGACGGTCCAGGGCACCGTCACGATACTGAAGGGCATTGGCTATAGTGAGTCACCGGAGTTGTTATTCGTCTTTGAAGATGGCGATGACACAAAGATTCCCAACGGTCTTGTGTTGCGTTCGGCACTCGAGACTTGGAGATCGGAAGAAACCACTCGATTCTTCTCCCTGTACATTGACAACCGTCCTGGAGAGAGTTGGAGTCGACCTCCTCTGCCTCATCCTGACCAACGGACCGGCATGCGTGCGCAAGGGGTGGAACAAGAGATGTGAGATGATAGGTACGTACAATCAGGAGGCTGCGAGAGTCTGTGGTTGTGTTGTTCATGTCGAAGGTCCTTCAGGGATATCCGAGACGGCAACCTCAGTCTTGAGATGATTCAACCATATCGTCCTCTTGCATAATCAAATGGCCGATGGAGATGGCGTCCTCCAAACAGCTTTTCTCACCGACCAGGCCCAATGCAAAGACGGCCGTCATATGACGAAATGAACCTCGACGAATTCAGCCATATCTTCCTCTTGTATGACGAACTGGCCGATGGAGATGGTCTACCAGCAGGATATGGTGAGAACGGTGGATGGAGATAGTGTACCCACCATCTGTGACGAGGCTTTCTCTCGCAGGCAAGTACTTCTGTTTCTGATGCTGTTTCCCCTGTCCGGTATCGTCGTTCTAACCGATCCTGCAGCGATGTCCTTTTTTCGGAATATGAAATGTCATGCTCAGAAGGACGACAAAAGACAATTTCACAAACACCGATTCTCGCAGCAGTCTCGCTGGGCAAGTAATGTTGACAGAGAGCGATCTTTGTAGTCGCCTTCCAGAAGATAAGAAGAAGACCAAGTTGGCTTCTGAAATTTTTTGTGGTGACACAAGAAAAGAGCGGATTGATGGTACATGAACAATGGATTGAGACGCCGAGCCCGTATGCGGACCCTTTTGCGGACCTTGATGCGGACCTTCATATGCGGACCTTTATATGCGGACCTTTATATGCGGACCTTTATATGCGGACCCTTTTGCGGGCCCTACCTCAGTAATGAGCCTTCTGCAGGTTCACCTACAAAGACCTTGTTACGACTTCTACTTCCTCTGAATTAACAAGTTTGACCAAGTTTTCGGCTCTTTTGTCTGTCTCACCGACAACGTTATCAATCTCTCACCTGCCCGACTAGCAGCAAAACGAGACGAAGGATTGACCATGGATGCCTGAAATGGTGTCAAGGGTTTGAGCAAATCAACAAAGCGGCTGACAGTCTCTGGAACACTATTTCAAAGGGCATCACTCCTCAGACTATCCAAAATGAATTCGAAATCAATTCGCCCACCGCCCTGGCATTACTGTCACCGCCGAACTATCATCGATGGAGAAATGTTGACTGAGGACGTCGGTACTGACTCCATGGTTGTTGATACGGTGGAAAGCCTTTTTCTGCGGTAAGTTCTGTTGACAATTGCTTTTGCATACCTCCCCTTACGGCCAAAGAATCTTTACAACCCCATGAAACGTCTAGACATGTCCCGCCAAGTTACTAATTGTGATTAGGAGAGAAGCGAGGCGAAGACCAAGACGATCCTTGAAAGTCTAGGAGGCGGAGATGTTGCTTCGCATCTCTCTCATACCTCCACCTCATGAAGAGTCATCTCTTGACGACATTGTCTGTTGCCATGAAAAAACAATACCAAAGAGGCAAGCCAGAGAGAGGACCTGATCATACACACGAGAAAGGGACAGAACCAGATCATATACAAAAGCAAGAGAGAGGATCAGATCATACACACACATACACACAATCAGCGCAGGCAAAGCATTCCGAGTTCTACATTTGTTGCCATGAAAAGGAAATACCAAAGAGGCAAGCAAGAAAGAGGACTAGATCATACACAGACGGACATGCGAATCAGCGCAGGCAAAAAAAACACAATCTTCTCTCTTTCTCAAGCTTTGGGCATTTATCGCCTTGGAGTTTTTAGAGTTTGGGAGTTCTGCCCGACTCTTAAAGGGCGCAGTCTGCCACACACAAACACAACTACCTACCACAACGAACAATCACCTTCCTACGGCGGCATCCTCAAAACTGTATCACTCTTCTTTCTTCAGGAGAGCACAGTCTATCATACACACACACACCTACCACAACAAACAATTTCTTTGGTGCTGCAGCCTCTTCAAGATCGTATTACTCTGAACTCACCCTTCAAAAGGGCGCAGTCTGTCACACATATGACTATCACAACGAACAATCACTTCGCTGCTGCCTCAAAATTGCATCACTCTTCACCCTTGCACAGCTTGCCCCACACACACACACGCACACACAATAACAACGAACAATGACTTTACTGCATCGGCTGACCCTAACCTCACCGATCTCGCCAACCTATCTCCGCTTTTACAAACCTTTGCCACAACTCATCCCCGGCATCAGTGAGACCACTCTCACTGCAGACTACTACAACCAACTCTGTGAGTGATGGGGGCTCATGGATGCAACAGGAGGTTGGCGAGACTTCGAGACTGCCATGTCCGAAATCTTGATGCGTCACCTCGACCTCACCAACGTCGCCAACCTGTCCCCGCTTTTACAGACCTTTCTTTGCCACAACTCATCCCCGGCATCAGTGGGACCACTCTCACTGCAGACTACTATAACCAACTCCGTGAGTGATGGGGGCTCATCTCGCGTAGGGAGACGCAGCAGGCAGATCAAACACTGTACACTTCAGTGGCATGGAAGAGTTGGGAGAAATCTTGATGTGCCACCCCGACCTCCGACCTCCTCAACCTCGCCAACCTGTTTCTTACTTTTACAGATCTTTGCCACAACTCATCCTCGGCATCAGTGAGATCAGTCTCATTGCAGACCACTACACCCTCGCATCACTCTGCATACCGACCTCATGATGGTGTGGCATGATCCTAAAGCTTACAGACGCTTTACCTGCAAGGCGAAGAACGATTCGACTACGATACGCAGCGGTAGCAGCAACAACAACGACCACGAACACAACAAGCCCCAAGAGTGTCCGTCATCATTGCGGGGCGAGACAACCCAAGTCTTGCCAGTTGTCAGCTTTACCAGCCACGCGTACATCGCCTGGAGTTCAAGAACTCACAGAGCCTCCTACGTCTCTTTGTACATTACGGAGTAAACAATGTCGACTCCATCCGAAGAAACTCCTGCAGCGTGGGCCACATCTTTACTTCCGGAAACTAGCGGCGACCTCTTCGACTTCTAAACACAGGACAGGAAAGGCCGTCCTTGTCCTAATACACAAACCTCAGGGCATAATAACACCTAAATGCTACTCATTCGCTTGACAAACAAGCATCCTCCCACCTAGCAGTCTTATCTCGGCAGTCTACTTACGCTTACCCAAGTATACTGCTTTGAACCCGAGCTTACGCAATCTTGTGTAGCTTCCTTGAATGACTGTTACGATTGGAGGCAGGCACAACTTGGCTGCAAGTGACCAAAACTTCCTGGTGATGGAAAAGTTCATCTCTCATGAAACATTCAAACCAAGTTTGACGGCAATGTGCGTTGAGCGAGGCAATGAGAAGAGATGTCAATTGGATTACAAGTGGTTACCGCGTTCAACCATATCTGATCTGAGTCGTTCTCTTCAGCCACCACCTATCTCGATCTCTCAGACCATTAAACCTCAACGTCAATCTATTGACCCTTGACCCCTTTATTACATGACTCTCTCAACCTTGAGCGACGTCCATCTGTGACATCTCTTCCATCATGAGCGAGCGAGTCGGATGTCTTCAATCTTGCAAGCGGGCGGTGATAACGTCAACGTTTTGCCATGAAGGCGACGCTCTTCCCCTCCTCCAACGGCAGCAATGTTGCCACCGCCGGTCCCAGCGTGGAATGAAACAAGCACGTCGAGCTCAAGTCGCCAACGCAAGTGGAGTGACTTCGAAAGTGCAAACGAATCTAGCACGTCGTCGACTTTGCCCTTTTCGAGAAGGACGAAGCCAAACATTGTGGACCGCAGTCATGGCGAGAGATGCTGGCATTGCGGAGGTGGTGCACCAGATGTTGCCCACGTTATGAGCAAGAAAGACGCCTCGGTACGTGATGTTTGGCTAAGCTGCAACGCCGTTCATCGTATCATCGAACCATGGTTAGATGACTGATCACTTGCAGTTCAGGGAATATGTGGCACGGGGCCTCCTGACAGTCGATCGTCTTGAAGTCGAGCAAGATGGCCTCCCTCTCTACTCTTCGTGCCATCAAGCAATCGACGACCTCAACAACTGGGGGTTGACATTCATTCCTACTCTTCTCGAATCTTTCATCAAAGTTCGAGTTGAATGACTACCGCAGCCGACTTGATGTTACGAGACGGATCGGTCATATTCCTCCACGAATCGTTCCGACACCACAGATGTATGCTGATCATCTGAAGGGGTGTGAGATGATCCTGCCCGAAGCAAAAGGAGGAAGCTACTGGCGTTACACATTAAGAGATATCTTCCCCGTCAATACAGACAAGACAGCCCATCCTGACCGCCTTCATCGATGACCAAAGTCGAAGAAGCAGAGGCCTCGTGTCTTTAGGCAGTGCAGATGGGCCCACCGCTTTGAAATCAACACATCCAAAATGGTTGGGACTTGGGATTACAATTGTACGACACACCCAAAATACCATTCGGAAGGACTTGCATTACGGAGTAAAGACATACAAAACATCTTTCGAAAGGATCTTTTCGGCCAAAGAATCAATCCTCAAGCCCCGGGCTCAGTCGGAATGACTGGCATTGTTGGAAAAGCCCAAGACGCTCCACAACGTTGCGTGGTGACCAAAGTGACTTTGGAATGGTATTTGGGGTGTTGTGGTGATGAGTCCTTACTATGGTGAGTTGATTAGTTGCACATCCTAACTATTTTGGAGTTGCAAATGATCAACTCTAGATAGCTAGGATGTGGTGCGCAATAATCCTAGATATTTTGGATGATTGCGCATTTCATCCAAGATAAACAGGATGATTGACATTATTGACCAATGAGATGAGAGAAAAGTGGTGGACAGTGACATCATACTATTTGCCAAGAATTTGTTGTTGACTGTCAGGAGGAGGAACTTTGGCTGTGAACGGCAACTTGGGGCTCGGGGGGGTTCAGACCTGTGATGGCCAGAGGGACTACGGAGAGACTACCCAGACAACCCAGACTACCTGGACTACCCTTGGGCTGGTGAGGGGTAAACTTCGGATTCTGGTAAGTGGTGGGGAAGGTGAAGCGAGTCTATACGAGTACGAGCTGACTTACGCAGTATCTCCGGATAAACAAGTGTCTCCGACCCGGTCCTTGGCATGCTTTGTCAGTCACCGGCCGAGTGCTGCGCCGCAGAAACCCCGGAAAAGAAAAAAGACTACTACGGAGTACTCATACCCCGTGGTGCCAAAAGCGTGACCTCACGTGGTCAAGTCGAGCGCCCCGAGAAAATATTTCGGTCAGACACAAGGGTACTTTTTTGTCGGCCATCACATCTGCCTCAAGTCTGGTTCAAAAGTCTGGTTGGCCCAAGGTGCGCCACCCGCCAACCCCCGGGTTGCCTGGCCGCTGCCCAACATAAAACCTGGCTCTTCAGCCTCAGCCCGATTGTCGTTCTCTCCTTCTCTTCCTCCTGCGCTCTTTCCCGGACTCTCGAACCACTCGACCATTCAAACCGCCTGATATATACCATTGAAAGTGTCGTGCATCGGTGACGATCCCACCGACGGTCCTCGGTCTCTTTCTAGAAACCAGGCCGTGACTCGCTTGTGGTGAGGTACGCCAACCGACGGCGCACCAGGAACGATGCCTCGCAGGGCTCCAAAAGCCAGCGCCAAAGCCAGCGCCAAAGCCAGCGCCAAAGCCAGCACCAAAGCCAGCACCAAAGTCAGCGCGAGATGGCCCTTGGGTGATCCGGGCCCCAGCCGCGCAGCCAGGATGCAAGTATTTATTCAAGCCCCCCGACAGCCCACGCCCTTGACGAACGAAGAGGAAGAGTCCACGTCCTCGTCAGAAGCCGAATCGCCCACGCCATCGGCACCAGCCAGGTTGCCCAAGCCACCGGCACCGGTCGGTGGACAGCCGGCCAGCGGACAGCGCGTGCCCCCTCCCACCATGCCCTCACAACCCCTCGTGACGGCAGATGCTCCGAATGTGGGCGGACAGCAACGTCCCTCGGGCAACCTCGATGCGCAAGACGCGTACAAGTTGCTTCTCGAGGGAGCAAATAGCTTGCAACAAACCCTCGCCGCAGTGTCGGAGCAGGGGCAGACGTGGAAAAGGCAGGCACAAGAGTGGCAAGAGCGAGCAAATGCCGCCGAAAAGCAAGCCGAGTCGGCGGAACAGCGGTCTCGGAGCAGCAAAAGGTTGGCAGAGGAGTTGGAAGTGCGACTGCGGCGGCGTTCAGTGACGATGCGAGAGCAAGAGCAGACGTTGCGAGAGCAACAACGGACCTTGGGAGAGCAGGAGCAGACGTTGCGAGAGCAACAACAGACCTTTCAGGAGCAAGCATGGGCCATGGAAGAGCAAATCCGGGCCACCGAAGAGCAGGCACAAGTCACAAAGGCCGATTTGGCCCGCTGCCGAGCCAAGGTGCATGAACAGGCACGCCTCTTGAAGGATCGGCTGGCGGAGAAGACACAACTGAGCAGTGGGCTTGCCGACGTGGCCGCCCAACTGGCCGAGGCGAATCGAAGACTGATCGCGTTCGAGGTTCTGCGGTGCGAGATCTGCAACCTGGCGTTCCGGAATGCCTACCTGCCGTGCGGGCACACGTACTGCAGGGTATGCATCGGCCAGACGCTGCTCCAGAACCCTTCTTGTCCGCACTGCAGGGCCGGGTTTCAAGACGACCTGGTCCGAACCCTCTACGCCGGCGGAGACATTGACGAGCTTCCGGCCGACCAAGAAATGGACGAGGTCGTCGCTGACCCAGACACGATCGAGGTCGTGACAGACCCAGACACGATCGAGGTTCATGTTGACCCAGCCACGATCCAGTTTATGGCTTACCAACAAGCAACGGTCGAGGTTGTGGCTGACCAAGAAATGGTCGAGGTCATCGACCTGGTCTCCGATGGCGAGTAGGCATGTTGCCAGGTCTTTTGGTTTTTGGTTTCTTGTCTTTTTGTGTTGGGTGGTTGTTTTTGGGTCGCTGCTTTTGATGGTTGGCTTAGTCAGTCTTTGATATCACTTTACCCGGTAATAGCAGCCAGGAATAATTTCACAAGAGTTTCTTACCCCTCACTTGACTCACCATTTCAAGAATTTTACCCCTCACAGCCCAAAGGAAGTCGTCATCCAGGTAAGTCCTTCCGTCACCATAGGAGTACAAAGTAATCCCTCTTGCCATCCATCACAACTCAAGAAGTAATTCTTCTGGCCACCAACAAGTTCAAATGTCTCGACAACGACGACGACATGATGGAGCTAAGCCTTTCAACCATGTCTCCCTTGTCAGCACGTCGAGCGTCTTTGAGACCTTTGCTGTTGATGTGATGGTAAGTTCTATTTGTCTTGAGTTTATTCTTTGCAACCTCTTAAGCATGATTGACATTGTGAAATGATTCCTGGCTGCTATTACCGAGTAAAGAAAAATCAAAACTGACCAGGCCAACAATTAAAAGCTGCGAACAAACACAATACTCTCACAAGACTGCGCTGAGGCCTCATCCAACACACAAGACAAGACTGCGTTCCGGCCTCATCCAAGCACCTTCGAACCAAAACTCAACCCTCCTTCATTACTGGAATTCCTCATCATGTTCAAAAACAAAACAAGTCGTCAATCATCTTTCCCAATACCCAATACCCATACACAGCTGGTTTTCAACCATGCTTCAGACCCCGAAAAATCCCCAAAAAAAACCCCTTGCCACCCGTCGACCAACTACCCAACAAACCCTCCCGTCATTCAACTCGTACACAACTCGTCGATCCGCAGGACAGATCTCCGGACCGGCGTCGGGGGAGAATCCTCGACCATCGATGTCCCTTCCGGGTCTCTGGAGACCTCCGGAGAGGTGTCCGACACCCGGACGAAATCCGCCGTGATGCCGGCGTCCTCGAGCACCAGACGGGCATCTTCGACCGACGGGAGGACAAAGTCCTTCTGAACCTGGTCCGACCTCTTCTTCGCCCTCAGGCATGCCTTGCTGACCCTCTTGAGGTCGTAAAGTTCCGTGCCTCGACGCTTCGGCACCCGAAACACAATGTCGTCGTCGTCGCCGTCGCCCTCTTTTTTCCGCATCTCCTCGGCCACCGCCATCATCGCCAGGTAGTGTCGGGTCGGTGTCTTTTTGAGTTCCCACCGCCAGTCCTTGAGTCGGTTCTTGATCTGTCGGTGGTTGCACACCATGCCGTACGACGTCAAATGCGTCGCGATCTCCGGCATCGTCCAGTTCTCGTCGAGGTACAAGTGACCGATCGTATCCCTCCATCGATTCCACGAGCGCCTCGGGTGAAGTTTGGTCGTCGCGTTTGGACTGCCCTTCATCTTTCTTTTTGCCCAAGGTCGATCGTGGGATCGCCACGGCTCAACCGAACCTTTCTTGGGATGGGATTTTCGAGAGGCTGGAACGAAAAGCTGGGATGAAAGACGCTGAACGAAAAGCTGGGATCGAAAGCTAGGATCGAATGCTAGGATCGAAAGCTAGGATCGAAAGCTGGGATCGAAAGCTGCAACGAAAAGCTGCAACGAAAAGGCTGCAACGAAGAGCTGAGAAGATGGCCACCGATAGATAACTGCGACGGGCTGCGCTGCTAGAGGTCAAGTGAGGGGGGGGAAGGGGGAAGGACTGATTGAAAAAAGGCTGAACGGAAAAGCGAAAAGAGATCGTCAACCGATCAACTGCCCATGACATCTCCGTTTTGGCCATTTCCGGCGATGTGGCTTGACGACGCCCATGATGCCTTGGGGTCAGGAAAGTCAACTCACCATCGGGATGAAAGGCCGAACTGACTGAAAGCTACTCCGTAGGATCTTTCGAGAGGATGAACGAGAAAGGCAAAGGGATCGCCAAACCGATAGAACTGACCTGACGTGTTCGTTTTGGGGATATTAGACGACGTGGCTGACGCCCCCAAATTCCTTCCTGTCGCACCTGAAACCACCCCCCCCGTACCATTACCTTCTGTCACACCTGAACTTACCCACTCCCAGACAGGGGGCGCGGCCCAAACCCTTGCATGACTGCGAAATCGCATCCGAAACTGCGGACAAGATCCGAAACTGCAGACACTTCAGACTGGGGACTGAACAACCCAAGACTGCGGACTTGCAGACTGTGGACACTTCGGCCTGTGAACCAACACTCGAGACTGTGGATACTTCGGACTGTGCACTAACACCCAAGACTGCGGACTTGCAGACTGCGGACACTTCAGACTGCGGACACCACCCCAGACTGCGGACGACAACATTCTACCAGTCCATGGCCAAAGAAACCCCAACGATTTGGGTCTTCTTCCCATGAGCAATTCGATCAATCACCACTCCTACTGGCTTCTCTGTTGCCGTGTTCCGATTTGGTGGAAACAAGTCTTTCCATTTTCTTATTTTTCTTCTATCAGCTCATGAGCAATTGATTCAATCAATCCACGACTCCAGTGGACTCGTCTGTTGCCATTTCCACGATCCATCCATTCCCATCATTCCCATCATTCCCCATGACCCATGACTAAAGAGTCCAAAAGAAAAATCCCAAGAGACCTTGTCCGACCGAGAGACCATTCCGATCATCCTTTGCCATTTCCCAACGCCATCAAAATGTCACCTTGAGCAGATGGTCCCTTTTCCTGGTCCGTCCTCAAGAATCCTTCCTTCCTTTCCTTCCCTTTCGCCTTTCGCCATGGTGGTGGTCCGATGTGGTGTGATGTTCGATTGTGTCTCGCAACTGCGTGTGCGTGTGTCGTGTGCGTGCAAAAAAAGCAAAAACATAAAGGGACAAGATTTTTTTTTCTCCGGGTCTTTCGGTTTAGGTTGCCAGCCAGTCGTCGTTATCATCTCTCTCCGATGTCGTCGAAATCAAGATACAAAGTCGCAGAAGAGGGGGGGTGTGATCTGAAAATGTGTCGTGCAATGATTGCAGGTGCAAATGGTCAATGTCGGCGTTGTCGTGATGTTGCCTGCGCTGTCTTGATGTTGCCTGCGCTGGTGTCCTGTGCCTGCGCTGTCGTGCTGTTGCCTGCGCTCGATGTCTGAGGGGGGTTTTGATGCAAAGTGTCCATGCCCATACCAATGCCAATACCAATGATTTGTGCTGTGCTGTGCCGTGCCGTTGTTGTTGATAATATTTCAGGGAAAAAGAAAAGAAAAAGAAAGACTCGATAGCTCACACGACATTTTGTTCTCGTTCTTCCCGAGACCGGTTTGTCGAAAGTCGTCGACCAGAGAAAAAGAGAGTGTCTGGGGGGGATTGGGGGCAGAGCTCAGTCACCGGCCATCCAGCCAACGCAGCTAGCTAGCAAGCCGATGATGCTGCCAATGCCCATGCATGATTGAAAAAGCTTCGGCAGCCTTCGCAGGTATCTCGTGTCTCTTGACGACGATCATGAACACACACTTGATCACGGTTGCCTGCTCAGTCAAACATCCAGAGGATCTTGTCAAACTCGGCTCTCCAGACTTGCTGCTCGACCTCGGTGTCAAAGACCTCGGTGTTGAGGACCTCGGTGGCCTCGTTGGTCGGTGCCGCGAGACTCGCCTCGACGAACTTGCGGTCCGCCTCGAATTCCTCCCACGCTGGACTGGCGTGTAGCTCGGCGTACGTGGCGCGGACCGGAGCTGGGGTAGAGCATGTGATCTCGTTGCTCAATCCAGGCTCACTCTGGCTGGCCATGGTCGTGTAAAGACTGCGGATGAGGGAATTGTAGTCCATTTCAACGAACTTGTGACCAGTAGGCACCTTCAATGTCATATCGTCGGAGTATTCGTCATGTTCGACCAAGCGGAGGCCAGCGTAGCCACCAGCGTCAGCAGACTCATTGGTAGAGCCAATGGAGGAAAATTGCACATTTTCGTTGACCATGTTCTCGGAGGTATCACTTGGCATGCTGCCAGAGAATTCATGATCGAAATTTCCGATAACATCGCTCATCTCGTAATCCGAGTTGGAAAGTGCATCAGAGTCGGTGTTTGCTGCATTAAGACGAGCGCGCTTCTTAGCTGTCATGCGGCGCTTCTTCTCAGAAGGCTTGCGAGGCGAGTACTGATATCCAGGATTAGCTCTGGCATGCTGAGCTTTGATGATATCAGCCATTGTCTTGTAACGATCCTTGGTCTCTTCATTCTCCTGATTCCACTGTTTGCCCAGAATGACAGAGATGGCATTGTTTGGTAGATCGGGTTGCACAGCTTTGAGAGCAGGATGATGGTCCTTGCGATACAGAATGAAGGCATTGGGGGGGCGAGGGACTCGGGCCTTCTTGCCAGGAAGTCGAAGTTGTTTGACTGGACGTGCTGGGGCTTTGGTGTGACCAGTTCCCGCGAAGCCAGATGGGTGAATGGTGCTTGAAGCTGAGTCGAAAGACAATCCTGGACTATCTGCAGAAGAACTGACAGTCGTAGGATTGTCAGGGCTGGCCGTGGCTTCAGGGGCTTTGCAGATATGATAGAGTTCGCTAGCTTCGTCCGTGAAAGTCATGATGTTGACATTTCCAAAGTGTGAACTGTATGATTTAGCCAGAGAACAACCCAAGCTGGCTTCTTCTTACCTGAAGTTGGTCTTGAGCTCAAGAAGTTGGTTTTCGGTGAGTCTTTCAGCCACGAAAGATGGAATGATGAGATGGTCCTTGTTAGATGCAAAAGCGGCCTTGGCCATCGACCAGATCGACTTGAGTTCGTGCTTCGTCAGACCACTTGGGTTAACGCTAGAGAGGGGGTTGCTTTCCATCATGAAGCGCTTGCAGTCGATGTCAGCACGAGCCGATCAACCTGGGAGTGGCACTTACAAGACGAAGAGTGGTTGTAGTCAAGTCAATGCAAATGCGGGAACAGAATGTTGGATGATGAAGAAGTGGTTTGGGATGAGATTGTGCAAAAGAATTCGGAAGGGAAGGATGATGAAGTGATGTTTTTGTATGAGGAAACTGGGCAGCGAGCAAAGTGAATTTTGCTGTCACCATGGAAATTTTCATTGAACATTCAATAAGAATTGAAATTTCTGCAATTCAGTGTATTCAATTCACTTTGTCGTCACTGAAGCGGCAGGAAATCGTAGGCGGTGAGGTGTATCAGCGTGTCGTGGAGCTTCACCACCTGCCATTTGCAGGATTCAATCACAGATGGCTGCGCAGATTGCGCACAGAGAGCATACGAAGTCTTGAAGCATTGCTGCTGAAGGAATGAGCATCTCAATATGAGTAATGATGGTCTTGTTCTGAGACTGTACCAGAGCACATTTCAACGGGTGATAAGGAAGTTGTTCTGGATGATGAGTTTCCTGATATTTGCCGTTGCTTGCTGCAAGATTATACTCAGATGCTAATGATCCATGTGCGCAGATATCCCCTAAAGCGACGAATCTCTGAATCCGAATATGCAGACCCGGTCAGGCCACAACGAAGCAGCAGAGTCTGGCTTGCCACTATCGTAAGGTATCTTTGAGGTCGGCAATGTTCAGAATTATTCACACTGAGCCCAAAGACTTCTTAAAACCCAAAGGGGATACCCGTTCCTTCAACGTGATCCTCGGAGCTGATTTGCTTCGCGCAATCTTCCAGCGCTTGCGCCGAGCTCTTCGTTATCACAAAAGCAGTCGCAAAACAGGTTCTTCAAGGAGGATTGGGTACACGGTGTGTGAAAGTTCTCTACTTGCTTTGGTCAGGCACGGGTATCTAAGTTGCAGGTCTGACAGAGAACTCACGGTGTCAGCTTCTGGTGAGGTCTTGTTGGAACTCGAGAAGCCTTCGAGCAAGATGTTCAAGTGCGGTAACGACATTTGTGCTGAAGGTCGCAGAAGTGAACAAAGAAAGAGCCCGCATCAGGAATCTTTCAGTCGGGTCGCAGGGCAGGTCTTCAGTACAGAAACAGGGGCGTCGTATGTTTCTGACAAGGAATGTGCTGTTCTTGGTTCATACAAAGAATGTAGGTTCAGTGGCCGTTTCTGATAAGTCAATGTCTGATCCCTTTCCCCAAGCTGATATTTCTCCGAAATTTGTTCTTCATATTGTGGTCCAATTACTTACGCATGCATGACTTGAGTACTGATATCACAACATGCGTTTGAATCGATAGAATGCAGTACGGAGGAAGGACTAAACTAGGTGTTGAGGACGCAGCGCAGTGTCGTGCGCGCGCAGGCCGAGACAAGCCCTAGCGCGACAGCAGGCAGCACTAGTCACATGATAATGATCCTGACAATTTGCCTCTCGTATCAAGGCTGCTGAATGGGGTAGAGCAAATAAGAAGGGCACCGCGGTGCGATAGAAACGTCTCAGAAACAGCAAGTGTTACATTTTATCCTACAAATCAGTCATCGCAGGGTGCTGCTTGTAACGACTTTCCTGGGGAATCCCTTAGGACACATCATGAATTATTATGCACAACGTGACCTAGTAACAAGAAACAATTTTCGCTTGCCGTAAAAGTCCTGCAGTCGTGATGCGTACAGTCATGATGCGGCTTCTAGCGGGAGAGCTTATCGCACCATTGCGACTGTCACGGCCGACCAGCAGGCTTCGTTCGAGGCTCGGCTTCGACCCTCGCATCGTCCAAGACGACTTTGACCCTTTCGACTTGGACTTTAGTGGCCTCATCGACTTCAACGCGTGATTGACGCTCACCGGAGCAAAGGGGTCACACACACGCACATGGACACACACGGAGTACTACTCAGTCATGTCGAAATGGAAGCTAGGGGTGTCGCATGGCAGATGGCACCTGGGTGGCAAGATGGCAAGGTGGCAAGATGGCAAGGTGGCAAGATGGCAATTTGGGTGCGGTTGTGGTTGCAGTGCAGGCATGGGTCGATACCGGGTGGTGGTGTCGCAAGCATTGATTGGCAAGTGAGCGAAGCAAAGCAAACAAGAACACTTTTTGGTGTTTTCAAATTGAACAGAACAGAACAGAACAGGAGAGATTGATAGATGACTCTCTGCTGCAAGACAAGAGATCACATTGAAAGCTGCTCTCTCATACTGAGAGCTATTCAACTCCGAATCGGGAATTGAAAGTAGTTAGTCCGTACCTCCAAGTGGTGGTCAATACCAGAGGGTACTTACCGAGTACTCCAACGGAAAATAGTTGTTCACTCACCCGAAAAATTCGCTTGCCTCCCACACGTGATCCGGTTTCTGGGCGGGTAGAGCTTGTCGAACGGCCACCGTTTTGGCGGCGAAAATCAGCCGACGGGTTGGGGCCGCCGTGGCCACCCACCAAAAAAGCTTTCTTACCCCGTAGATTGTACTCCGTAGCACCCCGATCGATTCCCACCCCTCCACTTTGTGAGACGGAAGCTTGTTGCCTTTTTGCTTTTCGGTTTGGACCAAGAAAATCTTGTTCATACGTCGCGTCGTCTGGAAGATGTGTTTCCCAACAAACCATTTCGAATTCCCACGGTTTCTACCTGTGTGTGTCAGTTTCTGAAATTGGGCAATGATTCCCCGGCTGGCGGTGAGGGAGAAGGGGCGCAATTTCCTTCTCCTTTTCTTTTTTTGCAGGGCACGCGCCCGGAAATGAGACATGCAAGGGTCTCGCCTTGCTTTTTCGATTGTTTGCGTGGTTTGCGTGGTTTGCGTGGTTTGCGGGCTTGGCAAATGTGATGATACGAGAGGTGCGGCCGAATGAGAAAGGCAACCACTGTGACGAGGCGGGGGTCTGGAACACTTAGCCAGCCGCACTCGTTTCGGAGTGCATGTGATTGATGTGATTGATGGTACCATTGGTTGAACCCCTGCTGCGACAATTTTTGCTCGAGTCTTCCGTGTTGCCGCGGTCACCACTTCCCGCTTTTTCGAGTCAAGAGACTTGTCTGGCCCTGCACTCTCAGTCAGCTTGATGCGTTGCTGCAAGCCTCACTTTGGTTCAAAGGCAAGGGATGGTTGGTGCTATTGGGCGTACCCTTGCAACATTGTTGCTTGTCTTCCGTGTGCCGCGATGGACCATTGTCGCTTTCGAGTCCAAGAGGCCTCTGTCGGTGAGATTGCTTGCTGCCTGGCCCTGCACAGAGAAATTTCAGCTGCAAGCCTCGCTTTGGTTCAAGGTAAGGGATCGATGGTACTATTGGACGTACCCTTGCGACATTCTTGCCTGTCTTCCGCGTGCCGCGACGACTATCGCCGCTTTCGAATCAATGAGGCGTTTGGCGGTGAGGACAACTTGGTCTCTCACACGCCCAACCACCTCTTCTTTCCTCCATGCATGCATGAGAAGGAATAAGTAAAGTTGATGATGAGACGATCCCCTGCCAACTTACGGTTTCATCGGCGTCATCACTTGGTCGAACCCGTCGACCCGTCCCCCCTTCAGGACCTTTCGAAGTGAGGCTGGGCTGATCTTTCGACACGTCACAAACCTTCTCCTGCGGCATGCATGGGTAGGGAAAAGAGATAACGTCTGACAATGCAGAGAATTGATGCTGTCTGACAATGAACATACAATGTCTTGCTTCTTTCGTTGCCACTTTCGCTTACCTTCGGGGCCGACAAGACTTTGACAGGTAGGAGATGTCTGGTACCGAGTACTATTGGATGGTACCCTGCACTCGTCTCGTTTGTTTTTGTCGTCATCACTCACCGATCATTTCTTTTTGCGGTCCAGAGTGCCTTCGAAGCGAGGTGCCTGCGGCCAGGGAAGTGTTAGCCTCTTTTCCTGATGTCTGTGGACGGGGAACTTTCAGCTCTTCTCCTGCTGAACAGTCCTTCTCTTGCTGCAAGCCCCTCTTTCTCTTGCTGGCAAGCCTCACTCGTTTCCGAAAGTACGAGATGTCTGGTACGGAGTACTATTGGATGATCCCTGCACTCGTCTCGTTTTGTTTTGCCGTCATCACTCACCAATCATTTCCTTTCGCGGCCCAAAATTGCCTGTGGAAAGTGAGGTAGTGTCGTGGTCCTTGGACAGGGACAGAGAGATATCCCCAGCCCCCTCATCTTTCTTGCTGCAAGTCTCACTTTGGTTCCAGGTAGGGAGATGTCTGGTACGGAGTGACTATTGCATGATGCCCTGCACTTGTCTCGTTTGTTTTTGCCGTCTCGGTCGACTGATGAAATCATTCCCTTGCCGCTGAGGGTCAAGGAGTGCTACCCGATGTGAGATTGCTTTCGAAGCGAGTTCGTAACGAGTCCTCCCGAAAGGTACTTGTTTCGGGATTGTGATGGTTGTAAGGAAAGGGATTTTGGGTGCAAGAAGGCGTAAGGTGCAATCGATAGTAAGTAACTATGAGTAACTCTGGCTGCCAGAGAAAAGTAGGAAGAGTAGAGAGAACAGTAGACTTTTCGGTGACAGTGACAATGTGCTTTGGAGTTCCTGGAACCCGAACAAGCCTGCAAAAGGAAAAAAAAGAAAAAGAAAAGATCAAAGAGTGTGTCCTCATGCCGTCAACAGCCCAACGAAAACAAAAAAGAAACCGAAACTCTCAAAACTTCCAAGCTGCCGGGGTCATTCCCCTTCAAGGCGTCGTATGCTGCTTGAGGTGGTTACAAGACCCTTTTGCAAGACCTGTGCACATGAGACATTCTGCAAAAGCGACAACAGACCTTTGACAACAACAACAAACACTTTTGAGCCCATCCAACCTCCTACTGATTGTCTGCTGCCTCGTCGACGAGCTCGGGCATTTCCTCCTCGTCCTTGTCCTCCTCCTCGTCCTTGTCCTCCTCCTCGTCCT